CAAACAGAATTTTTTTTTTTTTTTTTTTCTTTTTGTCTTTTTTCGTGACCGGCAACGGATCGCAACCCTCAGTGTCACGCCCGTACCGGACCGGGACCAGCAACGGGATCGCAACCCTCGGTGTTGCGCCCGCACCTCGCTCAGCCAGTGAGCGGGAACCGGTCTGTATGTGGGATCCGAACCCTCGGCGGGAGCGCCACCATGCTCCCAAGTGGCGCACTGTAGCAGTGCGCCACCGGGCCGGCCCCCATACAGAAGTTTTGATGAGCCAGATGCTATCCAGACTGAGGAATAGTCTTAAAGAGCAAGGGGAGCTTACCATTTCCCCTCTTCTCCCTAAGGCCTAGTTTCCAGGGGCAGGCTGTTGGGTGGATGGATGGATAACAGTGGTGTGTTTCCACAGGTGAATGCCACTGTGCCCCTGCTGGGCCGCTCAGGGCTGCTGGGGGAGCTACGTAATAACCTGTTCACTGATGTGGCCTGTGGCCGAGGGAAGAAGGCTGACAGCACCTTCTGCATCACATCCTCAGGGCTGCTATGCGAGTTCAGCGACCGGAGGCTTTTGGATAAGTGGGTGGAGCTGAGAGTAAGTACCTCTGTCCCAGGGGGTAGAGACTGCCCATTTCCCAGCTCAGGGGAGAGCTGGTACCTGGGGATCCAAAACAGGGCCTGGGCCCTCATGCATGCAGAAGGGGACCCTAGGAGAAAGAAGTTTGGGGGAGCTAGAGCTTGGCCCAGTTCCAGTCCCTGACGATCTGTATAACTTCCTCCTCTCTGCTCTGTCTCTCTCTGTTTCTCTTTCCCCTGCTTTCCTCTTCTACTCAGAACACAGACAGCTTCACAGTAAGTGGTGCCTATATCTTCCTCTCTTTCTCATGCTGTTTCTTTCTCTTTGCTGGGCTTTTCCTACTCTGTCCTATTTGCTAAAACCACTGGTGCAATATAAAGGTCCCTGATTCCCATCCCCCAACTGCACAGGGCTGTGAGCCCTCTGGACACCTGCTGTTAGAGGGAGGGGCATCTCTGGATGACAGCTGAGTGTGCTCAGTCCAGAGCACGTAGGCTGCTTTTCCCTCACCCCCACCTTGGCCAGTCTTTCCTCTTGGCAGGTGACTTGAGGAGGGGGTGGGGAGACTGAGTAGGTAGATAGCCCTTGCTGACCTGAGCCCCTCTGCTCTCAGACCACAGTGGCCCACTGCATCTCTGTGAGCCAAGACTATATCTTCTGTGGCTGTGCTGATGGCACTGTGCGCCTTTTCAACCCCTCTAACCTGCACTTCCTCAGCACCCTACCCCGACCCCATGCCCTGGGGACAGACATTGCCAGCGTCACTGAGGCCAGGTGAGTTATTTGGGCCCCTTGCCTGCATTCATAGCCTACCCTGTGCCTAGCCTTCCTTGGCAGTGCTTTATGGAACAAAGTGAAGAGTGTATTAGTGCCCCAGAGATTACCAGGAACACCTCTGTAGACAAACAAATTTGGGTTTATTGGTACTTGTTGCAACCCAGGAGACCACACCATGGAGAACTTTGGAGAGTCTCAGTAAGTGGGTGTTAGGAGGAGCTTGCATCAGATGATTTTAGGAGTGGTTTAAGGAATTAAAGTGTTGCTCTGGTTGGATGCTGTCAGGCAGTGGGGGCGATTCTACAATTGGATACCTTGATAAGTTTTTTTTTTTTTTTTTTTTTGGTGGCTGGCTGGTACAGTGATCCTGACTTCTTGATAATTTTAATCTAAGAGTTGGAAGGAAAGATATATGGGGTTAAAGCTGTAATTGGTAAAGAAGAAGCCATCAATCACATTAGATGGGAAAGGATGATGTTTGGTCATTTTTGTGGTTTGTATGGTGATGTTGTTTCTATCTGTGCACAGACATGACACAAACATACACAGAGGAGTCTTGTTTTTATTTCACCCTGTCACAGCCACAGAATTACCTTGTCTGATGTTGGTGTTCTGTGAAATTGTTTGTGTTCATTAGGAGAACACCATGGCCCAGCAGCTAGTGCTGGGCCAGCTCCCAGGTGATGGCTGTTAGGGACTGGTTTTTTTTTTTTTCAACTTCCAAACCTGCAGGTCTGGGGAGGGCTCCCCATGCTTTGCTCCTTTCTTTGTGGGTTGGCTTCTCTTTTCATTCCCTTTTATCTCACCAGTTTGCCCTGTCCTTTCTCTCACAGTCGCCTCTTCTCTGGAGTGGCCAATGCCAGGTATCCAGACACCATTGCCTTGACCTTTGATCCTACGAATCAGTGGCTGTCTTGTGTGTACAACGATCACAGCCTTTATGTTTGGGATGTGAGGGACCCCAAGAAAGTGGGCAAGGTGTATTCAGCTCTGTATCATTCCTCGTGCGTCTGGAGTGTGGAGGTATGTGGGTTGGGCCAGCTGGCTGGAGACTGACTAGTTTTGCTGGGATACCATTACAAGGACAGAAAGTGGGGATCCCCACGTATGACCTTTTGTTCCTGCTGCCTCCCTGTTTCTCCAGCGACTTTCCTGTGATGGAATTTTAGGGCTTATACATCTCAGGATTCTTCTGATGTCCCCCTGTCCATCCTTAGTTTTGTCTTGTCCTGGGCTCAGTGATCTTGGACAACTTACTGAACTTGACTGAGCCTCGGTTTCTTCATCTGTAAAGTGATGTACCTGATACATCTAATTGTTCTAAGAATAAAGTGAAATAATGTAAGTGGGAGACATAGAAGAGTGCCTGGTGCATAGTACATGCTTGGTTAATGTGCTTTCCCTTAGTAATTATGAAGAGTATTTAATGTTATGGCTTGCTTACTATTAGAAGGCACTGGGCTGTGTCTTGGCCAGCATTCTCTATTTAATCTCATTCTCTTCCATCTCCTTGGGCGGGGAAGGGACTGCTCCCTAAATGGAGGTTTGACTCTGTTCCCTTTGCCCCTTCAGGTGTACCCTGAGGTGAAGGACAGTAACCAGGCCTGCCTGCCCCCCAGTTCCTTTATTACCTGTTCTTCAGACAACACCATTCGCCTGTGGAACACAGAGAGCTCCGGGGTACATGGTTCCACCCTGCACCGAAACATCCTCAGCAACGTGAGCCCTGAGGCCTTGGGCCCCCCACTCCACACTTATTACCCCCATCCCCACAGCTTTTGGACCTCATTCTTAGGGACTGAGTTCCCAGACCTTGATCTTCCAGCTCTTGTTTGGCTGGGCTCTCTGAGCCAAGGACTTATCTTGCCCAGCATTCCTTACCCCTCATAGCTGTACTATATTGGGCCTGCCTTATCTACCTCTTCTGACCTGTTCCACCAGGACCTCATTAAGATCATCTATGTGGATGGGAACACTCAGGCCCTTCTGGACACTGAGCTGCCTGGAGGAGACAAAGCTGATGGGTCCCTGATGGATCCCCGTGTGGGCATCCGCTCTGTGTGTATCAGCCCCAACGGACAGCATCTAGCCTCAGGGGACCGTATGGGCACGCTTAGGTAATACCAGGCCTGGGGTGGGTACTGACTGCCTCCCATGATGCAGGTTGGGATAGTTAGGTCCCCATGGACAGAGCTTTAGGAGTGTTTGGCTTAGAAAGGTTGGGGAACAAAATATTTTGTTATCTACCAGGAAAGATAATAACTTTATAACGAAGAAACCATCTAAACCAGGTGTTCACAATTAACGTCCTCATATCAATGTCATGAAGCCCATAATACAATATATTAAGAAGGACATAACATTGTTTCTATGGTATTCTTGCCACAAATACATAAAATGAATCCAGTCATGAGAAAACATCAGAAAAACTAAAATTGAGGTACATACAACAGAGTAAGTGGTCAATACTTTTCAGAAGTATCAAGGTCATGAGAGGTAAGGGAAGACTGAAGAATTGTTACAGACTACAGGAGACTAAGGAGAGATAACAACTAAATGCAGTTTGGACTCTGGATAGGATCCTGGATCAAGAAAAAGGACATAGTGGAAAAACTGGTGAAATTTGAATAAGGTCTTTAATTAAAAGTATTGTATCAGTGTAAATTTCCTGATTTGATAATTGTACTATCAGTATGTAAGATGTTAATATTAGGAAAAGCTGGGTAAGAGAAGCATGGAAACTGTACTTCTTGCAACTTTTCTCTAAGCCTAAAAGTTCAAAAAAAATTTTTAAGAGGTTGGGGGAGAGGAATGTAGCAGAGGAAGGGAGGGCAATGACCTCTTCCCTCCTCTCCTCATCTTTGCAGAGTGCACGAACTGCAGTCTCTGAGTGAGATGCTAAAGGTAGAGGCCCATGACTCGGAGATTCTGTGCCTGGAGTACTCTAAGCCAGACACAGGTAAGGAGGATACCCAGTATCTAGTCCAGAATGGCACAGGGCTCCTCCGGTCCTGCCAGTACCACTTATATCTATCTTGGGTCTTAGATGTGGAGCTGATAATTCTTTGGACCATTTGATGTTTTCATAAGTTTAGAGGAGGACAGCTCCATCCTTGCTCCATGGTTTATCTGGCTCAGAGATACAGGGCTCTTTGCTGGGCTCAAATGAGTGCTCTCAGGGCACTCATGGGCTGATGCAGTTCTTTCAACCTCAGGTCTGAAGCTGCTAGCATCAGCGAGCCGGGACCGGCTGATCCATGTTTTGGATGCTGGGCGGGAATATAGCCTACAGCAGACACTGGACGAGCACTCATCCTCCATCACTGCTGTCAAGTTTGCAGGTGGGGGCGTGGCAGATGAGACACATCCTGCCACCTACCCTCCCCCCACACCCAGCCCCCTGCTTTCTGCCTCCATGAGAAGAGTCTGCCAATCATGGTGGAGTGTTGGACAGCAGCTGGAAGGCCTGGGGCTGGATAGGAAGACAGGTGGAATGTAGACTCAGTCTAGGGGACCCTGAGCCTACCAGGTTGGGCTGAGGATGGGGAGAAGGGTTTTAAAGGGAAGCCTTCTGCTTTAATGATTGTCCCAGCCAGGTAGAGTAGCTTGGTAATGGAGAAAATATGGAGGGAAGGTAGAGGAAAGGCTGCCCCCACGTGGTGAGATTGGTGGGAACAGCTAGGCTCCCCTCCTCCACAGCGAGCGATGGGCAAGTCCGCATGATCAGCTGTGGAGCGGACAAGAGCATCTACTTCCGCACTGCACAGAAGGTGAGGGTACTGTGCTTCCCTGAAAGGGGCAGAGGGTGGGGGTGGGTGGTGTGTCTCTAATGTTCCCCTGCCTGAGGTTCCAAGAGGTGAAGGGAGGCAAAAATAGGGCTCTCTGGGCCTGGTGAGGCATTTGGGTGTGGGTCTGCCCCCTGCAGTCTGGAGATGGAGTACACTTTACACGGACACACCATGTGGTACGGAAGACAACCCTCTATGACATGGATGTGGAGCCTAGTTGGAAATACACGGCCATTGGTTGCCAGGACCGAAATATTCGGTGAGCATCCTCTTCTCAGACTGTCTGGCTACATTCCTTCATGCCTAGGGGTCAGCTCTGTGCAGCTAAATTCCTACATCTATCTTTTTATCCAGGACTTTGTTACCCCTTGAGCTTACAGAATGAGTACTTTGCCTCACCTAAGAGGGGTAGCCATTTTGGTGTTGGGGGTAGCTCCCAGAGACAGTGGGCTGGGAGTGAATGCTTGTGTTTCTACCACCCAAGTATGCTTGATCTTTACCTTCTCCTTATGTGAAAGAGAGTGTGTTTCTTTATAGGATCTTTAACATCAGCAGTGGGAAGCAGAAGAAGCTGTTTAAAGGGTCACAGGGTGAGGATGGCACTCTCATTAAGGTAAGGGCCAAGTAGGATGTGCACTGGGCCCAGGGTCTGGGGGCAGAACAACACTAGGTGGAAAGGGACTGGCGTTTCCCATATTTTTTCAGTTCTACATCACACTCCTCAGGTGCAGACAGACCCCTCAGGGATCTACATTGCCACCAGCTGTTCCGACAAGAACCTCTCCATTTTTGACTTCTCCTCAGGCGAGTGCGTGGCCACCATGTTTGGCCACTCAGGTGAGTGTAGCCCCAGTACTCCACCTCTGGAACTTTACTCTTTCTTCCCTTAATTTCTTGGGCCTCAGCAGAGCTACCTGGCCCTGCCCTCCAAACAACCCACATATCTACTGCTGTAACAGACAGGCCTTGGTTGGGAATTCAGGGTGGCTCATAGACCATATTCTTTGTTCTTCACAGAGATTGTCACTGGCATGAAATTTAGTAATGACTGCAAACATCTCATCTCTGTGTCAGGGGACAGGTAAGCAGAAGCCAGCTTCCCTGAGAGACAGATTCTTCCTCTGTGCCACAGATATATCCTGCCCCCTCCCCTCTTCATCTCAGTGATGTCTCTGGGAAGTGGGGTGAACAAAGATATTTCTTGCCTGGGCCTGACCTGGAAGTGGAGGGTGGCTCTGGTCTCTTTGCCAGTCCATGAAGAAGGAACTAATGGTGTCGCCACCTCCAGAGTCCTACCCTCCTGCTCCCCCACCTAACTCTGTGGCTCTACCCCAGCTGCATATTTGTGTGGCGCCTAAGCTCTGAGATGACCATTAGCATGAGGCAGCGTCTGGCCGAGCTGCGCCAGCGTCAGCGAGGGATTAAGCAGTACGGACCTTCTTCTCCCCAAGGGACTTCTGGACCTAACCGGTGAGAACATAATATGGGCAGGTGATGGGTGGGTGTCCAGATGGCTTGCTGTGATCTCACTGCTCCTCTTCTTGCTATTCATCATCTCTGTATCTCCCAAGACCTTAGTACTCACACAGAGACCCATGATGTTGGCCTGTTCCCCCATTGAGTCTCCTCTCCCTATGACCTTCCTTGTCTTGGATTCAGGCCCCAGGCCCCATCCATACTCTGTCCTGGACCAGCTCTCTCATCAGACAGCGACAAGGAGGGAGAAGACGAGGGTACTGAAGAAGAAGTACTTATGGCTCTGCCCATTCTTGCCAAGGGTACCAAGAAAGATCCAGGTCTGTGGCAGTCTGGTGTGGGGTTAGATAGGCACCGGTTGGTATAATGGATAGACATGACCTTTCTGGGACTGTGGGATGAGAGCAGTGTGAGGTGAAGAAACTGGGGCATCATTGAGACCATGCAGGATATGAGCTCATGTGGGGTCAGGGCTCTAGGGGAGGGTGGGCAGGAGACACTCCCTCTGACTGCCTCTTTCTGTCTAGCCTTGGTCCCCAGCCCAGCCCTTCCCCGAAGCCTGTCCCACTGGGAGATGAGTCGGGTGAGTCTCCATCCTTAAAATGGCCTTCCAAGGTTATAGGAGGTGAAAGGAGGTAAAAGCAGGGCTCTCTGAGCCTTGTGCAGCATTGGGGCATGGGTTCTGCCCATGTGCTTCACTTCTGTGTCCAAGAAAGGCCTTGGGGTGGGGTGGGGGGGAGCAGTTCAAGAGACTGGACTGGTCCCAGATTAAGGATGAGGGAAGCCCAGGTATTTCCTTCCTCTGGGTCAGATGAGATCTATCGTAGGATTAGTCACCACTAGTGCTCCACTTGGTCAGCTGCCTGGAGCCTGGGTGTAAATATCATCAAACAACAGCTTGAGGGGCTGAATAGAAAAGAGTCGTCTGAGCCAAATGGTTAGAATTAAAGTTCAGGAAAATCAAGAGTCTAAAGAGCAGAAATATGGAGAAATTGTAGTTCTAAAGGCCTCAGTTAAGAAGTAAGCTCAGAACTTCCAGAACAGTTTGTTAGAGGGAAAAGGCCATAGAGGCAACTACATCATGGTGGGTGGAAGAGGGCTAAAGGCTTTCAGAGCAAGCCCCAAAGCAGCCCAGCCCTCACTAGTCCCATGTTGGGATTTTAAGGACCAGCACATTTCATCGCCACCAGCAGTTTCACAGAGTGGTGGTGGTGCGGTGTCTCTGGTGCATTCTGGCCAGGCCAGGGGTCTTAAGCCTGGGCTATTGGTTTGGTCTCAGTGCTGTTAAGGGCCTTTGGGATTCTGTTGGGGCTGTTCTCAGAGTAGGAGACTTTTAGAGACTCCTAGCTCTGAGGAGTCCATGACACCAAGTGAAGACTGAGAGTAGAGGTTCTTATGTGAGAGGATGTAAAGTGCAGCTAAGAGCATGAACTCTGAAGCCAGACAAACTTGTAGGCCTCTCACTGTCTGTGGGACTTGGACTAGTTATGTTAAGCTCTCTGTGCTTCCGTTTCCTCATCTGTAAAAATGGGGATAAGAGCAGTACCTACTTCATAAGGTGGTTGTGAGGATGAAATGAGTTAATGCATGCAAAGTACCTGGCACATAGTAAGTGATACATGAGTGTTTGCTGCTGTTAATGTGTGGTTGTTATTGTTACTCCTCCACCCCCTACCAGGCACAGGAGACGGTAGAGTTCCTGGACCCAGCGCCTGCAGCCAACCCAGGACCCAGAAGAAGGGGGCGCTGGGTTCAGCCAGGCATGGAGCTGAGTGTTCGCTCCATGCTGGACTTGCGGCAGCTGGAAAAACTGGCTCCAAGCCCTCAGGGCCCCAGCCAGGACTCACTGGCCATGACGCCATCTGGTCGTAGGAAGCCTGGTCAGCAGGCCCCTGAGACCTCACTTGCTAGTCAGGTGAGCCAGCTTTCTCTCAGCTCTAGAGATCTCCAAGGAGACTTAGCCAGCCTTGTGCCAACAGCCGGGGCCTGAGCACTGGTCCAGCTCTGCCTACTCTGCCCATGTGGCACATGGGCAACCTGAACTGCAAATTTGGGGTGGGGCTGGCGAGGCTGTATGGTATGGTGATAGGGGTGGGCAGGGAAGGGGTCAGGGTGGAGAGGCAAAGGTGGCCTTTACCCTGGGTGGTTCCTTGAAGGAATCTTGGTATTAAGTGGTAGCTGGAGGTTGGCAGCCAAGAGTGTTAATAGTTTTCCCAGAAGCTCATAACATCCGTTGGAGCCCAGCCTGGCTTCTTGGTGTCTGTCCTCAGAGCTGGAGTATTCAGCTTCCCCCAGAATTGGTGCATGCCAAATCCTTGCCCACCTCCCCCTTTTCTCCAAGGCTCTCTTCTCACATCAGTAACCCCAGTTATGCCCCTTGGTGTGTTCCCAGAATGAAAAGCTCCCTCAGCCTCAGGCTTCCCAACCCTGTTCCTGCCCCCACATTATCCAATTGTTGTCACAAGAAGAAGGGATCTTTGCCCAAGATCTGGAGCCTGCACCCATTGAAGATGGTATTGTCTACCCGGAGCCTAGTGACAGCCCCACCATGGATACCAGGCAAGGGTCTTGTTTTTGCCAGACCTCATGAGACCATGAATCCCCCAGTCTTCCCTCTGAGTGTTTTTAGTCAGGGGAGGGCTAGCCCCCAGGATATTCAGGGCTTACCCATCACCTCACTACTGCCTCATCCCTAGACCTGCTCACAGGCAGGAGTCCAGAGGCTGCCGCTCACCCCTGCTCACTGCCTTTTCTTTCCCCTGCTGGCCTTCCTGGCAGTGAGTTCCAGGTACAGGCTCCAGGCCGAGGTACCCTGGGAAGAATGTACCCAGGCAGCAGGGGCTCAGAAAAGCACAGCCCTGACAGTGCTTGCTCTGTGGATTACAGCAGCAGCCGCCTTTCCAGCCCTGAGCACCCCAATGAAGGTGAGGCTGCAGCCCCGAGGGAGGGGCCAGTGAACTGGGTGTGGGTGGACGCTCTGGCGACAGATGAGTGCAGCATGATGCCTCTCTCCCCCTCCTGCACATCCAGACTCCGAGAGCACGGAGCCCCTGAGTGTGGATGGCATCTCCTCAGACCTTGAAGAGCCAGCTGAGGGTGATGAAGAAGAGGAGGAAGAGGAGGGAGGCACTGGCCCTTATGGGCTGCAGGAAGGCAGCCCCCATACCCCGGACCAGGAGCAGTTTCTAAAACAGCACTTTGAGACTCTGGCCAATGGGGCTGCTCCAGGTGTGGTCAGAGGGCCAGCATTTGATCACTGCAATCTGCCCTCCTCCCCTCCTTGCCTAGTTGAGAGAGAGGGTTCAAGGGCAGGCAGTGTCTTGGGGTTTCCTCCCAGGGGAGGCAGAATCTGGGGCAAGGGCTTGGCTTCTGCTTCAATGCATGATTCCTATGACCCTGGCAGGAGGCCCAGTAAGGATACCAGAGAGGACAGAGTCTTGGAGTATTTCTTCACGATTCCTGTTGCAAGTACAGACCCCCCCACTCAGGTACAGAAACCTCTCCCACAGCAGCTCTAGCCCTCCTGACCTCCCAGTGTTCCTGCCTCTAGGGCAGCATACAGCCCTCCTTCCAAGGTTCTCCCTTCCTTTGCCTGAGAGTGTTTCACAGTCCTAGTTATGGGACATCTGGCCTCACCCCAACCCTGTCTGGCTTTGTGCCTGTCCTTTCCTAGTGCTTCTCTGGGGCTATGAGAGCTTCTCACCATCTTGGCAGGGAGAAACACTGAGCCTTCTTTGGGCCTTCTTCCACATTTCCTCCCTGTAGGGAACCATCCCCATCCTCCTCAAGCCTGGTTCTGTTGTCGAGACCAGTCCAGGTGCCACAGGTGTCTGGTGAGCAGCTGAGAGGCAGTGGTGCCAATCCTCCAGGAGCACCCCCGGAGGTGGAGTCCTTCCCTGGCTCCCCCAGCCCCCAGCAGGCAGCCCCTGTGCTGTTGTCACGCCGCCGTCTCAACCCGGATGGCAGCTGGGCCCCCAAGAGAATGACCACAGGCAGCCCCTTAGCTGGACTCCAGAGAGCCCTGTCTGTGCAGAGTCTGGTGCCACAGGGTGAGAAGCCTGGTAGGCTCAGCCCCAGAGTGTGGAGAGAGTGGAACGTGTGTGTGCTGAAGGAGGGAGGGCCTGGTGTGATCCTTTGTGTCACTGTGCTTGCCACTGGGTGTCCCTTCATGGGTAAGTGCAGGGGAACAGCAGCTCCTAGGGATTGGGCCTCAGCACCTGGGATGCCTTTCTCACCATCTGACCTGTTTGTATCTCTGTCTCCTCTGCAGATGAGGCCCCTTCACCAAGCCCATTGCTGTCACAGGAGATTGAGGCCCAGGATGGCCTGGGTTCCCTGCCCAAGGCTGATTGCTGTCTGTCTCGGTCCCACTCCTACCAGAACCCCACTGCCAGTTTCATGGCCAAGATGTCCCACAGCATCTCTGTCGGAGAGAACCTGGGCCTGGCAGCTGAACCTCAAGCTCCTGCCCCCATCCGAGTCTCATCACTCAGCAAGCTGGCCCTGCCCAGCCGGGCTCACCTGGTCCTGGACATCCCCAAACCATTGCCTGACCGTCCTACCCTGGCCACATTCTCCCCTGTAACCAAGGGCCGGGCCCCTGGTGTGACAGAACAGCCTGGCTCCCCAGTGGGCCTAAGAAACCCTCAGAGTACATCTGAGAGGCGGGTCTGTTTGGGGGAAGATACCACTCCCAAGCCTAGGACAGAGTGCCAGGCTCATCCTGGGCCCAACAGCCGCTGTGCCCAGCAACTGCCGGTTAGCAGCCTCCTCCGAGGCCCTGAGAACTTGCAGTCCTCATCCCCTGAGAAGACTCCCAACCCCATGGAATGCACCAGGCCAGGGGCAGCCCTGAGCCAGGATTCAGGTGTGCGCAGCTCCCCAGCTCTCATATCTTGCCCCATCCTCCCTCTCCCGTCTCTGTTGGCCACTCTCTTGCTCCATCCCATTTCTGTGCGTCCAGCCTCTGACGTTTTTCATCCTTTCTGCTCCTGTCTCGGTCTATAAGTCATACCCTGATGGCGAGACACTTCTGCCAACCTTCACGATCTCCTCGTGACCCCCTTATCCCTTCAGTGCCTTCTGGACCCTTGGGCTGGCCCTCTATTCTGGACTTTGTTGTCTGTGTAGTGGTAGGGAGGGTGGTGGAAGGGAAGGAAGAAAGAAGAAGAAACTGAAGGCAAGCGGTGGGTACAATGCTGAGGGGTAGGCCTCACCTGCTCTCAACATCCCTGGGTGGGGAGGCCTGAAAAGGGAGCTTAGTGGGCTTCACTGAGCTGTGTCTGTCCCTCTCAGAGCTGGTGGTGAACCTGGAGCAGTGTGAACAACTGGTGGCAGAGCTCTGTGGCAATGTGCGCCAGGCTGTGCAGATCTACCACTTGGTGAGTGTTGGCACCTCCTGGTGGGGAGACAGAGCAGGTCAGTAGTACTAGGTAAGATAGCTGAATGTCCAGAACACTATGAGAAGGCTCTTCCACTGACAGGGTGGAGCATTCAAGAACATCTTGGGCAGAGTAGGTGAGGGAGTTAGAGGTCAAGTCAGGCCTCTTAAACTAGGTACCTGTTGGTCATTTCTGGTTAATAGCTGGACACTTCCCTCAGATAGGAGGGTGGGGCATAGAGAGACCACCTGTCCTAATTTGCTCAGGACAATCCCAGTTTAGGCCTGTTGTCCCATTATAATTATTAATAGTATCCCTTTTCATACCCCCAAATTATTTCGCCACCCTAGACATAGGGAACAGCCCAACAGGGTGCAAGATTTGAGAGAGAAAGCAGAGTCTGTGTGAGTTGTAAAGAGTTGCTAACAAGATGTGGGTGGTTCCATAATCTGATGGGATCCTCCCTTGGGGCACCCCCCATAGTCTGCCCGCATCTCATATACTTGCTGATCTTGGAGTATGGAACTCCTAGCCAGCCCCTTCTTTTGGGGCAGGCTAGACCCAGGTGGAGCCTCTCCCTTTTATATATCCACTGATAGGCCCCTCCACTGTTCCTCCAACTCACTTCTGGGGGGTCCTGTTGCAGGTGGCTGGCTGCAAGATGCCCTCAGCGGAGCAAAGTCGCATCACTCAGCTCCTCAGAGACACCTTCTCCTCAGTGCGGCAGGAGCTAGAGTCCCTGGCTGGGGCAGTGCTGTCTAGCCCAGGCGGGAGCCCTGGGGCTGTGGGAGCTGAGCAAACACAGGCCCTGCTAGAGCAATACTCAGAGCTGTTGCTTCGAGCTGTGGAGCAGCGCATGGAACGCAGACTCTGAGTACCAGAAGCCTGTCCCACGTGAATGTTCCCCGTTTCAAACTTTAGCCCCTCCTCCACTCACCAAAACCTGCGAGGATGCTTCGAGTGGATAGCAGGATCAGTGCTCAAGAGGTGAAGCAGCTTTCCCAGCTGCTCCTCACGGAGCCCCTGTATTTATTAATTTATTTCCCTGACTGTTGCCTCACTTTCTTGGAACTCCTGCCTCCACAGCCCCTCCGGTGGCTCATGGCAGGGGTAGGTCTTGGGTCTTTGTCATCTTGGTGCTGTGAGGGTTGGGAGGGCAGCCTGCCACATCTGGGGAAATTGGGAAGGGCTGGCCCTCTCTTCTTAGAAGCCATTTGAAATTACTGCAGGGATCAGCTCCCTGGGGTGGAGCATACACAGGGTACTCTGGGGTAAAGGTGAGAGGTGATGTGGTATTCAGTGCCCTTCAGCCAACTGCAGAGTTTTACCTCTACCTCCGCTTCCCCTTCTACACCAGCTGTACTTCTCTGGCTGCCAGAGCTGGGGTGGTTTTCCCCACTCCTAGCAGTTCATAAAGGCAGAGCTGTCTGGCTCTCCAGGGCGTCCACATCCATCAGAAGACTTGAGTTGGTATCAGGACCTGAGACCCCACATTCCACTCCCATTCTCCATTCTCCCTCCAAGAGGGCCCTAGCATAGTCTTTGTCCCTGTGCCCCCCATCCTGTCCTGGCCAGAATTTGTGGAGCCAGCTGTGGGACATTGCTGCGGGACAGTAAAGCCCTTTGCTGGGCAAACATGAAGCCCTGGCCTCCTTTCTTCAGTCCCTTGGCCTTCCCTACCCTCTAGCTCTGGTCCCAAGCAGGCTGTGGAACCCAAAGGCCACCTTCTGCCTGCATCCTGTGTGATGCTCAGTCAGAAGCCTGTGTTGGAACTTCCCTCATGGTTTACAAAGCGACGGCCCACCTTCTGAGGACCTTGGGCACAGAGGAAATCAATCTCTTGCTGATGTAGGCCTGGTTTCCTCTTATGTCCTGCCCCAACTTCACTATCTGGCTTATGTGGAAGTTATATCAAGGAGCATGAAAAGAGATGCAACACACTAAACCCAAATTCTAGATTTTTGGTGTTCACAGCCTAGCTGATATGAGATGGCCCATAGGACACCAGGTTTGGGTAGAAGGAACGTCCCTAAAGGCGCTGCTGGGCGTGTAAGGGTGTTCTGGATACCAGAGGTTGGATGGGAGGGAGGTACAGGGGGCAAGAGACACATTGGAAAAGTGGTAGGTGGGACAGGTAAGTGGCAGAGGTGAGGGGATAGGTTAGAATTAGAAGGGGCAGTTGTTAGGGATGAGGGAGATAGGGCATGGAGAGTAGGTAGGGTAGGACCAAGTAGTTAGGCAGTTGTTGAAGAGCTTGGGTGAAGAACATGTGTCTCTGGGCCCTACTGCTTCCCTCTGCACCAGGTAAGTCAGGGCAGCTGTACCACAGCTTCAGGCTATGAAAGCCTGTTCACACATACTGCTGGCTCTACGAGGAGACTTAGGAAGAAATGGGTTCTAAAGGGTGCCCAGACCCGTTGCATCAGCCCGAGAGCACTTGAGCAGATCCAAACTTATCACACCCCACACCCTGTCCCTCATGCTCTACTACGGTCAGCTGCATGGCCAAATGGAAAGGAAATCCTGGCCTAAGAAGTCTAGCAGCTGGGGGTGCGCCCCTAGCAGGGCTGCAGCTGCCTTGTGAGGGTTAGAAATCCACTTCCACTGTATCCCCAATCCTTACACCAGCCACAGCCCACCGCAAGTAGGGCTCAGGTTGGCCCTCTGGGGCAGGTTCTTTGATAGCCCCAGCCTGTCCTGCATGAGGAGGGAGCTACACTCCTGCTAAGATTAGTGAGAAGGTGGCCGTTCTTTCCCTACCCTCTGTCCCATGTGTGTGTGTTTGGGGCGGGGGGATAATGGGTCTTGTGGCCAGGCCGGCGCCCCGTCCCCTTCTGCATGTCTGAGGCCACTGGTAATTGCCGCCCCGTCCAGATTTGCCCCGCCCCAGTTTTGAAAGCCCCTTATTTATAACTTTTGTACTTTGTCCAGGCCGGGGCGCTTCCCTCCTCCCCGGCTGCACGGGGCGGGAGCTGTTTTTAACGTGTCTGTTTGTACTGACGTATGAACTTGTCAATAAACACAATCGTTTGTTAACTCTGGGACGCGTGCGAGCGGGGCAGGCAAAAACGCGCTGCTTCTCATACGTCGGGGGCGGGGCGCGGGGAGTACAGGATAAGGCCTGTGGGAGGGCTGGGGCGCGGGACCACGGGGGAGGGGCGGGGCCACGGGGAGGGGCGGGGCCACGGGCGCGTGACGGCGGAGTCATGGCGGAGGCGGCTTTGAACGCCATGCGGAGGGAGTTACGAGCATTCCCGGCCGCGGCTAGGGGTGAGTGAGTCCATGCAGAGGCTGCGCCATCCCGGTGAACTGCGCAGCAGTCTCGGATGCGGGAGGAGCCCAGGGAAGTTGGGAACCGAAACCTCCTAGGCTACGGACATCAGGAGCCCGGAATCTCGTACGCAGGACTGGCTGTGGGCCCGACTCTGGTCGTCCCTCTGTTGCAGCCCCCTTCCCCAGCCCAGTGGATGGGTTCTCAGCTGATCTGAGTGGGACATGGCTCTGGAAAGCCCTCTCCAACAGTGATATTTATTGAGCACCTGGAATGTCCTCAGCACTTGGCTTGACCAATGTGGAGGTATCAAGGGATTATCCAGTCATCATCTCAAGAAGCTTATATCCTACCTGGGGAGACAAACTACCTCGCTTTCATATCTACCTGGCAGGTTCCATCTTGCCTCTAGTCAGGGAGGCAAGCACGTGCGTCAGCTCTTTCCTTTTCAGTTTTCCTGAGCTCACTACGATCTTCCCACTCAGGTCCAGTTTCTGATCTAAAGACATTCACTTTCCAACTGCAAGGCAAAGGTGACCAGCATGGAGACACAACCGTGAAAGATGGAGCATAACCTCAAAGATGAAAATGAGTGCCATGGCCATTTGGAGCAGGACTGGTAACTGCCAGTTGGGGGCCAAGGCATTCCAGCTAGCCCTCGAGGATGAAAATAACAAAGTGAAGCACTGTACCCTTTATAAAAGCCAGGAGAAAAACATTCCAGTCTGAGTGAGCACCAGGAACAAAGTCCAGCACCCTCTGAGTAGAGGGTGTGTAGAAAGGGGCAGGCACAGGACAGGAGGAAATCACACTGGTAAAGTAGGTAGGGCTTGATGCTGGAGCACCTTGAATGCATGCCAAGGCAGACAGTGTTCTGTAAAGAGTAGTGGTAAGCCATCAAAGGATTTTTTTTCTAGGGAGGGGTGTGACAAGATGAGATTGTATTTTCAGAAAATGACTGGGCCCAGAATGATGGATGCTTTAAGAGGGAGTGGAATTAAGCCAGCTAAACCGGTTAGTTCACTGCAGCAACTGTCCTGCCAGGATGTTGGAAACTTTAATTTAACCATTAAGCAAATATTTACTGAGCACCTACTGAGTAAATAGGTCCCCAGGGATGCATCAATAAACAAGACAAGCATCTCTACTCTTGTGGAGTTTACATTCTAGCGAGGGAGACAGACCAATAAACAATTTAAGTGAAATATATGGCATGTTAGATGGCATGGTAATAAATGCTGAGGAGAAAAATAGAAAAGGGATATAAGGATTGTTGGGGGTGCAGATTAAAATCTTGAAAAGGGTGGTCAGGGAAGGAAGCTTCATCAATGTGACATTTGAGTGAGGTCCCAGAGGAGGTAGCTTGAATATGGACACCAGCAGAGGAAAGAAAGAAGGGGTGGGTTTGAGAGACAAAGGAGGTAGAATCAACAGGATTTAGAGACAACCAGTAGGATGACAGGATTGAGGCAGATGGATGAAATAAACAGAAGAGATATTTATTAAGAGTGACACAGGGCCACTATAGACATCCACACAGGTGGCATGCTGCACAATCGCCCAAATGCACATGGTGGCCCTAGGTGTTTGAGGATGGTGATACTATTCAGTAAGACCAAAACCACAGTTCAGCCCTTACTTTTCCTCTGGTGGTTTCATATGGTAGTTTGTCTCCCCAGGTAGGATATAAGCTTCTTGAGATGATGTTTGGATAATCCCTTGATACATCCACATTGGTCAAGCCAAGTGATGAGGACATTCCAGGTGCTCAAATATCACTGTTGGAGAGGGCTTTCCAGAGCTATGTCCCACTCAGATCAGCCCATGGCCTTGAGGCTTTGACCCTACTCATTCCAGAGCTCCTAACACTGCCTCAGTGGCTGCCCTTTCTAAGGGATGCTAGGAGGTTGGCCCCTCCAGGGTAGGAAAGCTAGACATGGCCCCACAGTGGATGTGGATGGGCTGAGCAGCAGCTCTTGGCCTGTGGACTCTTATGGTTTATGCTGATGTGATTGTGTGTGCTTTATGCCTTCTCTCTTAAAATTCCCTCATTCTTCGGTTCCTGGTTGTCCAGGGTCCCTTGGTTACCAAAGGTCATCGCCCAATTACACAGTGTGGTCTTTCTGAGGAGGGCATCTCTTATGCAGGCAGTGGTGCAGGTATTTGGTGCTGCTGGCTTCAGCCCCCTATTCTTTCTCTCAGAGCTGAGCGTGCCTCTTGCTGTGTCATACTTGGATGAGCCACCAACTCCACTTCACTTCTACCGGGACTGGGTCTGCCCCAACAGGCCCTGCATCATCCGCAATGCCCTGCAGCACTGGCCGGCCCTCCAGAAGTGGTCCTTCCCCTACTTCAGGTGGGGGCTGCCCTAGCTGGGGTTTGGGTGGTACTGTCCTGGGGTGGGGCAAGGGCAGTGATTTCTAGCATCTAAGCATGAGCTGAGTGTCCATTCCTCCAGAGCCACAGTGGGATCCACAGAGGTCAGTGTAGCTGTGACCCCAGATGGTTATGCAGATGCAGTGCGAGGGAACCGCTTTGTGATGCCCGCTGAGTGCCGCCTGCCCCTGAGCTGTGTGCTGGATGTGCTGGAGGGCCAAGTCCAACACCCAGGAGTCCTCTATGTGCAGAAGCAGTGCTCCAACCTGCCCACTGAGCTGCCCCAGCTACTTCCTGATCTGGAGCCCCATGTGCCTTGGGCCTCCGAAGCTCTGGGTGAGTGGAGGTAGAAGATAGAGGAAGGCAAGGCAGGCAGATTTGGGAAGGAAGGGGTCAGCCTGCTGGCTTATGCTCTCTTTCGTGATGACTTGGCCCACATGCTTGGCCCAGCAGGGTCAGGTCTGTCCACTAAATGCTCAAGTCCCCAGGCCTGGACTTAATAATAGATGGACTCCCGAAGATTGTTGCCTTTCCTGCTGTCCCAGGGGAGGATGGGCCCCTTCCCCAATTTCTCCCAACATCTGCCTCTTCTCCCTGACTCTGTTTCTTGGGATTCCTTTGCTCCCCACCCAGATTTTTGTTCCAGCATCACTGTATGGTAGCTATCCCCAGCCTGGCCTTCCTAACTTGCCCTCTGTCCCACAGGAAAGATGCCCGATGCTGTGAACTTCTGGCTGGGGGAGGCGGCTGCAGTGACATCTTGTAGGTGTCAGGGGAATACAAAGGTGGGGACGGAGGGGGTGGGGACAGAGGGAGGGAAGATGAGGCCAGGAGTGGAAGTCTGGGCATGGATGGGAGTCAGGCTGACTGTTCTAAGATTTCTTTTGGGATCTGGGACTTGGGCACCACAGAGGGTCTCCTCTGACAGTTTTGGTGGGGGGCGGGTACCCATTCACTGGGGATGGAATGTACTGTTTCTTCGAGGTCCCTAGAAGGCTCTCTGAAGGCCAGCTAGGTCAGGGGGTGAACTTAGGAGAACCCTGTTGGCTCTAGTTCCCTCTTGACAGAGGAGCCCAGGGCCTGGTTCCTAGCAGCATCAAATCCCTGGTGGGCAGTGTTCTGAAATGCCTGCCAGACTCCTTGGCATCACCTTGAGCCTGCTGACTCTTTACATGCTCTTCTGTCACAGGCAGTCGTGGGGCTCAGGGCTCTGAGCACTATGGTTTGCCCCTCCTGTGCCCCTGCCCTTCATACCCTGACCACTGGGTCTTTTTTGTGTTGACAGTACACAAGGACCACTATGAGAACCTCTACTGTGTGGTCTCAGGAGAGAAACACTTCTTGTTACATCCGCCCAGCGACCGGCCCTTTATCCCTTATGGTATGGGATGTGGCCTACAGGGGCTGCGGAACAGGTGGCCCAAGGTGGGGGGAGGACAGCAAGAGCCCTGGACAGGCTGGTGCCAAGGCCTGCGGTATGGCCACAGCATCTCCACTGCACCAGGATCCCTGACCTTGCCCTTGCACCCAGGGAACAAGTGGGCTGCTGGTGGGGAGGGTCTGGCAAATTCCAGGTCATTTGAGGTTCCCCACACCCTTCTCCCTTGGGTTTCAGAGCTGTACACACCAGCAACCTACCAGCTAACTGAAGAGGGCACCTTTAAGATGGTGGATGAAGAGGCCATGGAGAAGGTGTCTATCCTGTTCCTGGGCTCTAGGGAGGAGAAGGGCAAGAGCCTGGGCTCTGAGGAGCAGGCTCAAAAAATCTGGGAAGGTGGCACCTTGCTCTGAAAAGTCCCTGAGTCTGGAGCCTCTCAGCGCTGAGCAGAGCAGGGCCCATGATGTTTTTCCTTTGAAAGGGACAGAGCTGGAGGGCCTGGGGTGCTTGGGGCTGCTCCCTGGCATCCGCTGTGTTCCCAGGTGCCCTGGATCCCACTGGACCCCTTGGCTCCAGACCTGGCCCGGTACCCCAGTTACAGTCAGGCTCAGGCCCTTCATTGTACGGTGCAGGCTGGAGAGATGCTCTACCTGCCGGCCCTATGGTTCCACCACGTCCGACAATCCCATGGCTGCATTGCTGGTGAGGAGCTGCCCAGACCACCTGGGGGCAGGCCCTGCCAAGGCCCAGCAGGGCATGTTGGGGTTGGGAGAAGGCTGGGGAAGCTCAAAATTAGAAGAAGGACCCTCATGCGCAGGTCCCCGTTCTCCCGACAGTGAATTTCTGGTACGACATGGAGTATGACCTCAAGTACAGTTATTTCCAGCTGCTCGACTCCCTCACTAAAGCTTCAGGCCTTGATTGACAGAGCACTGCTGAACACTGCCAAGGATGACTCGAGGAGGGGGAGATCAAGCCCCTCCCAGCGGGTCAGTTCTAAGGACAACTCAGAATTTGAGTACATGCTGGCTGCTGGCCTGGGGTCTGGCTTGGGTTGGGATCAGTTTTGGAGGATTTTGGGATATGGTCAGGAAGGCCAGGAGGTGAGGCAGGTGTGGGCGATGACTCCCAGGAAGTTGCCACACAACTTCCTGTCCTCCTGCAGGAGGAGCAGGAGTCAGCTGCAGCAGCACCTCCCATCAGCACTGTGACCTTAGGCAGATTGCTGTCTCTCAGGGCATTGGTGTCCTGTCTGTAAAATGGAGATAATAATAGTTCTACCTTACGGGCTGTCACAGGGTTGGAATTGATATTGGTAAGGACCAGCGTGGGGCTGGCACAGAGAAAGCATTCAATAAAAGGTAGCTGTGACTCATGTGTTCTGAGATTCCCTCTTGCAGTTGCCTTCCATGGTCTGGTGAGGGCTTGAAGGTTCAGGTAAAAATTTCAGGATGACCCTGATTGGAAGTGAGGGCTGGATTCAGGCCTGGGCCTGAGGGGCTGTCCAATGTCCAAATCCCTTTGTCCACAACAAACACTGCAGCCCCTCCCCAGGGCAAGCAAGCTGACCTCAGTCTCATAGCTCATCGCTACCAAGGCTGTTCCTAGCTTTCCTCTGGCCTGGTTTACTCTCCTCCCTCAGTTCCAGGGCAGCTGGTGGGGCCTGGTGCCATATAGGTAACCCCTGTTTCTCTTATGACTAGCACAGGTAGGAAAGGACAGAAACTCTGCCTCTCCTGGGGCTGTCCCTCTGAGGAAGGAATTGGTTTCCACACTCAGATGCCCCCCATTCCCCCACAAACCAGGCCCTGGAGACAGAAGAGTCCCCTGCTCCTGAGTACCAACCCACAAGCCTCATCCCCAGCCACCTAGCTCCTAGGGTGGAGGCAGCCCAGCACATGGCTTTGAAGGGCTGTTTTATGTGGCAGAGCCACTCCTCTGCCGGGTTGTGATGGGGCCTGGGGTGCTCTTCTCGGATTGGCCAAGTGCATCAGTCAAGACTGGGCATTCCTGTTGTACTAGCACCCAGAGGTTGCAAAAGGCCCTGCTGATGGCACTTGGCTCTTCTGTTTGCTGCTGCTCTGGGGCTCCCTCCCTGCTCTCCTGCTTATTCTGACAAGCTCTCCTGGCAGCTCCCTCCTCTAAATAAGATCTGGGAACACAGGGCTGTGTGGGGCAAGCCCAGAGTGGGGTGTGGCTGGAGAGTGTGAGTCTTGCAGGGAGCTGGGGTGTGGGTGTTGAGCCCCCAACACAAGGGTGTCAGTGGCTCCAGTGTAGGTTTAAGGTGTCTCACTTCCTGGACAGGTGGCTGGTCCAGGAGTGGGTGTGGGGCTTGGGTAGAGTGGAGGAGGTGGGTGGGAGGGACCAAGGAGGAGCTCGGGGCCAGCTGGGACACCCCTGGATCTGGGTTAAAACGCTGACAGTCGGGCCTGTGGCTACCACCCCTTGTTCCTGCTCCTGAGGACTCAGTCTCATGGCTCTGGTAAGGCCCCGTAGGGCACTGGGCCCCGACTCTGCCCCAATCCCCACCCAGGGCCTGGTTAATGCTGTTTCTTAGAGGAGCTGTGGCTTTTCTTTTTTTTCTTTTTTTTTTTTTTTTGTCTTTTGTCTTTTTCTGTGTCCGGCAACGGATCGCAACCCTCAGTGTCGCCCCCGTACCGGACCTGGGACCGGCAACGGGATTGCATCCCTCGGTGTCGCTCCCGCGCCTCGCTCAGCCAGTGAGCGGGAACCGGTCCGTATGTGGGATCCGAACCCTCTTTTTCCGTGTCCGGCAACGGATCGCAACCCTCAGTGTTGCCCCCGTACCGGACCGGGGACCGGCAACGGGATTGCAACCCTCGGTGTCGCTCCCGCGCCTCGCTCAGCCAGTGAGCGGGAACCGGTCCGTATGTGGGATCCGAACCCTCGGGCAGGAGCGCCGCCGCGCTTCCCAAGCGGCGCACTATCCAGTGCGCCACTGGGCCAGCCCGGAGCTGTGGCTTTTCCATGAGTAGAAAGCGGTGTGTGCTGGCCGCAGGACCAGGGCAGTGAGCAGAAGCCAAGGGAAAGGTAGGGCTCTGGGATGAGGAATCCCTCCTGAGTTCTTTCTGCCCTGGGAATGGGCTCCAGGCAGAGCTCCCTGGCACCATGGATTTGGGCCCTGGGAACACTGAGGTTCCATGCTACCATCCCGGAGCCCGAGGGAAGTGGCTGCTCCAGTACCACTCTGACTCAGTTGCTTGGGGTGTGGGGGCCCTGGGCCTGGCACTGATGCATGAGCTTCCCCAGCTCTGCCCCAATCCCAGTGGCTGCCTGGACTTGATCCATCAGGGCCCTTCTGGAGGCAGGGCTGAAAGCCAGAAGAAAGGACCAGTTGGCACAGGCTTCCCCTGCCCTGGCATACCTTCCAGAATCTACATTCTCAGAACCAGGGGAGTGGATTTGGAGGGAGCTACCTGGGGACCATCTTTAGCCTGACTACATAGGACCTGGAGGAACTGCTGTATGTACCCTATCAGAGCCCATTTCCAGATGGCCTTCAGGGATGGAGAATATGGGGAGCAGTTCAATTGAGGGGCCCAAGGCCCTGACATGCCTCTTCCCCTGCCCCAACTGCTTATATCCCCTGCCACCCAAGACATGCCTCAAAGCTGCTTAGAAAGGATGTGAGCTAGGGATGTGGGATGGAAAGACTAGATGATACTGTATCCAGGAAATAGGAGGAAGTATGTGTGGGGCACAATTCTGTAGCTACTAGGTTCTAGTCCTGATTGTGGACCTCTGGCAAGTGACTGCTTAACCTCTCTGTGCCTCAGTTTCCTTGTGGGGTTGGCCATCATAAATCGTGCCCATGCACAGGGTTGTTGGGTATTAAATGACTTTATGTAAAACCCTTGGCCCAGCGCTGGGCGCAGAGCATTGTGTAAGTGTTGGCAGGTGTAATCACCAAGATGCTGTATCTCCTCCTATTGATTCAGGATGTGATGAAGAGTTCAGGCCCCAGGGTGAGTGGGCCTGATCCTTTCAGTTCAGGATTAGGCTTTGTGGGACTGCTGCAGTCTCCCTTGTGGCCCTTGTTGCCTTTGGCACCATCAGCTTGCAGCAAGTCTGCCCCCTTCCTCATCTGCAGGCAAAGGTACCTGGAACCTGTCTGCTCACTGTGTGTGTCCGGCAGGCCCATGGCCTGCCCTCCAAGGACCTAGGTGAGTGCCTAGGAGGAGGGTGCTGCAGCTAGATTCAGAGGGGGATGGGACTAGTGGGAGGGGCCCAGAGGAGGGCTGGACTTGCAGGGGTCCCAGAGGGGGGGGCTGAGAGGAGGTTCTGGGTGGAAGATGGCAGCTGGGGCTCTGCTGCTGTCCGTCCTGCCTCCCCACCCAGCCCCATTCCACATGGGTTCCTAGTGATGGAAGGAAGTAGAATCTGGGCTGGGAAGGGCTGTTGGCGTTCTTCCCACAGTGACCCCCTCTGACTGCTATGTGACTCTGTGGCTGCCCACGGCCTCCAGCCACAAGATTCAGACATGCACAGTCAAGAACAGCAGAAGCCCCATCTGGAATCAGAGCTTTCACTTCCGAATCCACAGCCAGATTAAGGTGGGCCAGGCGTCAGCCCCAGCCCTGCTCCCTGTCCACCCACTGCCATCTGTCCTCTCCCAGACCCTCCTTCCTGCATCCTTATTTTGTTCCCCTTCCAGAACATCATGGAACTGAAAGTCTTTGACCAGGACCTGTTGACAAAAGACGACCCCGTGTTATCAGTGCTGTTTGACGCAGGGACCCTGCGGGCTGGGGAGTTCCGGCGCGAGAGTTTCTCATTGAGCCCTCAGGTAAGGCTATATTTGAGGCCGCAGAGGGTGCCCCAGCCCTGGGAAGGGGGGGCACTTTGGAAGGGAGCTGGTACAGGCCCCTCTTCTCTAGGGAGTGATCCGGGCTTCCCTGGCATCTGAGAGGCCTCTGCCAGCCAGGTGCTCCTGTCCACTGAGCAGCAGTCCCATCCCTGACCCTCTGAGCCAAGGGGCAGCTTTCTTGGAGCTATCCAAGTAGTGTGGACAGAGCAGCCTGGAGATGGACAGTGGCTTTCCCCATCACTGGTGCTTGGGTCGGAATCTGCACACACTCTGGCGTTCACACACATGCACACTCCTTCTAACCCTTTCTAACTTGCTTCTCTCTCTCTCTCCAGGGTGAGGAGCGGTTAGAAGTTGAATTTCGGCTGCAGAGTCTGTGAGTCAAGGGCCACGAGGCAGTTGTGGGTGGGAGCGCTTCCTTCTGGGAAGGACAGTGCCAGCACACCCAGAGCTGGTGCCCTTCCCTACTGGAGGAGGAATGCTCAGGCCTCCGTGGGGGTGGGAACGTGAGAACCTGGACTTCTGCTCAGGATCACTGGGGGCTCTTTCCAGGACAGGCTGTGCCGAGCAGCTCATCAGCAATGGCATCCTGGTGGTGAGTCTGGAACAGCCCTTGGGGTGGACTGGGGGTTCCTAGGAACTCCTCCCTCACACTCTTCTTCCTGGGTCTTGGTGGCGCTGAGTTTGGGGGGGACCCTGTGATTTCAGTTTGTCGAGGGAATACAACTACAAGCAAATGCTTGGTGACTCAGGGCAAAGGTAATAAAGTGCTGAGGAGCAAGCACTGGGGTGCTGGGAGTGTAGGGGTCCCTGAGCAGGGAAGGGGTTAGCCTCTGAGGGGCTCTCTTAACAATTCAGGCCCGGGAACTCTCCTGCTTGCACGTTCAACTGGAGGAGACAGAGGACCACAAGGGTGAGTCCCCGACACACTGAGACAGTCCCCAGCCCCCAGTCCTTGTCTTCCCCCTTTCTAAGGGGACCCTGGAGGGGATTTTGCACTAGCTGACTTTGGCTCCCAAAGGCAGGAGTAGGGGTTGGGCAGTAAATCCATGCTGGGGCTCCAGGACCTGAGCTTTCCCCCTTAGTCCTGCTCCGAGGGGCTCCATCTTCCAGCCTCAGTATGGGCCAGACCTCCATTTCAATGAACAGAGGGAACTGCCCTTCAGATTCCTCGGGCAAGACGAGGGACTCCGTGGGCAGAGATCTCATTCCCAGCCTCTCTGCCCTGGTTCCTGTTTCCAGAGTCAGAGCGCAGAGTTCAGCTTGTGGTTCCTGGATCCTATGAGGGTCTGCAGGAGGCCTCTGTGGGCACCAGAACTTTCTGCTTCCATTGCCCATCCTGCTGGGAGCAAGAGCTGGGTCTTCATCTGCAGGTAGTATGCCTCATGCCCTTGAGACAGGACCCCCAGAGTCTTCCACCCTCCTACCTCAGCGCCTCCTCCCAGGATGACCTCTGCTCACCCAAGCCCCACCTCCCCCATATCACTCCCTGGCAGAGTCAGGCACCCCAGGCGGGGTGTATGTGGGTGATGTTGGTCTCCTGTCCTTTCCCTACCACTCCTCTGTTGCTGCCAGGGGAAGTTGGTGAGATCCTTGCTAGGAGAGGAAGGGTAAAGATTCTTAGGTCTCCTTCCTTCCTCTCCCCTGCAGGATGCCCCCCAGGAGCAACTGAAGGTGCCACTGAGGGCCCTACCTTCTGGCCAACTGATGAGGCTTGTCTTCCCCATGTCCCAGGTACTGGCCACCCAAAGGAGGAAAGTAGATGCATGGACAGGGCTGGGCCCCAGCCCCCTGCCCTTGAAGGGACTGGCCTGCTGCTGTAGCAACTTCTCTCCTCGGGTCGTGCTCTGAACAGATGCCTAGGCCAGTCTTGTGGGGGAGGGTCCACTGAGATCCCTGCCTTCAGGCATCAGACCTGGCCCCTGTGGAGATGGGTGGGGCCTAAAGGAGCATGGGGACATCATAGGGGTGTGTCCGGGCCAGGGTAGAGGAATGGAGTTGGGTAGAGGTGGCCAACCTTTGTGACTGGGGCATTCATGGTTTTCAGGAGCCCCTGATGAGAGTGAAGCTGAAAAAAGAAGGGTGAGAGGCCTGGCTGGGGGTTGGGAAAGGCCATGGGGAAGCAACCAGGGAGGGGTGGCTGAAGGCAAGGCATCTAGGGCCGGCCCCGTGGCTCACTCGGGAGAGTGCGGTGCTGATAACACCAAGGCCCTGGGTTCGGATCCCACATAGGGATGGCCGGTTCGCTCACTGGCTGAGCGTGGTGCTGACAACACCAAGTCAAGGGTTAAGATCCCCTTACCGGTCATCTTTAAAAAAAATAAAATAAAATAAAGGCAAGGCATCTAGCCTGGCAGAGTGAGCAGGCAGCTCACAGTACAGTTGCCACCAAGCCTCTTTGAAGATGCTCAGGGGCTTGCTCATGGTGGAGTGTTAAGTACAGGGATGAAGCCTTGGCATAGAAAGGTGCTTTTCTTAATGGTTTTACTTATGTTTCTGCTTTAGTTGGTGGGGTGTGTGCCCAACCCGGTGCCAGGCACCTGATAAATTTTTGGCTGGAAAAACAGGTGGGAAGTGAAGACAGTACCATGGTTTGAGGCACAGAGAGGGCAAGGAAACCGAGAGGGGAGAGGGGAAATTGTGCCCTTTTGGGTGGAAGGTGTAGTGGACAGACCTTAAATAACCTTCATAAGAGGAGTCGCCCACCCTGCCCTCCATGCCTTGGGTAAGTAGCTTCTCACTATGCAGAGATGGGATCAGTGGTCCTTTCCTGTGCCCTTGTAGTCATTTTTGTACTTGGTGGATGAGGGAGATAAACTGAGACTTGGATATGGGATCTACAGTGTTGGGTCCTGCCCAGGGGCCTATCTGCACCTGGGACTCCAAGTGGCCTCTTTAGTCCCTGACGTTTGCTAAGTGTGCCTCACATGGATCTGGGTTCGCCTTCTCCTCTTGCTCCATCCACAGGTGTCAAACTTCAGAGTCTTAGGACACAAGGGTGGCAGTGAGGGTTGGGAGAGGACAGGAGAGAGGGCAGTGGCTTGGTAGGCGAGGCAGACCTAGCTTCCCTTTCTCTGGCAGGGCTGAGAGCTGTCTCATGGTCTCTTCCTTCCCCCCAGACCAAGGGAGCTAGCCGTGCGGCTGGGCTGTGGGACCTGTGCGGAGGAGCAGGCCTTCTTGAGCAGGAGGAAGCAGGTGGTGGCCGCAGCCCTGAAGCAAGCCCTGCAGCTGGATGGAGACCTGCATGAGGATGAGGTCTGGGGGCTGGGCAGGATTGGGTGGAGTCGTCCCCGCTTGCTTGGGCCCAGAGACAAGTGTTAAAGGCTGGACTGTTCCGTGACCAGAGCCAGTGCCAACCAGGCTTGTACCTGTCTTCCATCTGCCTGCCCCTGCTCTGCATCCCTCTCACAAGATATTGGCAGGGGCTTGATAAGTACAGAGTGTTGCTTGAGGCACTTGGAGCTCACAGATGGGAACTTCCCTGCTAGACTCTTTTCTTCTCTTTATCTCTTGGTCCTTAGCCTGGCCCAGGTTTTGAAACTGGACTTAGTCTGACCAATTAGTGAGACAGACATCTGGTACAAAGATCGCTTGTTGGCTCAGGGTGATCCCAGGAGGTTCATATCAGCCTGGGTCATCTCCTAGGGAATGACTAATCCTTGCAAGAGGGGGAGAAGTGGCTATTTGGAAGACTTTTGAGGTGGCCTCAAAAAGTGAAAGTTATCATCAGACTCCTCATGGTCTAGGGGTGAGGAGATGAGGCCTGCTGGAACTTGTCTGGGCCACTTTTCCTGGAGTTCTTAAAACTAAAGAAGCCTGACCCTCAGGAGACATTTCTGATTAGATTCTTAGCAGGGATGACTCAGATCTGGTTCCCAAGACCCCTGATCAGGCCTTAGCCAGTGAGGGGGCTGGGGGGCGACAAGCTGAATGGCAACTTGACCTGCTACCTTCTCTTCCTGCGCTTTGGCCTCCTCCATCCCTAGGGCCTCTCTGAGCTTGGCTGTTTTCTCTTCCAGATCCCAGTCGTAGCGGTTATGGCCACTGGTGGTGGTATACGGGCAATGACTTCCTTGTATGGTCAGCTGGCTGGCCTGAGGGAGTTGGGCCTCTTGGATTGCATCTCCTACATCACAGGGGCCTCAGGTTCTACCTGGTGAGCTGGTGGAAGGTTGAGTGCTAGAGCCTGCAGTTAGCTAGGTGGGTCGTGGGAGGGGGTGCTGGGGTAAGGCTCTCTTAGGCGTCTGTGGAAACTGGAAGGTCTGAGAGAATGCACGGGCCAGGGAGAAATGTGTTCAAGGGACCCTTGAAGGGGCTGCCAGGCTGTTGTCCTAGAGGAGAAGGACGTGAGGTGTAGATGGGGTTTTTAAGTGATAATCCCCTTGTCTTTGGCTTTTCTCAGGGCCTTGGCCAACCTCTATGAGGATCCAGAGTGGTCTCAGAAGGATCTAGCAGGACCCACAGAGTTGCTGAAGATGCAGGTGACCAAGAGCAAGCTGGGTGTGCTGGCCCCCAGCCAGCTGCAGCGGTACCGGCAGGAGCTGGCTGAGCGTGCCCGCCTGGGCTACCCGAACTGCTTCACCAATCTGTGGGCCCTCATCAATGAGGCACTGCTGCATGATGAGGTATGGGGAGGGGTGCAGCCTGGGGAGCAATGCAGGGCGAGGACTGGAGATGGGGTGCAGCACTAGGCAGCAGGAGTGGGAAATGCTCCAGGTACCAAGAAGCTGTGGGTTTAGGTTCTAATCATCTTTCCCCTAGCCCCATGACCACAAGCTCTCAGATCAGCGGGAGGCCCTGAGTCGTGGCCAGAACCCTCTGCCCATCTACTCTGCCCTCAACACCAAGGGGCAGAGCCTGACCACCTTTGAATTTGCAGGTGAGTGGCCCTGGAGCTGAGCCCCGTGCTCTCACGGTTGGTGGGAGAAGGGGTAACCAGGCCTCTGTGTAGGACATGGATTTTACACCCCCTTTCCTGGGCCAGGTTCCATGCTTTTCAGAAACTGTCATCCTACCAAGGTCCTTCAGGCCTCTGGAATGGGGGCAAGGGCTTAGATCGCATGCTCAAAGTCCCAGCAACAAAGCCTGAGCCTCCTGGTCCCAGGGCTGCCTGAGTGTTCCAGGTCCCTGAGGTATGTGGCCTCCTTACAGAGTGGTGCGAGTTCTCCCCCTATGAGGTCGGCTTCCCCAAGTATGGGGCCTTTGTTCCCTCCGAGCTCTTTGGCTCTGAGTTCTTCATGGGACGGCTGATGAAGAGGCTTCCTGAGTCCCGCATCTGCTTCTTGGAAGGTGAGGGGTATCTGGAAGGCTACAGAAGCCGGGCAGAGGGAAGAGAATGGGCCTGGATGAGAGAGCAGGCCCTGGACCCTCCCAGCTCAGACACTAAGATGTTTCCTGGTCCAGGATGGGCCACAGGGAAGGGTCAGGTGGTGACAGGGGTGGGGGACCCTCTTCCCCTCATGTTCACTCTCTCAGGTATCTGGAGCAACCTGTATGCAGCCAACCTCCAGGACAGCTTATACTGGGCCTCAGAGCCTAGCCAATTCTGGGACCGCTGGGCCCAGAATCAGGCCAGCCTGGGTAGGTGCTTGGGTTCCTTTGTAAGGGTGCAGAGGGATAGCCAGTTAGGAGTGTATTTGTGGGGTGGTGGGGGTGGCTCTCAGGCCTTTGTGGGTCTCAACTGTTCCTCCTCCAGGGTCACCACAGAAGCTGGGATAAAGGTCCAGGGGTCCCCGTTTCCTGAAAGATGCCTCATTTCCCCCACACTCTCTTGTCTGTGCAGACAAGGAACAAGTCCCTCTTCTGAAGGTAGAAGAGCCACCCGCAACAGCTGACAAGATAGCCGAGCTTTTCACTGACCTTCTGACGAGGCGCCCACTTGCCCAGGCCACACACAATTTCTTGCATGGCCTACATTTCCACAAAGACTATTTCCAGCATCCTCATTTCTCCATCTGGAAAGGTATCTCCTTCCCTCCCCCTCGACCCAGCTCTCTATAGTCTTCGCATGGCTGCCTGAGCCGAGTGCCTGGTCCAGACACTCTCACTGTCCAGTCCCATCTCTCCCCTCAAACCTCATCCTTTGAGCTCAGTTCCCTGGACTGTTTGGAGAAGCTCCTTTTCTCTCTCAGGGCCCACCTTCAGGGTTGTAGAGGTGCTACTACAGCAGGAGAGAGCAGGGGCCAGAGGACAGATTCTCTCTTCCCACCAGCAGCAAGAATCACCATTAACCAGGAGGAGCCTGGGGCCCTTAGTATCAATGACAGTTGCTGCTTCTTCTACTCCATCCCCCCAAACCTTTCTAGCCACCACATTGGATGGGCTTCCCAACCAGCTGACCCCTATGGAGCCCCACCTTTGCCTGCTGGATGTTGGCTACCTCATCAACACCAGCTGCATGCCCCTCCTGCAGCCCACCCGGGATGTGGACCTCATCTTGTCGCTGGACTACAACCTCCATGGAGCCTTTCAGGTTGGTGGGGGGTGGGGCAGGACAAGCGTGACTTGGGATGTTGGGGCAGGTATGAGAGGTAGTGGGCAACTCAAGCCTGTCCTCCTGGCTCCTGCCCCTGGAGAGATCCATTCTGGAGTTCAGTATCTGGTCCAGCTTCCTTTAGGAGCTGTGACAGTGACACCAGGTGAATGGAACACTGGATCCTATAACTTCATTACCAGGGAAGCTTATTCTGCTCAGGAAGCTTGGGATGTTTTCATATGCATTTTATATTTGGGTCTTTACTGTAACTGCATCCCTATAAGGTCCTGGACCTCTGGGACCCAACCACTGTGAGTTTCTGTGTTGCTCCAGTGAGAGGTTTTTTTTTTTTTTCCTTTTTGTCTTTTTTCATGACCGGCAACGGATCGCAACCCTCAGTGTCGCGCCCGCACCTTGCTCAGCCAGTGAGCGGCCGGTCTGTGCGTGGGATCCGAACCCTCGGCGGGAGCGCCGCCACGCTCCCAAGTGGCGCACTGTAGCAGTGCGCCACCGGGCCGGCCCCAGTGAGAGGTTTTTGCCTCCCAATTTCAGAACTGGAGGGTTGTTGGCAGCCCCTGAGGAGTTGCAACAGGAGCAGTCAGATTTAGAGTAGTCTTTTCTTAGTGGCATGACTTTGCTGGGTCCACTGGAGTCTCTGACTTGGAATTCGAGCACTGAATCCTGCATGTCTTAGTGAATCTCCATGTTCAGCCAGCCCCATGGGCTCGTACCTCTGATGCCACTTCTGCCCGTCCTGTAGCAGCTGCAGCTCCTCAGTCGGTTCTGCCAGGAGCAGGGGATCCCATTCCCGCCCATCTCGCCCAGCCCAGAAGAGCAGTGCCAGCCTCGGGAGTGCCACGCCTTCTCCGACCCTGCCCACCCTGAAGCCCCTGTGGTGCTGCACTTCCCTCTGGTCAATGACTCCTTCCGGGAGCACTCAGCTCCTGGTAAGCCACCATCCCCAGACCCTTCCTCACCTACCTGGTGCTCAGGCCCCCTGTCCTCAGTTACACCTCCTCCATCCTTTATGCCTCTCCACAGGTGACCCCAAACCCATCCCCAGTGAATTTGCTCTCCATGCCCAGGCTGCACTCTTTCCACAGGGGTCCGGCGGACACCTGAGGAGGTGGCGGCTGGGGAGGTGAACCTGTCTTCATCTGACTCCCCCTACCACTACACGAAGGTGACCTACAGCCAAGAGGCTGTGGACAAGCTGCTGCGCCTGACACATTACAATATCTGCAACAGCCGGGAGCAGCTGCTGGAGGCCCTGCGCCTGGCTGTGCGGCGGAGGCGGCAACGCAGGCCTGAGTGATGGCAGGCGAGGGAAGGTGCCTGGCCCCACCACCCTTGACTTTCAGGCTCATTCCCCTTCTGCTCTGAGTTGGGGGTGGGGGACCATCATCGCCAAGTGTTCCAGAGCCTCTGGGGACTCAGCTGGCCCAGTCACAGTTCCACTGAGGTGTCTGCCCAGAACCGCCCAGATGTGGTAGTGACTGAAGCACCAGCAACCCTGTCACAGAGGACAAGGCCCAGCTCCTTGTGGCTACAAATGCAGCCAAGGCCCAGAGCTGACTTTCTCTGAGCAGGGGGAAGATTTGGGGCTCAGATGTTCTGTGGCAGCTGAGGGGAACTAAGGTGGCAGGAGCTCAGAGCAGTATTGACCAAAGTTGTATAAGTGCTCAAAGCCTCATGACCTGTGTCTGTTTTCCCTTTCATGCTACTTCAAATAGTTGTACAGAATGAAATGGAGCACCTAGCACCACATGTTTGTTTGAATCTCTGTAATGCATTATCTGAGATTATCTGTCATTACCACTGAGAGGGGGCATGTCATTCCAGACTCTTGGATATACATGCAAGGACTGGTTAAAAAAAAGTCTCCCCCACCTATCAGAGGTAGCTCATCAGTGTGAGCTTCCCCTGAAAAGCAGGGCATCTGCTCATGTCTGCTGGTGCTCATGGCCACCCTTTCCAAGCAGGGAGGAGAACAGTTTGGCCTGGGGATGGGGTGGGGCCTCTGCTGCTGTAGTCCTAGCTTTGTCCACCTTTTCTAACATCTGTCCCCTTCACCCAGGCAGAGACCTCAGGGTGAGGCCAAGGATTAGTCAAATGGCTATTTCTCGCCATGCAGTAAGGGCGGCCAGACCTGGGACCAGCAGCAACAGTGTAACTTCATCTGGCTGTGACCTTGGTGGGGCCTATCTTCTAATAAGGAACTATCTATTCCAGAAGCTGGTCTTGAGGGACCTGGCCTGGCTTTGGGCAGAGCCTAGGACTGAGCAGCCAGGAGAGAGATACCCTCATGCCTGTAGCTGAGTCTCATTCTGGTCCCCTACTGTGTGTTCTTGCTTGTAGCTCTGAGGTTTAGTGTTGCCTTGGGGTTCACTTCAAGGTCCAGACCTGTTGGAAGAACAGGGAGGCAGAGTGAGTTTAGGACCTGGCCACCCCAGAATCTTCTCCAAGCACTTCTCCCCAGCTCTCCAGCCTCCCTGCTTCCTAGAATAAGTATGGGGAGTAGATTCCAGGAGCTGACAGGCAGCTGCAGGAGCAACCACAGTTTTGTGGGGCAAATGGGAGGAAATTGCCTTGATACAACATCTGTCAGCCCTGGCTAAGCAACTCTCAGGCCCTGCCCTGGGGGACAGGGCTAGGGTCACAGAACAGAAGAAATGGCTGTCCTGGTAGCCTGAAACACCACTGTATCCAGGACAAGGCCTCTCCCTTCAGCAACACATCATCCGAATCACAAATTGGAACCCTTGGGCCCTACAGGAGTGGATGACTATGCCACAGACCACAGCCATGGCTGCCTCCTGTTATGGTGTGAAAGCCTTCCGGGCACATGGTTCTGCACGTGTGTACATGTGTGTGCATGATAGCTAGGCTCATTCTGGGGGCCTGTGTATGGAGAATTTGCCTGTCTCCAATCCCTCCCCCATTTCCATCTAGCCCCAAGTGTCCTCTCTCCTGGAGAGCCTGGAGCCCAGGGGCTTGGAGGTGGGAAAGCGATGTGGGTGAGGTAGTTGAGCATCTGAATAAGGCCAGGGTCTACAAGGAGAGGTTCCAAATAAGAGGCATTTGCTCCTGTACTTCAGCCTGCCACATTCTCCCAGCCTTTGCATTCCCTTGGCCCTGGTCTGCAATCCCGTGGACATGCTGACTTCCGGGCCCTTTCTATACTCTTGGAGTAGGGACTGGGGAAAGCAAGAAGAGGATGGAGGCAGAGAGCAGGGATATGAGCAAGGGAGGAGGAGGAGTCTGGTTGTCCTGCAAACAAATGCTGTGTCTTTGGGCATGAGAGGAGACCAAAAAATGAGGAATGTGTGGGTCCCTGGCAGACAAATCCAGGCAAGCTTTCCAGCAGTGTGCACAGAGAAACCTGAGAATGCCCCTTACCACGAGGCTGGCAGGGGCAGAAAAGGTGTTGGGAGCCTTGTGCAGCTTTGTCTGCAGGGCCAGTCATCTGTCGGATCTCCCCCAGCATGGAGGGCATGGAGTGAGCCCCTGGGAGGGGACAACCATTGAGTCTGTGGGGAAAGGGAGCCTTGTGGCCTGGACTCTGCTGTCACAGCTGAGAGAGAGCAGGTGTTTGCACCCAGTTAGGGCTTCCTATTTCCCAGGGGTGGTTGAGGGTCTCAAATATGGGTGTTTCCTCACAGCCTGGCATAGTGGGTCTGAATCCCAAGACTTCATGCAAAAGAGGGCAGCATCTGTGCCAGTTATTGAAGCTCAGGCCTCCCCACCCCACCCACACCCATCCCAGTGTCCTACCTGGGCAGAGCAGCTGTGCTGGACAACCTTTCTCCAGCGCTCTCAGCCAGGAAGCCAACAGGTCTGGCTTTGAGTTCTGGGCTCAGACTCTGTGCTGCAGAGCAAGGGAGGAACGACTGTCAACCCTGACCCAGACACCAGGCTAGCTATAGGCAACTGACTCTGGCAAGCTCCTTCGCCCTGCTTCTGGAGACTCCCCAGGGCTCTAGGGAATCAGTCCCATCATGCCTTTCCCAAGGGGAGGTGCAGCACAGGCTGAGTGCTCACAGGCAGGTTTTCCCCAAGGTTTCCTAGAAGACTCATGCAGATGCACTAAGAAAAGGATCAGCCTGGAGGAGGTGAGATTCTGAAACACCGAAGAAACTCAAGATCGCTTTGGGATTTTGGAAGGACAGAGTCTTGGGGGAAAGCCCAGGGAAACACATGTAGAGTGAGGAATGGAGCCAGGATCCGAGAGAGACTGGAAGGAGCCCTCAGCAGCCCCCAGGACATTCCCTGAATACATTCTCCTCACAAAGCCTTGTCAGATAACAATGACAGAGGGTTGGCTGGTTAGCTCAGTTGGTTAGAGTGCAGCCTTATAACACCAAGATCACAGATTCAGATCCCTGTACTGGCCAGCCACCATAAAAAAAAAAAAAAAAAGTTTATGATGCCAGAGAAAGTGGTCAAGGCGGCAGAACAGGACCAAGAAGCAGCTGGGGGGGTCCAGACTGAACCCACAGCTGCTGCTAATTAGCTGTGTGATCTTGAGCAAGTTGCTTAACTGGTGCAGAAACACTAGTGGCACCAGGATCTTGGGACGTAGAGAGTCGACGCCCCCACCCCAGTCCTTCCTCTGCTACTCACCTGCTGCTCTGCCCAGGGCTCGCCACCAGCTCTCAGCCTGCTCTTCAGACGGTGCTGCAAACAGGATCTCTGCCCCACTGCTCAGCCTGGCCACCAGACAGCCAGGGGTCAAACTCTCCACCTCCCCTTCGGGGACCTACCTCTAGCCCCCGCAGTCATGCTGCTGCTCCTGGGAGGCCATGCCTGAGTCCTGTGTCTCACCTTAAGGAGAAAGTGTGTCTCCTGCCATGACAGTCCCTCAGCATCTCACACTGGGCTCCCATGAGGTCAAGGAGGGCCATGGAAGCCACTTTCTGAGGAGAAACGAGGGGCAGGGGTCACCGTGGCCTTCTCATTTCCCCAGGTGGCCCTTTCTGTCCTCTGGCCCCTTTGCCTCGTGTCCAGCCCTCTGAAGTCTGCATCTCCTTGACCCATGCCGTCTAGTACCTCTGCTGCCATCCTCTCATCTGAGAACAGGCTCAGGGACCTGCCCCTGATGGTCCCATAGCAGCTGTCCCAGGAGCTTGAGCTGGGCTGTGGAGAGAGGCAATGATACTGTACCAGCAACACACACAGGGCTGGCGATGGCCAGGCCTTGTCAGAGCCTGCCACGTGTCTCCAGAGCCTCCCAGGAAAAGTACTGACTGGACCAATGTTCCCATAGGGAAGAGGGAGCCAGGGAGGAGCTCTGACAGGGAAATCAGGAAAAGGAGGAAGAGCACGAGGGAGAGGAGGAGCCCCATCCCCTCCTGGGTGGGGTAGAAGCTGTGAAGTGGTCCCAAGGAGCCAAACTATCCTGAGAGCAGGGGGTGGGATGCAGGAGGAAGTCTACTCAAGTCCACAATGCCAGGGTACCAGACCCAGATGCCCCTTGAGTTGCTCTGCAAAGGGGAGCTGCTTAGAGAATGAATCTCCTGGTACTTACCTGCCTCCCCCCAGGCAGAAGCTGCTGCTTAAGCTCCAAAGACCCCTCCATGGCAGGGGTACCCTTTGCATCCTGAAAACGCAAGATAGGGCCCAGGAAATGGCAAGAGCAACCAGCACAGAGGATGGGCCCCTCTGGAAGGTGGGCTAGGTGTCCACTGCTCCCTGACCTCTTTATTCCTGATGCCCCCAGCTCCTATAGCCAGCTCCCAGCACCTCAGTGCTGGTTCCCTTGTGTGGGCCCTTACCCCCACAGCCCTGGCCCCACTGGGATCCCGCTGCCAAGCTGCACACTCCAGGGAGACAATGGTGAAGGGTGTATGTGGCTCAATGGGGACACCTGGCTGCAAGTCCCTCGTCTCAGCCAGCTGCACTCCTGGCCCCCAGCGTCTGGAGGGCCTCTGCTGGAAGGATGTCAGGGCTGCCAACTCTTCCGGGTTTCAGCCCCTGCACCTTCTGCAGCAGCTTCTGCTCCATCTCGGGGGGGGGGGGGGGGGCAAGGTGAGCCAGGTCAACCTCTCCTCCCAAATTCCTCCCAGTCAGAGAGAGGTCCTGTCTCCTCACTATTCTTAATCTTTTGCTGTTTCAGCTCTGGAGCCTCCCTCTCATCCCAGTCTACAGTGGTGCCCTTTCCTACCCAGGATTTGGGATGGCAGGACACTGCAACTGGCCAGGACAAGGATGGGGTTTTACTGAAGGGTAAGTCCTGAGGAAGGGTCCCATGAAGGCTGAATGCTCTGGGGACACCCTGACTTGCAGGCTGAGACAAGGGATTGTTCCAACCTACCAGCCCTCATGCCCCTATCTCTTTACCCTAGTACCCCTGCCCCCTCCCTTCCCCCAGCACCCCTTACCTCTGTCGTCTTTTGTAGTTGGGCAAACTTCTCTTCCTGGGTTGCCAGCAGCTTTTCTAAGTCCTGGTGTCTGCGGAGTAGCAGCTCTACATCTGATACCGAGTGCTGGGGATAAGCAAACAGAGTGAGGGTCAACTCCTGGGGGCACTGAGAGCCTTCTTCCCCCTCTACAACCCAGCCTGGGTGGCCAGTAGGTGGAGGAGCAGCAGGATCTGCCCTGGGCCATAGCTGCAGGTGGTGGCCAGCTAGGGAGCAGGGCCTCCACTCACCCCACAGTTGGGCTCCAGCAGGAGGCCTTCTCGGGAGGCCAGCCAGGCCTCGGCCTGCTTCAGCCCCTGCCGGAGCTTCTGCAGGCCCCAGCTCTCTTCACAGTGCTGCTGGCGCAGGACCCAGGCCTCCTGGAGTGCCCGCAACTGCCTTTCCAACTCCTGCAGACACTCTGTCACCTGGCGGAGAGGGGCTACTGCAGGTGAGATCCTGGGCAGAGTTCCCACCCAGGGCGGGGCAGAGTTCCCACCCAGGGCGGGGCAGGAGAGCCAAATAGAGGCACAGAGGGAAGCCCACGAGACCCAGACCTTCTCCCTCTTGGCCTCTCTCTCCACCCCTTGGCTCAGCCTTGCTGTCCTGCTGGTTTCCATATCTGCTAGGTGTTCTGAGGCCTTGGGCAATCGGGCTGTCCCCAGCTCAACCCCAGGCCCAGCCCCTGTGCTCCCACCTCTGGGGACATGAAGTGGCTGCTGTCCACCAGCTGCTGCCCTTCCTGCAGTATGTGCTGGGCTTGAAGGCAGTGTTCCTTGAGTTCTTGCCCGAGCTCCTCATGCTGTTCAAGGAGCCGCTCAGCCTCTACCATGTCCCCAGCCAGCTCCTCTGAGGACACCAGTGCCTGCCTGTCCTGAGCCCATGCTCTGTGGGGAAGGGAAAGGAAGCTGCTGTCAGGGCTGGCACAGCAGCCTGGGGAGCAAGGGCAGGACAGAGCTGAGGCAACAGCTGAGGCAGGACACCACCTACAGCAGTTCTCGACAGCGCCTGAGGAAGGCGTGGCCCTGGGCAGCCTGTACCAGCCACTGGCCCCGCTCCTGGGCCTTTGCCTCCAGGGTGGCCCAGGCTTCCTGCACCTTGGCCAGCCACTCAGCCAGGCTCTCCTGAGCTGCAGGGTGTAGCTGGCCCAGCTGGCAGGCCTCCATCTGCACCCGTGCCACCTTCTTCTCCATAGCTGCTAGTTCCTTCTGCAATCAGAACACAAGATTGGGCCTCAGTCTCCCCAATGAACTGATGCATGCTTCCCATTCAGGAGCACCCAGGCCTCTCAGAGGAGCCACCTCCACTCTGCTCCACAACTTGGGCTGAGTCCCAGGTCCCTGAGGGAAGGGATCTGGGTTTCTAGGGAGGAGTTCCTGGAATGGGAGGGCCCCCACCTATCGCCTCAGGAGAGGGGTTGAGATAGACAGGTCCCTTCACTTCTTTCCTCTGGGGTCCCCTCACCCACTGCCTTCAGGGAGGGGCTCAGAGAAGCAGGCCGGTAGGCATGGGCCCTCACCCCCAGCCGCTTATGCTGTTGCTGCAGGGTCTGCATGGATGACAGGCTGTGGCCACGGTCGTCTCCCTCCACGAGAGTGGTTTTCTCCTGCATCCAGTCCCGGAGCTCAGCTGCCACCTGTTCCAAGCTGCGGACCTTGTGGGCTGTGGCCAGGTTCTGGGAAAGGAGGGAGCATCTGCTTGGGGCCAAGCTCTACTCCCAGGGCTCCTGACTCCCTGGAGACATGGCCTCCTGGGCCACCTCCTTTTGAACAAGTAGGACCAGGGGGCTTAGTGACTGATTCAGAACCCCCAGGTACAGAAAGTGTCCTAGATGTGGCAGCTATCCAATGAACTATACTGTTACTGACGATGTGGTAGGGCCCAGGGTTATTTGGTGAGGAGTGGGCCTTCAGGGCACACGTCACAAGAAAGGCAGACATGAAGCCCTGAAGTGGGTGGGGATGGGTCCCGATGAGGGAATAGGCTGGGCCCAGGCAGCACCACCTGCAGCATGTCTGATGGGGCCACGAGAGGAGGGGAGGATCAACTTAGGAGGCTGCCCCAGCCCAGGGCCCACAGAGATGGCATCTTCCAGGCTGGTCTATCAGGGGCCTGGAAAGCTGAGTTGCTCTGATAGAAATAGCCAGCTGTGGCTGAGAGTTAAGGGCCTGGAAAAAAGCTGGAGATTTACTTGGGATGCAGTCCTCTCAGAGCATTTAGATTGGAGGAGGAAGTGAGTGGAGTGAGGGAGAAGGATGAGGTCTTGCCATAGTATGATGAAACCACGCAGAGTTAAAGTGTGTGGTTAAGGACAAGAGAGAACAAGATGTGTCTTGTAAGACCTGAAGTCCGTGCTTAGGGAGGGCTTAAGGGGCCATGCTTTCTGTTTCTTCTTGACGTGTGAACTGTGCTAGGAAGAAACCAAATCAGTGGAGAGGGGTGGAGGTGGAAGACTAAGGCTCCTGATCTGCTTGCTGCTGAAAGTTAGAGGCAGCTCCCCCCTCCCCCCCGTGCCCACACGTGGGTCTGTTTGTCCTTGATCCAGGCAGTAAGGACAGCTGCCTCCACCCCTTGGCTGCCTTGGCCTGGCCTAGCCTATTGGCACCTACCTCTGTGCGGGCTTTTATTGCCTTGTCCAGCCTCTCCCAAGTGGCCTCCATACGGCTCTTCTGGGCTTGAATCTGGGGGTAGCACCTGGGAGCTCCTCGTTCCAGGGCACCTGCCATCTCCCTCAGGGCCTTCATCTTGGCCTGCCCCAAGCTCAGGACTTCCTTTCTGAAAGCATCAAACTTCTCTTCCAGCACCTGCAAGGGTGTGCGGTCAGGGAGAGTCACTCTGGAGGTGGTGTCCAGCAGCTCTCAAAGCTCACAAAAGGCTTGCCAGAATGAGGGCTCCAACGTTCCTCAGCCCTGGTTCTAGAACCACAGGGATCCTTCCAGAGACACTCCCTCCAATTTCCTTTCTGCTCGCTCCTGAGCATCCCTTCATCTCCCAAATGCACACCTTCCTTGCCGCTGCTCAGTCTCACGTAGGCTTGCTCAGGAGCAACTCACCTTAACGCCTTCCAGGTCCTGCCCATAGTCCTGAGACTCGGCAGTGGTCACCTTGGTGGTCAGCCAGGCGTCAAGGAGTAGGGTCTCCTGCTCCAGTTGGTGCAGCTGCAGCTGTTCCTGCAGGCCTTGTCCCCTGCCCTCTGCCCTCCGCAGCAGCTCCATATGGGCGTGCCTCACTGCCTGCAGCCGAGCTAGCACCTTGCGGCTGCGGCAGGAAAGAGCCTGGACTGAGGCCCTTCCTCTAAATTGGACCAGATTCATGCCACTTCCGCAGGGAGCACCCTTCTCTTTTCTCCTCCCCAGATGGGTATGGCTCTGGCCCACCTTTCTGGGTTCTGCCTGCCCTCCAGGAGTGTTGCTGTCTGGTGCAGCTGTTCCATGCGTGGGCTGAATCCCTCCAGATCTCTCCTGATGGCTTCCAGCCGCCGCAGAAGGGCCTGTGTGGCCTCGGCATTCTGGCCCATGTCCTCGCTGTCCAGGACACAGCCCCGTTCGGACAGCCAGGATCCTGCCTCTAGGAGCTGGGTTGACAGTAGAGACCAGTTTTCTCTTAGAGCAGTGGATCTCAACCTGGCAGCACATTAGAGTCACCTGGAAAGCTTTAAAAACTCACTATGCCTGGGCCCCACCAGAATCAAAGATTCTCATTTGGTCTGGAATGGAGCCTGAGCATCAGTGTTTCTTAACCTTTCTAGGTTATTTTTTTTCCATGCAAAATAAAGATGCTTTATTCTTGGTTCATAGGCATAGATTTTGCTTTTGCCACTTAATATAATAAACCCAAATTTCGGCAAATATTACTTGAAGTGAGTTTCTCCCTTTCATTTCTTATTAGGATATTTTCTTGAGTTTTTCTTCCTCTGCAAATATATTCACCACTATGAGGTAATTTAGCTATAATTGCGAGGTGGAGTTTCTAGGTGATTCTCATGTAAAAGCACTGGCAGAGAACCACTGGTTTAGAAGAAGCAGTTAAACAAAATGAACAAGACAGTGGCCTGTTTCCTGGGAAACATGCTAGAGAAAGACCTTGGGGGCAGGAGACCACCCACTGGAGGAGACAGAATGTGCACAGATCCCGGAGCCCTCCATGAGAGTCCCCTTCTAGCCCCGCACACACTCTGGGTGCTCTCCTCACAGCCCTCGGCTCCTTTGCACTCCATAGCACCCCTCACCTCCGTCAGAAACTGCTGGGCCTCCCAAGCCTGCTGCAGCAGCAGTCTCCTCCTTGCTGCCTCTGTCCGCAGGTGGTCCATGGCCTTCTCCAGCTGCTGCACCCGGGCGGCCACCTCATGGGTGGCAAAGTGCCCAGCCTGCACCAGCTTATGCCCGGTGCCCACCACTGCCCGGGTCAGAGACTCGTGGCTGCTCATTTCACTCTCCAAGTTCTGTGGAGGAGGAGGAAGATGGACCGGGGATGCTCTAGACACTCGGGAAACCCCCCCCAAGAAGCCTCTGAAGCCTCATGAAATTCCAGACTTGCTTTCAAGGAGTTTTCTGTTCCTGTGACACCCAAAGAATCCAGGGTACCCCCAAAAGTTCCCACAGGCAAAGTTCCTAGCTGGGCCACAGTGCCCTTTCCTTGGCTGCTGAGCCCTGCTCACTTCTGAGGACAGCCCCCTCAAGACCCCCTGTCAAGGTGGGCTGAGAGACACCTGGTGCTTCTCCTGCAGATGCTGCACAGCACTCAGGCTCTGGCCGTAGTCCTGGGTGGTGGCCAGGGGCATCTTCTCCTGCACCCAAGCCATTTCCTCATCGACGTCCCTGAAGAACTGCAAGAGGAGGCTCTGGGCCTCCAGGGCTGCCCTACGCTCCTGCAGGGGCTCCCGCAGGCTGTCGAACCTGCAGCAGTGGAGAGTGGGACCAGGAAAGGCAGGGACCATGGTCATCAGTATTAGGGCTAGGCGGTGACACAGAGCTCACCCACTCTGTGCTCCTCATTGTGGGCAGAGGAAAGAGATGAAAGACAAGAGCTGGGGGCAGGGGTGGGTGTGCCCCAGGAAGGCAGGGAAGAGGAGGCTGAGGAGGATGCAGACTGAGCCTGGGAGCACAAGCGGATCTACCTCCGGAGCAACTGCTGGGCCTGCTCTTCTGTGTCTTGGATGAGGCAGTGGCCTTTCTGTACCAAGGCCTGGGCCTGACCCAACAGGGCCTGCGCCTGCCTGGCCTGCCTGTCCACTGCTGCCTCCAGCTCCTTCTGTGCCCCTAGGAGCTCGCCCACCACAAGCAGGTCCTGGCCCCTGCCATAGGCTCTCAGCTCCACCTCCACAGGCTCCAGCCAGCTCTCCAGTTCTTCCATGCTCCGCCGTAGACACAGGGCCTGAAGCAGAATGTGAGGTGGGCATGAGACAGGCCTGGAGTCCTGTCCAGCTGCTCTGTGGCCCACATAGCCTCACCTCGCAGGCCTCTTGTAGCTTGGCCACCTTTCTCTGGCAGTTGGCCTGTAGCTCACCCCAGAGCTCTTCCAGCTCCTGCAGCCGCTCCTGGATGGCCTCTGAGGCCAGGTGGCTCCCCTGCAGCAGTTTCTGTCCCTCCTACAGCCACAAGATGACACACATGGACTCAGGACTGGTGGTTCCAGGGCACTTGTGTTGGCTCCACCCACCAGCCCCACAGCTGAAGCGTCTCTGTGTGCTAGCTGTGTGATCTTGGGCAAGTTTCTTAACCTTTCTGAGCCTCATTTTCCTCATTCATGTAATGGAGATAATAATGGTTATTTTGTTTAAATGAGATAGAGCATATAAAATACATTGCAGGGTTCTTATATCAGAAGGAGCTAGCCAGGGGTCAGGACCTGCCTTTGTGAGTGGGAAAGAGAATGTTATGTAAAAACGGTGCTATGTTTTGACTCCTTCACCCACAGGACTGCTGGATATGCCCTGATCACGTCAAAATATTATTATTATTATTATTTTTAAATGATGACTGGTAAGGGGATCTTAACCCTTGACTTGGTGTTGTCAGCACCACGCTCTCCCAAGTGAGCTAACCAGCCATCTTTATATAGGGATCCGAACCCTTGGCCTTGGTGTTATCAGCACCACACTCTCCCGAGTGAGCCCCGGGCTGACTCTCAAAATATTATCTTTAAAATTATTGAAAAGGCACCACTTTTGGAGAGGGTGCCCAGGGGAAGCAACTGCTTCTCACTACACTTCAGTGCTTAGTGTGGTGCCCGCATACAGAAAGCATTCAATGAACCTTGGCCAGCTGTTACTATGGTTCAAAACCGGCTGCCAGGGCTTGGTGGGGTTGCCCGGTGCCCTAGCCTGAAGGGCTGTCTTCTGGCCCCCCAGCCCTAAAGGGCCTCACCGTCTGCAGCTCTTGTTGTTGGTGCATGCTCATGTCCAGCTCAGCCTGGAAATTCTGCTGCTTCTGCAACTGGGCCTGCAGCATGGTTGGGTCCCTCCAACCCTCCTCCAAGGCCACCTGGTTCTTCTCCCTCAGCCACAAAACCATCTGGGCATACAGGGACTATCAGGCTCTGCTGCCTATGGCCCTCCCATCCCCCTAACCTCTTGGGTGCCCCAGAGTAAGGGTGGCCTTTCCCTGGGGCAACTCTTTTCCTCCCCAACAACCACTTCCCACCCCACATAAGGGGAACCTCATAGGAATCCTGCAGGAAAGTCTTCAGCTGCTGGAGCTCCTCCAACTGATGACGATGGGCCCTGGCTCGCTCCAGGAGGGCCTCTTTCCTGTCAGAAGGAGGGTTCCATGGGCGGCCCATCAGGACCTAGAGCTGCCACAGGTGTGTGTGTGTGTGTGTGTGTGTGTGTGTGTGTGTGTGTGTGTGTGTGTGTGTGTGTGTGTGTGTGTGTGTGTGTGTGTGTGTGTGTGTGTGTGTGTGTGTGTGTGTGTGTGTGTGTGTGTGTGTGTGTGTGTGTGTGTGTGTGTGACATGTGCATACATGCGTACCCTTCTAGCCTAGAACATCCTTTCTTGGGGATCAATATACCCTGAGTCTGGGGTTCTCTTTGAAATAAAGGCACATTGTACTTCCCCTCTTTATTAGTGTCTGTTATGAGCTGAATTGTGTTCCCTCAAATTTTTATGTTTTAATCCTACCCCCTAGTACCTCAGAATGTGACTGTATTTGGAGACAAGATCTTTAAAGAGATAATTGAGTTAAAATGAGGTTATATGGATGGGCCCTAATCCAATGACTAGTATTTTTATAAAAAGAGATTAGCACACAGACACAGAGGGAAGATCACGTGAGGACACAGGGAAAAGACGACTATCTGCAAGCCAAGGAGAGAGGCCTCAGAAGAAACCAACCCTGTCAACACCCGCAGCTTGGATTTCTAGCCTCCAGAATTGTGAGGAAAAAAGTTTCTGTTCATACCACCCAGTCTGTGGTATTTTGTTATAGCAGCCCAAGTAGGCTAATACAGTGTTTAAACTGATTTTTTGATCATGCATTGCTATTAGTAACAATTTTTTAAGCAAGCATCCCCCTTTCTAGATATATATAAGTAAATAATATCATCAAAAAGAAAAAAAGAAAACGGGCTGGCCAGTTAGCTCAGTTGGTTAGAGCACAGCCTTAGAGCACCAAGTTCATGGGTTTGGATCCCCATACCAGCCAACTCCCCCTTGCCAGTAAAAAACCAACCCCCCCATCTATATAATATTTAATAAAACATTTAATTATTTAATATATTTATAATATTTATAACAATTTAATATATAACATATATTACATACTGATTTACAGTATATGAGATTTCTTCAAAAAGTTTGTGGAAAAATAGAATGAAAAGATAACACAAATCTTTCCATGAACTTTTTGAAGCACCCTTGCATGTGTGCCTCTGTACCAATATATTAAGTACATTGCCATATGCACATTATATAAATAGAAATTATAAATGAGATCTATAAACTGAACAAGATAAGAAGTTCTAATTCCCCTCCAGATCCACACACACACCTCCCCATCAGCGTATTCCTCATGCTTGTGTGAGCATGCCCCTTGCTGCCAAAGGGTGTGGTGGGTGCGGGAGATGGAGAGAGGCTTGAATGAATGGAAACACCCTCCTAGAGGATGGCAGCAGCCTGGGAGTGGAGGGGGCCATGATGGTGCTGTGCTGGGGGGCAGCTAGGCCTGCCAGGAGCCACCTGAGGTGACTGGGGGAGGGGGTGTTAACAGAGACCAGTGAACCAATGTTTTCCATTTGTCAATTCAAAGACCTCCATGGTTACCCAGGTGGGGTCCACCTGCAATACTGGAAAGGGGATAGCCCCGGCCCCTGCCAGGGCACCAGCACAAGGAGTCACAAAATTTGTGGGGACTAGTAGGCTCTCTGGGAAGGACAGAGGGCCTTGCCAGCTTGGGATCTAGCTTTTGGCCATAGCTGCTTTGATCTAAAAGTCTGAGAAGCTGGACTTCTGTGAGGAAAAAGGTGGAGCCTGGTGTCTCATGCGCATCTATGGCTGAGCATAAGAAGGCTGCCAGCCTGCCCGTGAGGGCCGGACACCATGCTGAGACATCAGGGAACCTTTTTCCATTCCTCACCCCAGCCCTAAGAGGGCAGGTATTACATCCTGCCTTGCAGATGCAGGCTGAGCTATGATGAAAAGGAATTTGTCTAAAGTCCTGCCATTAGTGGGCAGCAGAGGACTCAGGATTGTCTGACCCTGGATGCTTAACCACTGTGCTCTGGAACCTTCCATTTAATTTTTCTCTCAGTTTCCTAGTACAAGCTCCTTTGTAAAACTCCCCTTTATCTCAGCTGAATGAAGAAGGAAGTGAGATTTTCCACGTGCTGTTTGATGCCCATAACAGGCTGACGCACTGCAGGGCCAGGAGTGGGGAGACTCACCGCATCTGACTTTAGTCCTTTGAAAAGGCTAGGGAGCCTGGGCCAAGAGGTGCAAAGGCAGGAAGGGAAGAGCAAGGATACCAGATGCCCACACAGCCCACCTATGGCTCCCATCAGCCCAGAGCCAGACGCACCTCAGCAGCACGGCCTGGCACCTGTCCAGGGCGCTCAGGGCCTCGGGGTGTCCACCCTGGTGCAGGTTGTGGGCTGTGGCCTCCAGCGTGCTGATCTTTTCTGCCTGTGCCTTCAGGTCCTGCTCAAACATCTTGTGCTTCTGAAGGAGGGTCTCCACATTGGCCAAGGGGTCCTGGTGGGAGCAGGGAACCTGATACTGTCCCTTCCCACCCCAAGCAATCTACCTTCCCACATAGATCCATCCTACAAACACTCATCCCCAAAGCGACTGCTCTGCCCAGACACATCCCTCCAGTTCCTTAAGGCTGTATCTGGCTTTAGGACAGTGATTCGTAGCCAGGGGAGGCAGTGGGATGAGGGTCACATGTCAAGATTTCCAGGGAAGGCAGTTCTTTCACATAACATGAATACTCTCCTCTGCAATCCCAGTAAGTCTGTGTCAGCCCCTAATTATTCTCTGAGGTCTTCCACGAGTTACACTCATTTGCCACTGGGGTTGGGATGGTGGTGGGAAAATAAACCTCTGGGTGTGTGGGAAATGAGGGGCAGAGGTGACGAGGGCAGAAGGAAGAAGGCAAGAACAGGTGAGGGCCACATGCCTGCTCTCTAAGCTCCAGTGGCATTCCCCACAGGACAGGATTGATGCGTAAGTAACTGCTCAATGACCAACGTGGTCAAGAGGGGGGAGATGCCACAGAAGAGCCTGATCCTGGCCTGGGGAGCTCAGGCAGCTTGGGCTGGTTTGATCCCTAACACTGCTCTTGTAAATCCTGCCCCTTCTGCTGGGCACCTACCCCGAGACCCTCACTGGCTGGGGAGACTTCCTTGCTGCAGAGCCAACGTTCTATCTTCTCCACAGAGCTCAGAAACAGCTGGTGAGAAAGGAAAAGGCAAGAGGAAGTCAGTGAAGGGTCCAGTCACTGCAGGTGGAGTGGTCCTTTTGGTGGCCCAGGTGGGGGGAACCAGGGGCCTGGGGCTGGCTCCACAGAATGAGTCCACGGCAGGCAAGACGCGTTCTGGAGAGGCTGAGTGGTGAATGTTGGGGAGAGCCCCTCGCACAGCAGTCCCTCTGGCATTAGCTGTGACCAGGGGCTGTGAGGTCAGTGTGGGCCCCAACAAGTGGGGGCAGGCTGGAGGCTGGGGTGAGATTGTGCCTACCTGTAGCTCCAGGGCCTGCTGCAGCTGCAGCTGGTGCTGCTGCCAGGCCCCTTCCAGGCTGCTCAGCTCCTGTTCTAAACCGACCAGGGCCTGGCGAATGGCGGGGGTGGATGGGTGCCCAGCTTCAAGCAGCTGCTGCCCAGTGCTTCGGGCCAGGCTGATGCTGTCTGTCCGGGAGTCCAGCTCAGCCTGGAACAAGGTTGGGCTCAGATCCTTAGAGCCCAAGGCCTCAAGGCCTGGAGGAGGCCCCGTAGGAAGGAGGAGAGATGGGGAAGACAGCTGAGGGGTGAGATGGAAGTGGAGCAAGGCAGGGCGGGAGACTGAGACAGGACCCAAGAGAAGTGGGGATCAGAGGAAGGTGGAGGGCAGTGAGGAGGCAAAGGTCCCAGGGTCCCACCGGCCCCCTTACCTTGCGCTCCTGGTGCTCTTCTAACATATGCTGCGCTTCCGCAGGGCTGCTGGGAGCCCTTCGCATGTCCATCTCAGCCCGTAGCCTCCGTGCCCAGACCAGCAATTCCTGCAGCATTGCCTGGAGTTTCTGAGCTTGGTGCAAGGCATCCAGCGACGCCCTCCTGCCCACAGGGCTCATCAGCTAGTCCCAGGGCCTCTGAGCCCTCTCTCCCCCTGTGCCCACCAGTGTCTTCTCCTGCCCTTAACGCCCTCAGCCACAGAAGGGCCCACAGGTTGGGAATTAATGGGGTGACTATAGAGAATCTTAGGGGAAAACGGGCCAAAGGAAGTGCAGGGACTGAGATGCTGGAGGGCATGGGTCAACAAGGGACTGAAGTCCCCAGGGTTCTTACCGCTTTCGGGCCCTGCTCTGGAGTTGCCACCAGCTGTCCATCATCTCTTGCTGCTTGCGACTGAGGCTGTGGGTTGCCCCAGGGCTTCTCTGGCAGAGGTGGCCCACCTTACGCTCCAAAGACTGTGGGGGAAGCCAGGTCAGAGGCTAGGGCAGGGGAGCTCCCTGCTGCAGGAGGCCCTGTTGTGTGGCTCTCAAGATGCTGAGGCCCACTCTGCCTTGTGTCTGCCCAGATCCTGCAGAGGAGGTGCCCTGGGCATTCCCTGCCTCCACACCCAGCTGCACACCTCCACCTGGGCCTGGATGAGGCGCATTTCCTGTGCCAGCTCCTCGTGTCTCCACAGCAGCCTCTGCACGCTCTCCAGATCTTTCCTGTAGTTCAGGGCCTGGATCAGGGCAGCCTGAGGGGGAAAGGGACTGTTACTTGCCTGGCTGCCCCAGGGTTTCTGTGTGGGAAGCAAGTACTCAGCATGATTGCCTTCCCACTGCCCTCAGTGGGCCAGAGCAGGGCTCTGGCCCCCACCAGAGGTCCCTTCCTTATGTGAAGGAGGACGACTTTGGATTGGCAGTTTCCTCTGAGGTGAGAATCTCATTTATGTGGTGTTCCTCGTATACTGTCTCATGGGACTCTCAGCCCTTTAGGGGGAACTCTGAAGAAAAAGGAGCCAGTATGGACAGACAGGCCCGGGCCTGCTGTATGAGGGTGGGAAACAGAGGAGGAGGACAGCTGGGCACGCCCAGAACAGGCACCAACTGCTTCACAGAAGGCTTCTCAGCTGGCATTATAACTTCTCAGCTTCCGCCTTTGCCAGCTTTTAGCCTGCATTTCCCTGTGGTTGCTGACACAATCCTGGGGCAAACCTCCCGTGGTACTGAGCTTGTTCAGGGACAGGAGGAAACAAGAGTGTGTGCTTGGCCTCTGGACCCACCATGCATTTGGTGGAGAAAGGAGGCAAGTGGGCTAGCCCCCAAGCCTGCAATGGGGCTGCCATGGTCTGGAGTTGATCCTGAGAGCCAGCCCACCAGATGTCCCTGGTGGCCACTAGTGGGACCTACCTCCAAGTGTCCAGCTGAAAAGGAGAGGCAGGCGAGGGGTAAGACACATGGAAGACTCTAGGCGGTGCCCCCTTCCAATTGCGTTCACTTGCAGCGCACAGTGGGACCACTTTCCGCTGCTTACCTTCTCCCCAATCCACTCAGTGACATTGTCTAGCTCTCGGGACAATGTGTGTATCTCCAGGGCCCCTTCGAGCTGCTGCTGGTACCGGAGCAGGTTGCTATGGAAACTCATCCACCTGGTGGAGGGGTGGTGGGGTAACCTGGGCTCTGAAGTGGCCCTCCAACGCTCTCCAGGCCCACTGCCCTCTCTGCCCTGGTACTGGCCTGGTGTTAAGCTGGCTTCGCCGCTGGCAGATGATCTTGACTTCCTCAGGATCCCGGTTCTTGAGCTGTAGTGACAAGTCATTGATGATCCTAACGTGGGCATCACCTGCTGCCATGTCCTGCAGGGGAGGTACAGGTGAGGGCACTGGTACCACTGCTCAGCGCCACTTCTTTGCACTGCAGCTGGCACTCAGAGGGTCTGCCTAGGCTTCATGGAGTGTGAGGAGCAGCATGTTTGGGGAGGGAGGCAGCTTCTTCCTCTACCACAGCAGGTGCCGAGGCCACCTTGTGCAGTGAGCAAGAGCAGCTAGGCGCCTGCAGTTCCACCATCATCTCTGAGACCACACATGTGTTCCCCAGGTTGGGAACAAGGTAGGAGGGGAGGGCAGGCACATGCTCATTAACAGAAGCTTTTAAAGTTAACATGCACCTTCTTGGGATAAGTGAAGCAAAGGGAGGGGTGGAATAAAATGGTGAGCTCCAGCCTCCTGGGGTTTGGGTGTCCCAGCCCCAAGGACTCGCCTGGGCTGAAGCTACCGCTGCTTGCACACTGGGCGGGGCTTACAGGTACACAGGGAGGGGACCCCCGACAGGGGTTTGTAGGCTTCCTGCCCCCTGAGAGTGTCCTTTTACAGATGCCAGAGCAGAGCTCAGAGGCTCGCACGGCTCATTTGTGGCATGGCCAGGACTCAAGCTCAGCTCCTCTAAGGTCGTGCTCTCTTCCTACTATAGCGTCTGGCATAGCATCTGTGAAATTCCATTACTAGCAAAGGATATCTTAAGTTTCAGCATTGCAGCCTTTAAAAAATCGTATCTACTTATATCAGGAGGATGAGGTTAGCATAGTTGGTCTCTAACACCTGACTGTGAATAAATTTGCCAAATTTCTTTCCTCTGTACCACATAACAGAAATAGATTTTTAGTGTATATATGTGGGGTGTGGAGATGCTGAAATAGTCACGCTGAAGGAGGGCACTGAATATCCACTACATCCAGCCATATGTACATCATCCCTCGGTATCTGTGGGGACTGGTTCCAAGACCCTCTGTGGATACCAAGTCCACAGATGCTCAAATCCCTCATATAAAATGGAGTATTTGCATATAACCTATGCACATCCTCCCATATACTTGACATCATCTCTAGATTACTTACAATACCTAACACAGTGACTACACATTTCTTCTCACGGATTCAATGTAGTACTCAGTGCATGGCAAATTCAAGTTTTGCATTTTGGAACTTTATAGAATTTTTTCCCCCAAATATTTTCAATCCATGGTTGGTTGAATTCATGAATGTGGAAACCATGGATACGGAGGGCCAACTGTACTATCTTTTAAAAAAATTTTGAAATAATTTAGATATACAGGAAATTGCAAAAGTAGTACAGAGAGGTCCATGTACCCTTTCCCCAGCTTCCCTCATGGTGGCATCTAATGTAACTATAATGTAATATCAAAACCAGGAATTGACATGGGTAAAATACTACCAACCAGACTAGACCGTATTCAGATTTCATCAGTTTTTGCATGTACTCATCTGTGTGGTGGGGAGCATAGGTCTATGCAGTTATATCATGCGTACAGATCCAGGGAACCACCAGCACACATACACGCTCTCTTACCTCTGAGGTAAGCGTTATCCCCATCTTAAAGATGAAGAAACTGAGGCTTGGCAGGAAGCCTGCCTCAGCAAGAAGTGCGGCACCAACACCTGAGCCTACACCTGGCTCTAGAACCCATGCGCTTTCACTACCCTGCACTGTTTCCCAAAGTGGGGACGCTGTGGCTAACCCTCCCCTGTGCATGGCTCCTACCCTGGCCAAGGCTCCTTGGAACTCACGGAGCCAGCTGCAGACCCGCAGGCAGTGCTGGAGATCCTGGCCCAAGTTGCTGACATTCACTGTCACCTCCTGTGGAGACCAAGTTGGGTGAGGGCAGCATTCTGAGCCCCAGTCCCAGGCACACCCAACCCCCTGGCACCCATTGCTGGGGCAGTGTCAGAGCAGCTGGAGGCTTTTGGGACTTCCGGACAGGGCTCCCTCCCATCACGGAACCAGAGAACTGTAGGCCTGGGCTCCTCCCTGACCCATCTCAGCCCCGCGGCTTCTGGCCCCCAGCTCTGTCCCTGCCCAGCTGGGCCTCCACCTTCTCCTGGATCCAGGCCTCTGCGAGGTCCACCCTCTGCAGGAACTCCAGGAAGTTCAGCTTGTCTTCCAGGTCCTGGCCCCGGAGCGCCACCGCCTGCTTCAGTTTCTCCCAGTGCGTCTGCAGTGCCTGCAACGTCTGGGAGACCTCTCCTCTCCCAGGGTTGCTCTGTGCCAGGAGGGTCTCACCTTTCTGGGAGAGAGGGACACAGGCGAGCTCACCTGCCACCTTTACTTGCCTAAGACCCTGCCCCTTGGCCATCCTGGAATCCACACTTTGGGGCAGGCATGGGTCTGAGGGCCTGGCTGTTACCTTGGCAACAGAGGTCACGACCTCCTCATGGGCCTGGACCTCAGCCTCAAAGTCCTGGTGTTTGTGCAGGTGCTTCAACGTATCTTTCAAGTCCCCGGGAGAGATGGGCTCTTTCAGCTGCTGGACCCGCTCCTGGATCCAGTCCTCAGCCTGATGGTGTGGGCACATGAATCCCATGATGCTCCACACTGCCTCTGCCCACAGACACGTCCCCCAGGCCCATGTCTCAGCTGTTCCCGGGTGGCTGACTACTGGCCTCAGGGGCAGGGCTGGCAGTGTGCCTGGTAAATGAGAACCACTGGTTCTAGCCCAGGAACCTCATTTTGGAGGTGTGGGTCCCCTACTCCTGGGATACTAGGCTGTTCTGCTCCATTCCTCACCTCTTTGCCCTGGCCCTGCTAGAGCTCAAGAAACAGATGGGGCCCCCACACACAGGGGCTTAGAATCAAATGTTCTGGGCTCCAGCATGGCTCAGGGGACCCCATAGCTCTCCACACCTTGGCATCCCCATCACAGGGTCATGGTGGGACGGTCATCCATAAACTCTAAAATGTGGTCCAAGTGGAAGGCACTGGGCTAGGGGTGGCCCCTGACCTGGGTCGCGGCCCTGGTGAAGCTGGCCACCAGCAGGGCGGTGTGCAGGGCGTGTCCCCGGCTCTCTGCCAGCTGCTTCACTCGAGCCCGATGCTCCAGCACTGTGTGAAGCAAGTCCTGCAGCCTGGGGCCCTGGAGTGTCTGCAGCTGCTCACGCAGAGCCACCTCCTGTGGGGCCGGGGAACAGCCTGCTGTTCTCCCACCGTGGGGGGCTGGAGTGAGGGCTGGCCCACAGGGCTCGCAGCCCTTTCTTCCAGGATCCTGAAGGTATTTCCTTAGCTATGCATGGCCAAGGGCTGGCCGATCCTCCCGGCAAGAACCCAGAACAGAGCTGCTCCCCAGTGACCACGTTGATGTGGACAAATGCCCCCTTCGGCCCCTGCAGTGAGGCCTACCCCATCCTGGGCCCTCTTCTTTAGCCACATTCTTTCTTCACTTTAGGCCAGTAGAACTGAATTGTTTTAGCTTTAGCCTTGGCAACAGGCCAAATATCAGAATAACTCCCTATACTGCACCTGCAAATGCTTTAAAAATAAATGTGCATGTAAACTCTACTATATTTTTCTGGTAGACTGTGGTTTTTAAAGAACATTTTATGTGGAGAAAGATTTTAATTAGAAAAAGGTAATATTCATCCTGCTTCTGTGCAATTAAGGAGAGATATTACAGATGTCAAAGAAAGGCCAACTGACTGCACAGATGGGGTCTACAAGCGTGCAGCACCCCCAGCCAGGCACCCCAGTCCCACAGGCACATCAGCACTGCATCTGGGTACGTACCATGCACACCATGTCAGGACTCTCCCTCCAGCCCCAACACTCTGACCGTGCCCAGGCAATACTCCCCCAGCCCATTACCTTCTTGTCCTGGGATGTCAGCACCTTCTGGAAGTCCTCATGCTTGCGGATCAGCTGCTCCACCTCTTCCACTGAGCACCCCAGGGCACTGGTTTTCAGGGAGACCTGGATCAGCCCATGGAAAAGTCAGAGGCCAGCAAGGACTTCCAGCCAGCTCACCCCTCTGTCTGCAGTCATCAGTGTTAAGGCAGTGCTTCTGGGAACTCTAAGTGGAGTGAGGGGCCTCAGGTCAGGTGGGGCCTTAGAAGTGCCCAGCAAGGGCTGACATGAGCCTAAGCATGGATGTGGGAGTCCAGGTTGGCGGCTAGCAACACCACAACCTCTGCACAAAGTGGGGAGCATGACCGACCTCCGGTCAACTCCCTTGGGGCACAGCCTAGGGTAGGGAATAGGGAGGAGAAGGCCCTGACCTGGCCTGGGGAATGCGGGTGGAAGCCCAGGTGCCTCAGTGCTCCACCCTGGGCACCTAGGAGGACTAATGCACAGCCTCTGTGCTCCATATCAGAGAAAAAGCCAGAGACCCAGGAAGAAGGGGGATGAGCAGAGAGGAGGGAAAACAAGAAGAGAAGGAGGCTGTGTGCACACGCAGGGGCAGGGACCTGCCTCCTGGGCCGTGAAGATCTTATCCAGGTGGCCACACTCTCTGAGGAAGCGCTGTTCCCGCTGTGCAGCCTGCAGCTTCTCTTGCTTCCTCTCCCAGGCCTGGAACACCTGGTCCCTCTCATCCTGCAGGGCTCGCATCCCTTCTTGGACCTGCGGATGGGCACATGGGGAGCCTGGGCTGGGGAGGGTGGCACGGACGGGAAATAGATCCCAAGGAAGGCCTCTGAGGACAGGCTGGAATGGCATGGTTAGGCAAGGAGCCTGGTGGCTAAGCATAGCCTAGGGCAGGCCAGGGTAGCCTGGGGGGCAACAGGAAAGGGGGCCCACCTCCTTGGTTGGTGTCCCTGCAGCCAGAAGTGCCTGCTGGCCCAGCTGGATGGCCCGCTGCTGCAGCTCCTCCCGGGCCTCCAGCTCCGCCCGAAGCTGCTGGTGGGCACTGAGCTTTAGCGGGCCACTGCCGGGCTCCTGGCAGCTCTCCTCTACCTGCATTTCCCGCCGCACACTGGCTGCCCAGGAGGCATAGTCTTGTACCTGATCCCAGGGAGACAGAAGGAGAGCCTGGTGAGAGCTGGGCTGGCGGATGGAGAACTGGGTGCTGAGGCACAGTTACGGCCCACTTGAATTCACTCACATTGGAGTAGCCCGAGCTGTCCTGGCTCAGGGCCTTGGGTGAGGCACACATTGCCCTTTGTCACCTGGTCTCTCCCTTCTCATCCAACCTGATCTTCCCAGGTCCACAGACCCTCCATGTGTTCCAGACCCCGCCAAGACTTGACTCCACCCTGTGCTCTTGCTGCCCTTCCTGCTAAGAAGTGCCTCCTTTCCTTTCCGTCTCTACAAAGCACACCTGGATGAGTCAGTGAGAGGAAGAGCAGCTAGCAAGATCAGCTGGCTGAATACAGGGCTGGCTGATGGGAATGAAAGCTCACCCATTCTTCAAGGGCCAAGGCCTTTTCTGCCTCATGAAGACATCCCTGGGACCTGGGCAGCTCTCTTGCCCTCTGTGTCCTCTGAACTACCAATTGAACACTTACAAACTGGACAATCACACAATATGAGAGCTGGAAGGACCTTGGGTTCTTGCCCAAGCATCTCATTGCATAGAGAAAGAAGGGTAAATAGCACACGTATGTGGAAGAGTTTGTAAACTCCAGGTACTTGACAAACAGGGTAACAACCTAGGGTTAAGTGCCTTGCTTAAGCCCCCACTGCTAGATAGTGGCAGCGTTGAGTCCTGAAACAAGCCTTTTTGCAGCACCATAGCTTGGGCCTCCTGGTCTACGAGGCAGTGGTACATGGTAGTCCTGGGACAGCCCATGGCCAAGGACCACTGTCGCAATCTGACTCTTCGGGATATTAGGCTCATCTCCCCAGGTAGTTAGGCTCCATGAGGGCAGCGATTCTATCTTCCATAGCTTCTACATCACCTTCCTCTCTCACCCAAGGTTCCTAGCAGAGAGCTGAACACAGATGTTAAATAGATGCTGACTGATCCAGAGATCACTGTCTAGAACACCTGGGTCTCCAATTATGGGCTTTCCTGGGCTGTTCTTACTCCCCATCCCTGACTGGGACCCTGCGTGGCTGCCAAACACTCGCCTGGACTGGTGCTGACCCAAACCTAAGGAGTCACTGCTACGCCCCATGTGCTCATCCTTCTGACCAGCCAGACTGACACCCAGGTGGGCCCATGCTCTTCCACCTTATGTCCACAGTTGTTTTCCGTCTGGATCTGGAGGTCCTCATTAGTGCTTCACACACACAGTACAACACACACACCCCATGGGGCAGGAGCCCTCACCGCTGTGTGGAAGCGGGCCAGGAGGCATGCCCGCTCCAGCTGGGCCCTGTGCTGCTCCACACGCAGCCGCAAGGCCTCCCAGGCTTGCATCACAGCCTGCTGCCTCTGCTGCACGGCATTGGCCTGAGGCCCTGGATACAGCTTCTGCACTCTGCCTCCAGTCTCCAGCAGTTCCTGCAGCTGGGGTCAGGGTAAAGGATAGGGAGGGAAGGGTAGTGTCTTCCCGAAGGTTGAAGGGCCTGACCATCCCACAGATGTATCCCTTGCCTGGGAACTCAGGCCCTCCTTGGGCCATGCCCTGCCATGAACAAGTGGCCCAACTGGAGGCTGAGGAAGAGTGGAGAGTTTAGAGGAACAGATGGGCCAGGTCTGAGGGGGGCCTGCAGGGGCATGTGGGAGAGGCAGCAGCCTGGGCTCACCTGCCGCTCCATGCCCACAAGTTCACACTCCAGCCCCTTGTGTCTCCTTAGCTGGGCCTCCACCCCATGCAGGTCCTGGACCACATCAGTAGGGAGGCTAGTGGCTTTCTCCTGAGGAGAGGAGACAGTCAAAAGGATCAGGAATGGAGGGCGGGCACTGGGCCTGGGGGGATCCACTTCTAGAAAGAATCCCCTTCCTTCCCCTGGGCTCACACCTGGACCAGGGTGAGGGCTTCCAACAGGTCTCTGTGAACTTCGAGGGTGGTTTTGGCATCTCGGAGCAGGCGGCCTCGGGCCTGGGTCAGTTCCCAAAGCTCCGACCAGGCAGTCCTGTCCCCAGACATGCAAAAGACCAGCAATAGATCAGCTGTGGCCCAGCCTCTCGTCCCTCCCTTGCTAGGTCTGGTCAGCCCTCTTCGTCCTTGGGTTGTATCCAGGATTTGCCCAAAGCTCCTGAATGGGTCTTTCCCCTTCCTAAAGCCTTCTTCTGCTTTCACTCTGCCTGCAAACCTTTCTCCCTGGATCCTGTCTGCTGGCTTTACTGTGAATTTAGTCCTTTGCTGTTTACTGCTCAGCACTTGATTGATATCTATGCTCTCGGATCCTCCTTACATCTTGCGTGTTTGATTCTCAGTATGTCAATCAGATTACAAACACTTTGAGGGCAGAGGCCACATCTCTCCATTCCTCATTTGCTCAGCAAACTCTTGCTGAGCGCCTCGGGTTTCTACCAGGCCAGACTCTGTGCTAGGGATTATGAACAAGTCATGACCTTGCCTCAAAGCTCACAGGCTGGGGGTGGATCCAAACCAGCTGGTGGGCAGCTAGGCATGTGGTGTGGTAAGGCTGTGCCAGGGCTAAGCACAGGAGGTGGGGAAGCTCATGGAGGGCCCCAACCCCCAGCCCAGGCAGTCTCTGCCTATAGCTCCTCCTGAGTCCTGGGAGTTGGTGGTTTGGAAAAGTGCCCTGGGGGTCTGGGCACGGCTCTCTGGCCTGCATCCCCGGCCTCACCGCTTTTCACAGGCCATGCCAGCCATGGCAGGCTCAGCTTCCCTGGAACCAGCCCCCTCTCCAGACATCCTGTAGGCAGGCAGAGCCAATGTGGCCCTTGGAGCATGCCACCTATCCAGCACCGTGCCTGGGCCTGGCCTACTGGGCACTCACTGCAGATCCTGCTGCGTCTGATGGGCCTCGGAGGCAGCGCTGTGCCCACACTCCATCAGGCTCTCCGCCAGCTGCTGGCAGGCTGCCACCCGGTGGCCACCCATCTCCACTTGGCGCTGAAACTTGGCAAACTTGGCACAGAGGTGCTGAGGAGAAGGTGGGAGAGGGTAACAGGGTGGTCCCTGGCTGGTCAGACAGCAAGTGAGGCACCTCAGTGACCAAGTGGGCAATGTGGATTGGACAGGTACAGCACCTGCCTGCTCTGCTCAGAAGGCCTGTCCTCAGCCAGGCTTGCAACTCTCACCGCCCCCTTCTCCATACAGCCCAGCTGGGGCCAGCCTCCCTCTCCAGCGTTCTGCCTCGGTGTGCCCAGCCCTCTCCTCACCAGGACATGCTCGCCATCCTCTCCGAGGCTCTCTCCTCCTCTGGCCACCTGTATCTGGCTAGCCAGCCAGCTCTGCAGGTCCTTGGCCTCCCTCATGAACTCCTGCAGCTTCAGGGTCCCCTCCAGCTCCCGGGCCCTGTGTTGATAGCCGTGTTTTCCCAGAAGTTAGCTGCCCATCCCCCTAGGGATAGCCGGGCCAGTCAAAGGGGGTGACCTGAAGGTTGGGGCTATTCATGGTCTTTGCCCAGGCCTGTGGCTCAGGATTCAGGGAGACTTAGATATAGGAAGGCCAGCGTAGGGGCAGAGAGGGTATGGATGTGGGGAAGAGATGGGTAGCTGGGAGTTGGGGGATCCAAGTTCCTGCCCAGTGGGCCCTCACTGAAGAATTCATGGAAAGAAGTGAGAAAAACACAGCCAAGACTCATCCCTCTTCTTTTTTTAAAAAAAAGATGACCGGTAAGGGGATCTTAACCCTTGACTTGGTGTTGTCAGCACCACGCTCTCCCCAGTGAGCTAACCGGCCATCCCTATATAGGGACCCGAATCCGTGGCCTTGGTGTTATCAGCACCACACTCTCCCAAGTGAGCCACGGGCTGGCCCTTCATCCCTCTTCTCACATACCTCTGTGGGCATGGGGTCATGGGTTCCTTTCTACTTTGAGCTGCCAGATGGGAACAGTTAACTGTGGCTAGGCACCCTGTACCCGCTGATGATGGGCCACAATGCCACTCACCGTGTGGCTGCCAAGTCCTGCAGAGCATGCAATTGCTTCCGGAGCCTCTCCTGCACCACACCCAGCTGCTCAGGGGCCTTGGGGCCAGTGAGGGCTTGGGCCCTCTGGTCAAGCTCCTCCATGGAGTTCCAATAAATAGCTAGTTCTTGCTGCAGAGCCTGCCAATGCACAAGGATGTGCCAGGCTCAGACTGGGTGCCTCACTCATCTATCCATCCACTCACCCATCTGCCCCCCATTCATTCACCCATCAATTCACACACCCATTCATCTACCCATCTGCCCACCCATTGATCCACCCACCCATCCACCCACCCATCCATCATCTACATACCCAATATCGATGGAGTAGTTATTGTTCCATAAAATGAAGACATGGTCTGTGCCCTCAGAGGGCTCATTGTTTAGCGGGAAAGGGTAAATACTGGGTAATAAATGCCAATGAAGGGAGGGTATGGGAGGCATTATTCTGGACCCCAACATCAAAGTGTAAGAGATGGACAGAATTAAGTAAACTGCCAGTGTGCCTGGAACCTGGAAGCTCCATGCAGCCACGGCTACAGACAAAAGCCCTTTAAGAATGGCTCCCTGAAGGTCCACAGTCACAAGACACACTGAAACAGTGAACACTGCTGCCATGCAGAAAAATGTCCAGACAGGACACTTCAGCGACAGCAGGAACCAGATTTCTGTGGGGTCCAGGCTTTGGAACTGTGTGACTCCGGGAGCCCAATTCCAAGAATGAGGAGGGGGCTTCCAGGCCTCCCTCCCTTTTTAATCTGGGGATGTTTGTGGGAAGAGGTAGGTTTCAGGAAGGGCATTTGGCTAACTCAAAGGATAGTATGCAAAGCCTGAGAGGAAGACTCCTGTGCAAGACACAGAGAGGGCTGGAGCAGGTGACGCCAAGAGAGTAGAAAAGTGCTAGGGGGAGGAGAGGAGGCAAGAGAAGGCAGAGAAACCCTGAGACTGCAGGGAGAGGCAAGCCTGGTAAAGAGACTAAAGAAGGAAGAAAGCTCTTCGGTCACAGCACCTGGGGTTGCCTTGGAAGACGGGGAATGCTGGGGAGGAGTGGGGTGCCACAGGATTTGGGTAGGTGGTGGGGCTGGGGCTGCCATGTCTTCAGCCAGAAAGAGCATGGTTCTGTGCCTCCGAGAAGTAGGACATGCCTTTGGGAGTGTGACAGACCTCTCCTCATGGTCCATCATCACCCAAGTCCACATGGTATGGGGATGCTCATGACATGGTACCTGATGCTTCTTAATGAGCCTGAAGGTGGCTGCCTCATCTCTGCCGTGGTCCTGACTACTCACCAGCAGCCACTTCTCCTCCACCCAGCCCTCCAGCTCTGACACATCCAGAAAGTACTGCCAAGAATGGTGCCAACTCACCTTGATGATCACAAACAGGACCCTCCATCACCCCTTAGGGACATCCTGCCATTGTTCTCCAGCAGCCTGCACAAAAGAGCTTCTGTGCCCACCTTGGGACCAGCTAGCTCTCGCTACTGATCCACCTCCCTAAGAGTCCCACAGATCCTTCCTCAGAGAGCCTGCCCTGACTTCTGCCACTGCCCCTTCCCCATGCTCTCTGCATCATACCTGCTGGAGAGCCATGGCCTGCTGCAGGTGCCGGGCCTGTGTCTCACCCGCCTGCTCCAGCTCTGCCCAGCGGCCTTCTAACTTCTGGCACTGCTCCACAATGTGCTGGGCTTGGGGGTGCCCTGAGGCTGCAAGGCTCCATCCAGAACCCAGCACCTGTTGCACCTGTCCCTGGTGAGCTTTCAGCTCAGCCTGGAGCTCCTGCCAGAGAACAGCATGAGAATCTGTTGCCTCTGGGAGTCCCTTAACCACAGGTGTCTAGAGCAGGCCCCAGTCATGGCAAGACCCCCAGGCCAAGAATAGCTGGGGCAGAGATTTGGAAATCAGGACACCCAGGGATGGGGTTTAGAGGCCAGAACACCCTGAATAGTGGCAGAGGACTGGGACACCAGGGACCTTGGGAGAAAAAGTGGGCCATCACCTTGTGCTTGTGACGAAGGCTCTGGGCACCATCCATGCACATGGCGTAGTTGGTGTGGCTGGTACTGGGCATGTGCTCGGCCACCCACAGAAGCTCCATGCTGCTCAGGTGGTAGAACTGGTACAGCTCAACAGAGGCCTGTAGTTGCAGGCGCCGGGTGGCCAGATGTCCCTGCAGGGCCTCAAACCTGGGCAGAGGGAGAAGAGATGGGAGAGGATGGGAACAGGTGAGGACAAGGTCCCTGGTTCTTTCTTCAGCCCAGCAAGGACCCATGAGGAACAAGGCTGGGGAACAGAAAAGCCTCATCTGATGAGGGGGAGGCAGCTAGAGGGCTCCAGGGCCCCACCTTGCCACCTAGATGACCCGCCTGACTTCAGACTGTGGGGTGTCCTGCTCAGGATGCTTAACTCTCCTTCTGTGGGAAAGACTACTCATAAGGGAACAGGGTTTGGACACCCCCAGGTCCTGTAGGTGCCACCCTGCTGGCCATTAAGTTCACATGTGACAAGGGTGGGGGGTGGGTGACACACAGCAGGGTGGAGATGGAACAAACAGGCGAGTGGGTGCACAGGGCCCCACCTCTGGAGGAGTTTCTGGGTCCCCTCCAGGATGATCTGGGAATTGGCTATGCGGTGGGCTTGTAAGGCAAGGGCACCCATCTGGCCGGCCAGGGCTTCACTCTCACTCTCCAGTTGGCGATGCTGTTTCTGCAGCCCCTGGCTCGAGCGTAGGTCCTGCCCCATTTCTGCACTGTGCAGGGCCCCCTCTAGCTGCTCCATCTTCTGCTTGGCATCCTGAGGAGGGGTGCAGGGGGCTGTATTAGGCTCTACATATACAGCATAGCAGGTGGCCCTTCTTGGGCTCTAAGACTGTAGTTCCTGTAGCACCAGATTCACCAGGGACCTATTGGGAACCTCTCTCCCCACCGTTGTCAACCCCCAAACAGCACTGCCCAAACCTTCCCGTGTCCCCTCCTACTCTTTCTCCCCATGGGGCTCAAGCTGTGCTGAGCAGAGACTGGACACACAGGAGACAACCCTGTACTGGCCTATCGATGGATAAAGCCATGCTCAACTTGTGATAGGCCAGAGGCCTCCAAAAGCTGAGAGAACACCAGACTCGCCCCTCCCTTTCCATCTTGCCCGCTCCCACCCCGCCCCAGCCCAGCCTCAGTATCCCCCCGTGCCCTGCCCCCTCTCTAGCAAACCTGCATCAGCCCCAGGAGCTGCTCCTGCTGTCTAGCCTGCCAGAGCTTGTTCCCACGCTCTGCCATCTGGTGGTTCAACTCTTCCCACTTGCTACTCAGGCCCTGAAGCCTGGCCTGTATGTCCTCCCGGGCAGGGGGCCTGCTGCTCAACAGCTCTCTCCCAACCTACAGTGGAGAGAGAGGCCCAGTGAGTTCTGCTGAGCTGCTGGTGCCATGAGTGGCCATAGCAGGCTGGACCCAAGTGGCAGAAATGGTGATGCTGGCCACAAGCTGCATTCCACAGGTTGCCTGGGCTCGAGCAGTTCATGTGGTCCCAGTACTGTGGGCAGAGGTAGGAGGGTTTCTTCCAACTCCTGCAAGTAGAGCAGGTGAGCAGGCACTAGGCTGATGCTGGGAAGGGCCTTTTTTTGGTGCAGGGGCAGGATCTCGGACTGGCCCTGGAGAGTTGTGGAGAGAGACAGCAACAGCTTTCTGGGCTGGTTTGGGCACAAGGCCAGGGGCTCAGCTGAGTGAAGGAGGCAGCTGGGGGATCCTGGCTCCATGGTAACCAGAGTTGATTCTTTTCAGTGACTAAGCTCCATGAAACTGTGTGGTGCAGTGTATGCTGGGAATGAGAAGGCCCTGCACCCTCTGCTCAGTGTCCCCCACCTGCTGCAGGCCCTCCACATGCCCACGGGTGGCCAGCAGCTCGCTCTTGGCTGCTTCATGCCTCTTGAGCTTCTGCAGGATGTTGCTGGGTGCTCGGGAGGACTCATCTGCCACCATCAGACCCTTCTCCTCCATCCACAGCATCAGCCCCGCCACGTCCTGCTTCCATTCCTGTCCCAAAACCAGCAGAGAGTGGGTTTCACAGCCAGGGGTGAGGGCTGGTGCAAGGACCTACCTCTAGGAAGAAGGGTCTCAGGAATCCCTTTGGGGAAGAGCAGGACCCAGAACCAATTCTCTGGTATAAGAGAGGTGGGGCCTGAGGCTACTGCTCCCCGAATGGGGATGGAGTCACTGTGCCCAGAGAGGAGGAGCGCCTGTCCTTGTGACTCCAGCCCACATTAGATCGCGTATGCCCATCTTTCTCCAAATAGGCTGAAGCTCTGGGAGGCCTGTGGACTAGCCCAGCCCTGAGTTGCTATGTGGGGTGGAACAATATCTGGTAGAGCCAAGGTCTGCCGCTGGTGCCCACAACCCATGCCAGGTCTAACGTGTGGGCAGAAATGCTGGGGGAAGGCGACTGCAGGATGAGGGAGAGTGTGGGGATTAGTCTTGAGGCCTGGACTTTAGCCCAGCTGTGCCTGACAGCCCTGTGGCCTAGCCTTCACCATGAGGAACATCTGAGCCATATGCCTGCCTCACAATAGGCGTTGTGAGGACTAATGACATAATGTGTGGGAAAGTGCTTTGTGAACTGTAAAGTGCTCCATATAGTCTCACCCTTGTTAGCACAGCAGTGGGCTTCCTTTCGGGAAGGCCTCATGCCCCCTGGGCCTGGCCCCTCACCTGGAGCTGGAGGGAAGCCAACAGCTGCCTCCTCCTCTGCTTGCTCCTCTCCTGGACCCGTGCCCATTGCATCTGGACACTCTGCAGCTGCTCTCTGACCCTGGAGGGCAGGTGGAGGCAAGGGAGGGTATGGGGAAGAGCTTCACTTTGCCCCGAGGCCCACCCCAGCCCAGGGTGCACCCCTCTGCACTGCCCCCCGCCCCCAGCCTCAGGGCAGCAGTCTGTGCAGGCTGAGAAAGAAGGGGTGGCAGGTACTGCATCCTGAGGCTAAACTCACTTGTGTGCAGCAGGGTGTTGGCTCTGAACCAGCTTCTCGCCATGTGCCTGCAGAGCCTCAGCCCGAGTGTCCAGGGTGCCCAGGAGCCGCCCAAACTCCTGGTGCTGCTGCAGCAGGCTCTGGGCCTCCATCACGTCCTCCTGAGTGTGTAGGGACCTGAGGTCATGCCTGGGAGGATGAGGGTCAGCACCATCTCACCCACCACTGCTCCAGGGGCCTCCTGCCCAGCCTGGCTTCCGGACCCAAGGAGAGGAGCTCCCTCCAGTGGTGAGGGAGCAACACACCAGCTCCACATCCCTGGCTCCATACCCCAAGGTGGTCCAGGTGTAGGAAGGCCTCATGGTTGGCACAGGTGGCAGTGAAACCATCCACTTCTTGGCCAAACCTCTGCAGCTCCAGCCCCTCCTGCAGCTGCTGCTGTCTCTGCTCCCATGCAGCCTTCAGCTCCCGGCCTTGCTGGCCCAGAAGCCTCACAGCACTGGCCACCTCTTGGGAGCCTGGGGAGTCCAAGGCTGCCATGGGCTGGCCCTGAACCCCCAGCTGCTGCATCCTGTCCAGGATGACAGGCAGCGAGTCAGAGCCCATCCGGCAACTCTCGCCAGCCTTCTTCCCCTCTCACCTCCAGGGTCATTCATTTTGGAGCTCCAATAGGATGGGAACTGGCAGGAGGGGTCTGTGGCTGCTTAGCTCAGTTGGTCCACTCCCCCCATGGGACAGCTGTGTAATAGGCCCAGCCCAGTGCTCAGGACTCAGAGTTCCCACACTCCCTGCCATGACATACCCTTGCCCCACACTGGCCATCCTGTAAATGTGGACTGCTAATGGCCAATTCCCAAGCAAGTGGACAGGCTGGAGCAGCACAACTCAACAGAGAAAAATCACTCAAATCACATTCATGCCTGACTGCAGGGCCACTGCAAGCCCACACAGAGCCTTTGAACAATTAGAAAAGTGCTCCTTTCAGTTGGCAGCAGGCCACGCAGCTTGGAAACAGGTAATACTGTTGTGTGAATTGGAAAAAAGCTCCACTTTCTCTGAGCTGCTGTAGCGCTGAACCGGGTAGTAGAGTCTGACAAGCAGAGGACAGGATGGATTTCAGTGCTCACTTGACTCCCTGTCAGGCTCCCTTGGGTGGGGCATAGCCTGTGGACTATATGCTGTGGCCCTGCCCGTCTGCCAGGCATTATCCCTGCAGGAGGAGACCTACCACCATACTGAGGAGGTAGGTTTGTTATTCTCATGGGGGGGTCCTGAGCCAGTCGACTTCAGGGGCCAGTGGGGTCTGCATTACCCAGAATGGCAGGGGAGGCTAGACTGCCCTGACAGAGAGCAATCCATCAGGCTCACCTGGATGGGGTATGGCCAGGCATGGACTGGACAGAGCCTTCCAGCCAGCTCAATGTCCTGGGTCCTTCCCAGAAGCCTACAGGCTTTCCGGCCCAGCCCTAGGTTACATTCCCCTCCTTGTAAGCCTGCCCCAAGCACCATGCTGGAGTGGCCTGGGCACCCAGCTGAGTGACCACACTGCTCCCTGACACTCCCTCTCTTAGCCCAATGCCCAGTCCTTGCCCAGCCTGAAGTGTGCCCTGTTTTGCCCTCCTGTCCTGACCTCTCCTGCTGTAGGTGGATCTCCTCCAGCAGGTCTTGGTGCTCTTGCAGCAGCCTCTGGGCTGAGGCCACGTCCACCTGCGCCTCCTTGCTGCGCAGCTGAGCCTGGACGCCCTCCGCCCACAGCAGTAGTTGCTGGCTCTCCTGCAGGAAGCTCTGCCTGGCCCGAGCCTCAGCCTGGGCCTGGGCCTGTTGGGCCACTTGCCCCTGTGCTTGCTTCAGCAGCCCCTGCAGCGCCTCCACCTGTGCTTGTAGGAGCTGGCTCTCTGTGGGGTCTGATTCCTTGACACTAGGAGACAAGGCCCACTGCACAGTCAGTGCCCTGGCCTGACCCAGTGCCCCAAGCATATGTCTTTTGCCCAGGCCTGTGCTCCTCAGGGGAAGTGATGAGGGCTCTGAATGCCCACTCCACCCCCGAACTAGGGCAGCAGGAACACATGGCTCTTCTCTTCCCCATGAGCATTTTCTCATGCTGACTGTTCCCAACCTTTGCCTGAGTGCTTCTGACAGCACACCCTACCCATCCTCTCCTCATCCCAGTTTCTGTCCCCTTCTTCATTGCGTAACCCCGCTCAGGCCTTCCCTCTGCCTTCACTGCCTCCCAGTGCACCATCACCATGCTGAAACTGGGCCGTACTTTATGGCCACCCTCTGGAGGCAGTGGATCCTCCTCTCCAGTACCAGGATCTTCTGTTGGGCCAGATGCAGGGTGCGGTGGCTGTCCTTTGAGCTCCCTGGCTCCAGGGCCTCCAGCTGGAGCATCACATCTTGCAGCTGGACCTGTATGGATCCACACCCCTGCAGAGAACTGAACACTTCTGTACTGCATGCCAGCTGCAGGGCCTTCTCCTTCTTCAGGGTCTCCAGCTGTCCCCACCTGGGCAGAGGGCACAGGGATGTCTCCATTGCAGGGACTTGGCGAGAGCCTCACATGACAGAAGCTGCCAGGCTGGCTGTGCCCTGTCCTCTCTTCCCCATCTCTGACACGTCCAGCCCTTCCACCTGGCATTGTGGGAAGCAGGTGAGCCTGGTCTGGGCACTGCATCCACCCTGCCTCCACCACCCTGCACTCCCCCTCATTCTCACCTCCAGCTCAGTTCCTCCTGCTGCTGCTGGATTTTCGTGGAGTCCTCAGGACATCTCTGCTTCAGTTGCTCGGCGAAGCGGCTGACCTCTGCCCAGCGGCCCTGTCCCACAGCCAGGGCAGTGAGGCCATTCTAGGGAGAAGGAGGACCCAGGCTTCTGGGGGGCTTTTCTCTTTCCACACTCAGCTCAAGACTATAAAGGACCTTAGACATGCTCCCTGCTACAGAGATGCTCATGCTGCTGGCCTCTGGAAGGACAGGCATCCGAGTCCTCAAGGGCCGAGTGGCCCTTGCAATCCAAGCCAGCTCCTTGCTCCCCTCCCTCAGACAAGACCAGAGTTAACACAGAGAACCGAGGCTCAGCCGTGAGTACGGGAGAGGACAGAGCTGGTGAGGAGGCCGCCACTCGCTCTGAGGGGCTGTACCTCATACTGGAGCTGTGTGACCTCCAAGTTGTGGGCCTGGGGCTGCAGCGTTTGGAACAGCACCATCTGCTCCTCCAGCCATGACTGAAGCTCCCCACAGGAGCTGTAGAAGCCAAATAGGGCCACCGCCTCCTCCAACCGGGCCCTGCGGAGCTGAAAGGGGCCCAGGGCTAGGGTAAGTGTCAGTGCCCCCAACAGAGCAGGTCAAAGGTGTGCTCCTCCCCACCTAACCCCACCAGCAGAGCGCAGGTCAGGGCCAGGAGAGGTTTCTGGACCACCGCTGGACCACATGTCCTCTGGCACCCAGCAAATGGAGCTGGCAAGAACTTAGGACAGGGTGAAGGTCACTGGCAGAGTTTGCTTTCATCTGGTCTTGCCAAGCTCAAACCCTTTGGTGCTGCCCCTGCTCTTAGGTGAAACCCACACTTCTCCCAGGGCCTGGCTCTGCCTGGCTGGGCCCCACCTGCCACTCCAGGCTTTCCAGAAGTCACTGCCTGCAGCCTCTGTGCTCCAGGCACGAGGGCCCTCACGTCCTCCATTGGGCCTCCTTCTGCCTTTGCACAGGTCCTGGCCAGTTCCCCGGCTTTACCCACTCTCTGCTTCTCATTGTTCAAGCCTCAGCTTAAATGTTCTTTCCTCGGAGGTGCCTTCCCTGATCCCCCAGCCTGACCTGGGCTCCCTTCTCACACGTTCCCATCACACACATCCATCTAATGACTTGTCTGACATATCCTCCACCATAACATAAGATCCTTGAGGGCAGGGAGCTTGTCAGACCCTGCTTTGTCCCCTGGGATTGTGGCATAGGGTCTAGCAGAGTAGGTGCTTTATCGACATTTCTTGAACAAAGAGTGTTACCTCTGCCAGGGCCTGCAGGCCCTCATAGTCCTGGCTCAAGCGGTCCTGCGTCTGAAGTATGGTGTTGGGGTCAAAGTCAAGATCAGGCTTATCCTGGAGGGCCAACTTTGAGGTGTCTCCAGGGACAGAGTAGCAAGAAACCTCACTCCAGACACCTGGGTTCTTTGGGCTTTTGGCAGACACCACCTGTGCCAGCAGAGGACAGTGTGTCTGGAGGGGGCTCCCACCAAGCATCAGAAAACCTGGCCAGGATACATTCCATGATCTGGAGCACCTGAGCTGCAGCTCAAAGGGTACATGGGTCATGGAAGGGCAGAGAGAGGATTCAGGACATGGAGCTTCCTTAGGTATGAGGGTAGAGAAGCCAAACAAGCACAGGGTCTGAGGGCTTTGATTTCCACATCTTGAGCTACATGCAAGGCTTCTTGAAAGGGGGCTGCAAACCCTTGACGGGACTGGGCCAAACTGCCCATCACACATGTGTTTTTAAGAACTGGGGGCTCAATGAACTGAGTGGCTTCAGAAAGCAGGCTGGCGCAGTGATTAGGCCGCCCAAACCCGACAAGGGCTAAATCAGGAGAGAGCCAAACAGGGCTGAAGGGTGAAGGATCATTCTAGGCCTGGGGGTGAAAGTAAAAGGAGACATTCCTGCTAAGGCTCCAGAACTATATTGGGGAAAGGGAGCCAAGCCAGGCTGTACTTGGATGACATCGATTTGCGTGGGCAGGCAGAATTCCACTACTTCTGGGCTGGGTCAGCAGGTCAGATGACACTGAGGAGGGGGGGCGGGCACGCCCTAGCCTAAGGGAAGGCCGTGAATCCCTGGGGAGGACCACGAAGACCCTCCCATTTTTGCCCTCTGTGTGGCCGAGGGGCAGCAGAGGACGGGAGTTGGGGCGCAGCGCGGCGACCACATACGCATCTGGTCTCGGGGGCACGCGCCTCTGGGTCCCTTCCCGGTCCCCGCCCGCACCGTGAGCGACGCCCGGGCCGCTGCCGCCCGCGCCTGCTCGTCCAATCGCAGCAGCTCGGCCGCAAAGGCCCGCAGGGCGCGCTCCAGACGCAGGTGGCGCAGTAGCAGGGCCTCGGAGGCCGCCTGGTCCTCCCCACAGGACGCGCTCTCCAGCGGGGGCCGCCGCTCGTGCAGCCACGAGGCCGCATCCGCCGCATCTGCGAAGTACTGTGGAGTGGCGGGACCGGGGCTGAGCGGCGGGGCCGCGGCTGACGCGGGCGGGTGCCAGCACGCCGCGCCCCGCCCCAGCCCGCTACCTGCTGGACGAGCAAGGCCGTCTGCAGCCGCACGCCGCGCCCCGCTGCCCGGGTCCGGAGCAGCTGCCACGCGCTCTGCACCGCCTCCGCCCGCTCCCGGGGATCCGGCTGCGTCGGGGGCCCGCGGGCGCTCAGATCGAGCCCCTTCAGCACCAGATCCGAGCACACGGCCTGGTGGCGGTGGAGCTCGGCTTCCAGGGCCTAGCTCAGGGCAGAGCAGGGGTCTCGGTGAAGGGAGGAAAGGGGAAGGAGTCAGGGGTCCGCAGGGCGCGAGGGGAGCAGGCACCTTGTGTTTCCGCAGGGCGTCTGCGATCTGGCTGAGATCCCGGCCCAGGGCCGCATCCTCCACCAGCTGACTGCGCTCCCTCAACCAGGCGTCCTCCTCCTCACAGTTGTGCAAGAACTCTGCCTGCTGCAGGGTCCGTTCCAGCAGGGCCCGCCTGAGGGACAGCAAGGACCACCGAGGGGACTGGGGAGTCGCCCAGCATGGGGAGGGGGTTCCCCCCCAAGGATAAGACACTCCCCTATAACAGGATTTTTCTTTTCCTTGGATAACTCAACAGGTGAGACAGAGGTCTTAGGTATGAGGGTCAGCGTAGGGGAAGTTGCCAGGCCAGCAGTATTTTAACTTGGGCAGGAGATAATTTGGGTTACAGATAAGTTCTGGGGAAGGTTGAGGAATTGGAGCAGGCTCTTACCGGGCCCTGACAAGAGACACCACGCTCTGGTGGAGCTGGGCCAGTGCTCTGGCCTTGACCTGCAGTGTCTCCACACTGGTGCCCAGGGAGGAGTCCAGCTCTGTGGTCTGGTGGACAAGATGGCTCACGTGGGCTCCGTGGGCTGAGACCTGGGCCTCCAGCAAGTCATGCCGCTGCAGCAACTCCAGTACCTCTGTTATCTGCTGCCCGCAGGCTGTGGAGCTAGCAGGCACCTGGCCAGATGCAAGTGGTCATTGTAGTCCCAGGGTGCTGGGTCCCTGTGAGCATCAGCACTGGGGAAGATCCCCCACCCTGCTTTGTTCCCCAGAAGACTGCTGGTCCAGCACCTACCTGTAGCTCCTGGAGCTGGTTGGAGGCAGCCTCTACCTCCTGCAGCAGACTCACCACAGCCTCTATGCCTGCCATCTGCTTCCTGTGCCCCTGTAGACGCTGAAGGAGCCTCTGCCAGCGCCGGGTAATCTCCTCCTGCCTAGAGGACATGAGAATAAGGGAGGTTTCCACTGAGCTGGGGAGGGAAGCTACCTTGGGGTTCCCAGCCAGTGGTGAGACTTGGCTGCCCTGGAGTCTGACCTCTGTGACTGGAGGCAGTCTGTGGACCCTGTGAGCGTCCTGGCATGGGGCAGTTGGGGCAGTGTGTCCTGCCCTTGGACACAGGCAGAGAAGCCAGAAGGAGTGCCTGGAAGGTTCAGGCCTTCAGAGTCCCCTACCTTCCTTTCCAGTCCCCATCTCAGTTGATGAGAACTCCATCCTTTCAGGTGCCCAGACTAAAATCTTGATAACTATCTTTCTCACACCCCATGTCTGATCTGTCTGCAGATTCTATCTGGCACTGCCTTCAAAACATCTCCAGGATCCCACCACTTCTCATCACCTCCACTGCATCTCCATCCTGGATTATTGCAACAGCTTCCTAACTGGTCTCTCTGCATCTGCTTTTGTCCCTTCAGTGTTTTCCCAACATAGCATCCAGGAGGTCACACAAAACTACTCAGATGGTGTCACTCCTCTGCTCAAGCCCCCCATGATTTCCCATCTTTCTCTGGGTAAAAACCAAGTCTTTATTGCACACTGCAAGGCCCAGCATGACCTCTGCCCTCACTCTTTGCCCCTGCACCTCCCTGACCCCATCTCCTGCTACTTGTTCACTTTGGCCAACACTGGCCTCCATGCTATTTTTCCAACTTGCCAGGCATGTGCCCACCTTGTGACACTGTGCTTGCCATAACCTCTGCCTAGAGTTCTCTGTCCCCCATATCTGTGTGGCCAGCCCTCTCACTTCTTTTTGGTCCTCACTTAAAAGTCACCTTACCAGTGAATCTCCTCTGACTATCCAAGTCTAACCTCCCCTGCCCCCTGGCATCTCATATTTCCTTATCCTGCTTTATTATTATTTTTATCACTATATCACATACTACATATTTTTCTTACTTTTCTGTTTTCCTTAGTAGTGTGTGAGCTTTACAAGGGGAGGGTATTCTTGTTTTTGTTTTTTTTGGCAGCTGGCCAGTATGGGGATCCGAACCCATGACCTTGGTGTTGTAAGGCTGCGCTCTCGCCAACTGAGCTAACTGTCCAGGGAGGAATTTTTGTTTGTCCTCTTCACTGCTAAATCTCTAGCATCTACAACAGTGTGTGGAACATAATAGACACTCAATAAATGCTTATTTAGTGAATTAATCAATCAAAGGTTACCTAGAAAGGAGAGTGTTTTACCAAAAGGGATGAATTACCAAAAGTGGAATTTCAAGCAGCACCGGGATGTAGATCTTTTTGGAAGGATCTCTGAGCCCATAGATCACCTACCCCTCACCTCTGTGGCCAGGAATGGGGGTGTGGTAGGAAGGCTTAAGCCTGTCGTGAGGATGGTTCCTGTGCTCGGGGCTCACCTGTGGGCCACATCTGCACAGCTGTGGTACTGCTCCTGCTGGAGGATGTCTGCGATCTCAGCCAGGGCCTGAAAGCGCCCCTCGTGGGGCAGAATGCCAGCCTCCAGCATGCCCAGCCTCTGGGTGGCCACCTCCACCGAGGCTGGGCTGACTGGTGGGGCTCTGTCCCTGTCCAGCACTTGCTCCATGTCCTTTAGGAAGCTCTCTCGGAGGGCCGCCTTGCGCTGGAAGCACCGGGCCAGAGTTTCCAGCCGCTCCAGCTGCAGCAGCTTCTGCTGCAGGGCTAGGCTCCGTGCAGCCTCTGCCCGCTCCAGTCCTGCCCAGCGCTGGGACAGCTCTGCAGGGCCCAGGCCTTCATGAGGCAGGAAAGGTTTGCGGTTCTGGGCTCGGAGCAGTGTCTGGAGCCGGAAGAGCAGGGCCTCCGTGGCCCCTCGCTGCTGTAGCCGAGGCGGCTTCTCCTGGGTGCGGAAGGAGGCAAAGGCCACTAGTAGCTGGCGCATGGTGGGCAGCGAGTCTGGGAAATCCCGTGCCTCCAGCTGCACCTGCTTCTGTGCAATCCAGAGTAGCAGGTCGGCCACCAGCTGCTCGTACTGGGTCTGCAGCGCCTCTGTCTCCTGGAGCTGAAGCAGGATCTGTGGAGGGCACAGGAAGGGGTCAGGGTGGCACCTCGGAGAAGGCCTGGGAAGGGAGGCACTCCCCTTTTGGATGCTGAGTGCCAGCCAGAGTCGCCCAGGTGGGCTGGAGCTCCTTCCCTCAGCCGAGGATGCACTAAACTGGAGGTCCCATCCCCCAGGGAAGAGAGCTTGCTGCATGCTCACTCAGACCCAGGGGTGGGGCCTCCCTCTCCATGATTAGGGGTTGAGACTGTGCCCTGCCATCCTCCATAGTATTTTACTCCATTTGGCCTCACCTCTGGGGGTTGAGGCCCTTCAGGCTGCTGTTCTTATTCTGAGCCTTCCTTCCCTTTCCTGAGCCCCTCATACTCCTAAAGCAGCTCAGAGCCCTTGGCCTGTATCATCCTCCCAACCCCAACTGAGACACCAACCCTGAGAGCAGCCCTCCCAGGCCTCAGCCTCTGCCATCGTATCCAGAGAGTAAGAAAGTCCCCCCAAAACATGGACTTGGCGTAGCCCCCGCCCGGTAGAGCTTCTTCTATGCCTGTCCTTGTAGATTCCCAGCTCTCTAAGCCTTTTAATCCCATTAGGAGCTTAACAGCCTGAGAATGGAGGGGAAAGGGGAGGGACAGGAGGCGACATTGCTCACCTGGCTTGCCTTGTATGCCAGGCACCGCGCTGCATACCTATGCTCCCTTGAACACTCACATGGCCTCTTAGTATCCAGGCATTACCATCTCCATGTTACAAATGGAGCACAGTGAAGTTAGGTGACTTGGCCTAACATCTAGTAAGTAGCAGGGCAGACTTCAGACCCAGGGCTGCCTGACCCTGGAGCCCATGCTGCCCCCACTTCTCCTCAGCGCCACGGCTCCCTGCGGCCAGCTGGCCCCCCTTTATCACCAACCTTAGCGAGTCTTCTCTGCACCGTCTGGCCCTGGTGCAGGCGGGAGAAGCAGTGGTAGTAGAGAGAGACATAGGTCATGATGGAGCGCTCGTCTGGCTGTAGGGCTGCCACGTCCTCGGGGTCCAGCAGCTGAGCAATGCCCAGCTCCTGCTCAGCCGTGTAGAAAGCAAAGGCCAGGTTGTGCAGTGGGCGGTCTGGACTCAGGAAGCCATAGTCCAGCAGGTCTGGCCTGGACAGAAAGCAGGAAGGACTCTTCACTGGCAGGGATTGGCTGCTTTGGTTTCAGTAGACTTTTAAAAATGCTCTCGTGCTCCTCTTGGTCATTCACATCTTACTGTGAATGTTTTCCCCTGACAGTTGTCTGAGACTGTGGCTGAAGGAACAGGACTCTGAGAGGGAGAGGAGGATTAGGTGGGCACAGGGGCCAGGCCGGTGGATAGGGGAAGCTCCACAAGGGCAGGTACTTGCTGGGGAGAGGACTGTGAATAGAATCGAGGGGCACGGAAAGTGGAGACGGCAGCGGCCAAAGCCAAGCTTGGCCAATTCCATCGCATTTCCTAGGGAAGGGGAGGGGCTCAGCCAGACCAGAGAAGCAGACATGGCCCTCTCCACTCCTGTGCCCACTCCCCTCCTCCTTCCTGCACGTGGCGGAGGGGATGTGGGAGAATGGCAGGTCGAGGACCCCCCCCTTCCAGAGCCGTGGGCTCGGTGGGTGGAGGTCTCCAGGCAGAAGGCTGAGGTTGCCCAGGCCTGGCCCCACCTGTGGGCGTGGATGAGGGCATTAAAGCCCAGCCCGTCACTCCAGCTGCGGGAGAAGTCGGTGATGTCCACGTTGGAGTAGCCGGCCGTCTTTCGCTGGCACCAGACTAGCAGAGCTTCTTTGGCAGATAGCAGGGCTGCACTGGCCCCAAACTCCTCCTATGGGACAGGGCAGCGGGGTCACCCGGTGGCAGTCGGGTGGAGAGGCGGCGGAGCCTGCGGGCCATGGGAGAGGCTGGCTGGGCCGGGGCAGGATCCTGCTCCTCCCCCACCTGGAGGCAGGGGCTGACTTCTCTCCCTTCAGAGCATTTGATTTTCATCCGTGGTGGGCAGATGGGGGGTGGGGTGAGAGAGTGACTGTCCTTCCAAAGAAGCAGGCAACTGAAAGCTGTCACCGCTGAGCAGTTGGCTTTTGTCACCACTAGCTACTGCTTTTTGAACCCTTCTGATCAGCCAGGCATTGTGCTAATACCTTGGGCCTCAGAGAATTGAAGCTGGGCCAAATTAGATGGTTCCCTGTCACTGCAGGCTTTCTGCAAGCCCGGTACAGCCTGGCTCCCAGCCCCTCATAGCCCTATGCAGCAGGCACTGTTAGGATTTACATTCCACAGATGACAAAATGAGGTGCAGTAAGAGAGATGAGGAGGCTGCCTGATAAAGGGAGGGGCTAGCTGGGACCGTACTCCTGCCACACTCAGTGCCTCATGGGGCTGCCTCAGGTGGGGAAATGACTTGGCTACAGCTGGTTTCAATCCCCTCCCACCCCTGCATGTTCCTCCTATTAATAATGTCTCTTATTCTGCCCCCTTTGGCTTTCATCTGCCCCCTCCCCCTTCTCCCTTACACTCAGCCCTGTCCTTCCTGGGGGTACCCTCCTTCACTCCCTCACCCCTCACCCCCCCAGCCCTACCTCTTTTTTCTCTCCCTCTCTTCCTCCCCCGATTCTCGCCTGTGCACTCCCCTTGGCCAGCAATTCCTGTTTATAAACTCAGAATGTCAGTGCAGGGCAGGCTGCGCTTCTTCCCCTGCCCTCTGGGCACCGGTGCTTGGGGGGAAGGATGCGCAGGTCCCAGCACACTGGCCTGGCTGGGGGAGGGGAGTGTGTCAAGGCGCTGGCGCTGGGACCTGCAGCAGGAAGGCCAGGCCCCAGCAGCTGAGCAGCTGGCTGGGCTGGAAGACTGGGGCACTGCTGGGGACAGCACATGAGAAGGCAGGGCCAGCAGGGAGGATAGTGGTCAGGTCAGGATGGTGGTCAGGGAGGTCAGGGAATGAGCAGCACGTGCTGCTTCCAAGGGTAAGGGCTGCAGGGGCACCTGAAACTGGCCTAGGGGCCTGGGGAGGAGTGTAGCTTCCTGAAAGGGCTTTAGGTCAGTTAGAAATTCATCCATTTATTCATTCCCAAGTAGGTGCTCAGCTTGGGGACACAGATAGACAAATCCCTGCTTTCCTGGTGCTCATGGCTGCATCATGAATTTCGAGTGTCCTGCATCTGGGCCAAATTTGTAGCTTCTTTTCATTAGGGTTTCATTCTCCACGTTGGTTTTCCTAATATACTGGAATTGAGTTTTAGGTGGTATTTTAGAAACCACTAAACTATGAAAACTGATAAACATAAGGACTTTATGTCTGTATTTCTGATACAGCTGTGGGAATAAAAAAGGTAGAATGGAGGAAGATGGGGGACCATGAAGGAAACACTGTCTCTTTGGTCTTCAGGATACTAGAGACTTTGTAAACCTCCAGAGCTGGGCCTCCCTGTATATGTTTAATTTCCCCCAACAATTACATTATGGTGTAATAAAAGTTACAGGGTTTCAATGCTAAGTAGGGAACCACGAATTGGGGTGACGGGTTGCTGGGCAGTCACCCTGACCCCTCCTAGTGAATGACTTGCTGCAGACCAGGTTTGAGGCCCAGGATTCTAGTTCTCACTTCAGCAGATTGCAGTATCTCCAACATTCTGGGTTCTTTACCCATGGTTAAAGAGTGGAAATTAATTTTTTGGATGCCAAGGATCACAAAGCTGGGAGGAACTGTTCCTCTCAGGTGAGACCAGGAGTGGGTGGAGTCATTGGGTGCTGGGAGCTGAGACATACCCTGTCTAAGGAGATGTGAGAAATCTGGAAACGCAGAATGATGACCCAGATGAGTCCCAGAAGGAGTGTCCGGTCCCCGTCCACGATGTTCTCTGGCCCAATGAGGGGTATTGGCACCTGTGTTCCAGACAGGAGTCAGAGTGACCGAAAGTCCAGGGAGTTGGCTGTGGGATGGGAGTATCCTGGAATCTATACTGCCCCAGTTGGGAGGTTCCACTGGGGAGAAGTGGGCAGGGGACAAAACCAGGCTTTCAGGGCCGAGCCCATGGCGCACTCAGGAGAGTGCGGTGCTGGGAGTGCAGCAGCGCTCCCACTGCAGGTTCGGATCCTATATAGAGATGACCGGTGCGCTCACAGCGCTCACTGGCTGAGCGCGGTGCGGCCGGTCTCAAAAACGACACAAAAACCCCCAAAAAACAAAAAACCAGGCTTTCAGGGCCGAGCCCATGGCGCACTCAGGAGAGTGCGGTGCTGGGAGTGCAGCACCGCTCCCACTGCAGGTTCGGATCCTATATAGAGATGACCGGTGCGCTCACAGCGCTCACTGGCTGAGCGCGGTGCGGCCGGTCTCAAAAAGGACAAAAAAACCCCCAAAAAACAAAAAACCAGGCTTTCAGAGTGGTGGGGCTGTGGCCCAAGCCCACCTTGGTGATGCCCCAATCGGGTGAACTGGGCTGGACCATTGGAATGGGAGGACTCCCTGTATATGGGCTGCAGGCAAACCCAGACCAAAATCAATGGTCTAGCTACACAGGTTGGAAATGAGGGGTCATAACAGTAAATGTGAGCTAAACAGACAACAGCAACGGTCTGCCTGCCCCTCCCAGGGCATCTCGGGATCTCCAGGGGTCAGTTGGTTCCCTCGACTCACACCTGATTCTCAGAGCTCTTCATCTGCTCTGTCTCCAACAGAGCTTGTTAAAAATTCAGATTCCCGGGCCGAGCCCGTGGCCCCGAGTGCGGCGCTGGGAGTGCAGCGGCGCTCCCGCCGCGGGTTCGGATCCTATATGGGGATGGCCGGTGCGCTCACTGGCTGAGTGCGGTGCGGGTGTCACCAAGGGTTGCGATCCCCTTACCGGTCACGAAAAAAAAGGCCAAAAAAAAAATTCAGATTCCCACCCTCCACCAAATCATACTCTCTTGGGCCAGGCCTAGGAATTTGCATCTGAAGAAAGACCTCAGCTGGTTCTTATGTGCACTGAAGTTGAGAACCCTCTACCCTAGGTGTTGCCACTTGGACAAGGAGGATGGGTGAATCAAAGAGAGAAAGGGACAGAACAAGCATCAAAGCCCTGCAGGATCTGGCCCCATTACACTCTGGCTTCATCACTCTCCTGAATCACACAGCTCCAAGGCCCATGGGATTCTTAGTTCTGTGTGATTCTAAGCACATGCCTTAGACCTTTGCATGGGCTGTGCCTGCTATCTGAAAATATTATTCTCCCAGATATCTGCATGGTTATCGACCTCTCTTCCTTTAAGACTATTCAAATGTCACTTTCTCAATGAGGCCTACCCTGACCACCTAATTTAACATCAAAATCCGAGGACTATTCCTCCAATCCCAATGCACATGCTTGGTTCCTTTTCCCTACTTGGGTGGGGGTCTTGGTTTTGTTCCCTGATGTATCCCAAGCACCTAGTAGAGTGTCTGGCACATAGTAGGTAAGTACTGAATGAAGGAAGAAAGGTTGAGAGATTTTCCATAACACCCGGAGGGCAGCTGCCTTGTGGCAGGAGCTGCATCCCCAGGTAATGTATCCCGTGGGCACACTTTGTTGTATCTGTCTGGTCACTAAAGGATTCCACCCCATGCTCTTCCCTCCTCTCCTTGGAACGTTACTCCCTTCTGCATTCACCTCAGCTGGTGCATCTGGTCAGTGGGGTGTTTGAGTCTGCTTCCACCAGCTTGTGAGAGCTGATCCTCTCAACTTTATGTTTAGCAATGTCATGCTGGTAGCTTGAGCTCAGCATAATGGGAGTATTATCACCATGGGAATCAACAAATACTACAAACCAGAGCTTTCACATCCCCCAGAGAGTCAGTTAAATATTTACTATTGCACCGCTGATCTGGGCTCAATTAATCTGTCTCCTGTTGAAACTGTAGGTTCCTTGAGGTCAGGGTCTGGACCTTGTTTATTGCATCGCCAGTGCCTGGCATAGAATACCCAGAGCATGGTAAAGCCTCCATGTGTGAGTGCATTCCACCTTCCACCACTTATCTGTAGGTTTGGGGACAACTCCGTTGTCCTTTCTTGACCATGATTGCCTCGTATGTATATGGAGACCAGGATGTCACCTTCACAGGTATCAAGATATGCTGCATATTAAAGCTCAAGGACAGCTGCAAAGCCTCTGACAAAGGCCACAAGGCTCACACCCTTACCAGGTCCCTGGAGGGGAAATGACTGGCTCACAGGGTCATTGTCCCAGGGACCAAAAGGGCCTGGCATCTGCTCTCCCAAGTGTTCAGGATTGCAGTTGCTCCTTTCCTTTGCTTTGGTTTCTTCCATCCCTGGCTTTCCTCCAGCACACCAGGCTCTGGGACATACATGATAGGCACACATCCTCAGGCTCAGCCCAGCCAGGTCCAGCTCAGTGACACAGCCTCCAGGGATAGCCACCTCATAGCTTTAGTACCTGAGGCCAGGGGCACTCAATCTTCCCAACTGCTGGTTTCCAATAAAAATGACCTCTGCACAGCCCCCAGACACTGGCCGTGAGGGTCCCTCTGTGTCCCTGGAGCCCTTGACTCCTTTTAGTGACTATGTCTTTGGCCTGTGCATCTCACTCTGGTGACTCTGACTCCCTCCTATTTACTGAGGCCCTTCTGCCTCCTTCTCCAAGGCAGGCCCTGCCCCTCCGTCTGCCTGGCTCAGTGTCCGGACGCCTCCCTTTGTTCCTACCCTCCGCCAGCCTCCGATGGTCCCATGTTTGGGCTCTGCGGGCCGGCTGACCATGGATCTTGCTGGGTAAATAATTCTGGACCTCTGTTTCCTAATTTATGAAGTGAGAAGGTTAAGAGAACACTGACTCTTTCCACTTAGAACCCTGGTATTCCCTCTTATTACAGACAACGACATTTTCAGTGCCGATAGCGACATTGATCGTGCCTGCCTCAGCCAGCTGGGTGCTCTCCCAGTCAGGAGTGCTGGGCAAAGAGGGCTTTGCTTCCTGTTCCTCTGTATTCCAGGTGCTCCTCCTTTATTCAGGTCCCAGATCCTCTGCTCTGCCCTTTGGCCCAGCCCAGGAAAGTTGATTTAGTGGTCCAGACTGTCCCAGCTGCCTGCCCCAGCACCAGCCACAGAAGCCCTTTCCCTGGGGCCCACCTTGGTCCTGAGGAAGGCCAGAGCTCGGCTGTTGTTCTCCAGGAAGTGCACACGCATGTGGCCCCGGCTGGGGGGTGGCAGGGCCTCCCCCGAGATGAGCTCCAGCAGCCGCAGTAGATGGGTGCCATCGGCCAGCTCTGTGTACAGGTTCTGGATCTTGATGCCCACCTGGGCAGGGGATGGAGGAAGGTATAGGGTTAGCCCATCCTCACCTGTCTGCCCCATCCTGGGACCTGCGAGGTGCAGCCCAGAGCAGCTGCCTTGGAGGAAGGAGCTCTGGTCTCAGCTCTGCTTGTGGGGTCGAGAGCAGACTCAGTCAGATGATCCCACAGCCCACCCCCCAGGTTTACTGACCAGAGCTGGGGGCATGGTGGGAGCTGAGGGGCGAACCCAGCTGTACCCACCCGGCCGTGCTGGAAGATGTTGTTGATCCAGTTGGTGAAGGTTTTCTCCTGCATCCGCATGTGCTGTGCCTGCAGCTTGCGAATGTGGCCCATCTCGTACTCAGAGTCCATGGTGGGACCTGGACTGGGTGGGACCCAGAGCTCTGTGGCTGGACCTGCTGCTACAAGTGATGTGTAGCCCCAAGGACCTGCTGGGGATGGTGGGGCTGATCCACCTTCAGGTCCGCAGCCCTTTGGGGACAAGAAGCCACTGGACGTTTCCCTGGAGATGGTGGGGGCATGGAGGTTAAAAGAGTGTGAACATTGATGATGCCTATGCCAGGGGTCTGGGGACCCTGCCCTGCCAGACTGTCCCCACATTTGGTGGGGGATATGGCTCAGAGACTAGCCAGGTAAGGAATGTTGCACTTAAATGGTCCAGGGCCCCCTTGCCCCACCCCACCTTCCAGGTTCTTCTTCTCAGAGCCCCTGCTACCAGGTCCCTTGACCACAGTGATTGGCCACTGCTCCTTGGGTTGACTAGGGCAGGTGGAAGGAAAATAGGAAACTGCTCACCTTGGTGATGTCTGGGTCCTTGGGAGGAGGCCCTGCTGGATAGATGGAGATGGCAGATAGCAGGGGCTGTGCAGGGAGGGAGAGAGACATCAGGAGAGGCAGAGGCTGGAGCTGGGGCCACGTCACTGCCTTCCTCTTGAGCCAGTGTGTCAGGGGTGGTGGCACACAGGCAACATTGTCTTCCCACCTACCGCAGGGCATGGCAGACTGGGAGGGGGTGGCTCAAGAATGCTCCAGGCCTAACTGAGCTAACTGGCCAGCAAAATATATTTTCTTACTGAAAGAAACAAATAACACACCAAAGAATTTCTTTTCTTTCTTTCTTTCTCTCTTTTTTTTTTTTGTGGCTGGCCTGTATATAAATACACAAACAAACGGGGGTGGGGGGTGGGGGGCAGGAAAGAAGATACAACACTCACAGTTCCTTGAACTTGTTAAGACAAGCGAACAGAAATACTCCAGGAAGGGGGACTGTCACAGACTTCATGAATACGACCCCCGAAGCACGGGCAACCAAAGGAAAAATAAAGAAATGAGATTATGTCAAACTAAAAAGTTTCTGCACAGCAAAAGAAACAATTAACAGAGTTAAAAGACAACCAATAGAGTGGGAGAAAGTATTTGCAAAATATACATATCTGACAAAGGATTAATATCCGGGATATACAAGGAACTGAAACAACTTTACAAGAAAAAAACAAGCTACCCAATTAAAAAATGGACAAAAGAGCTAAATAGGCAATTCCTCAAAGGAAGATATATGAATGGCCAACAGACATATGAAAAAATGCTCAACATCACTCGGCATTCGGGAAATGCAAATCAAAACCACACTGAGATACCTTCTCACCCCAGTTAGGACGGCTAAAATCCAAAAGACTGTGAATGATAAATGCTGGCGAGGTTGTGCAGAAAAAGGAACTCTCGTACATTGTTGGTGGGATTGCAAAATGGTGCAGCCTCTATGGAAAATGGTATGGAGGTTCCTCAAACAGTTGCAGATAGATCTACCATAGACCCAGTTATCCCACTGCTGGGAATATACCCAGAGGAGTGGAAATCATCAAGTCGAAGGTATACCTGTTCCCCAATGTTCATCGCAGCAGCAGTCTACAATAGCTAAGAGCTGGAACCAGCCCAAATGTCCATCATTGGATGAGTGGATATGGAAACTGTGGTATATCTATGCAATGAAATACTACTCTGCTATAAAAAAGAATGAAATACTGCCATTCGCAGCAACATGGATGGACTTAGAGAAAATTAAATTAAGTGAAACAAGTCAGGCACAGAAAGAGAAGTACCACATGTTCTCACTTATTTTGGGGAGCTAAAAATAAGTAAATACACAAATAAACTGGGGGGGGGGGAAGAAGACACAACAATCACAATTCCCTGAAGTTTATATGACAAGCAAACAGATATGATGTTGATGGGTGGGAGGGGGAAGAGGGAGTGGGGAGGGAGGATTTGGTAAAGGGACACGAAAATCAACTACATTGTATAGTGATTAAAAAAAAAAAAAAAAAAAAAAAAAAAAAAGAATTCTCCAGGCCCATTGCTAGAGGGTCTCCTCCTTCATCATCCACCCCCGCACCCCACTTGGCAACTTCCCCCAATGTCAGGCAGGGGGTCCTGGCTCCCAGGAAGAGGAGGCCCATGGGACGGCCAGGTTGTTTCTGCTGGGAGCACTGTGGGGCACACTACACTGGGTAAGAGGCACCAAAGGCAGAGCCTCTGTTGGAAGCCTGTGGACCCACTTCCTGATCTGGGAGTGCCCTTCTGCACCCCCACAGGGCCTCTTTGTGAGCACCACGGGGCAGGGAAGGGAGGAAGCAGGCAGGCCGCGGCTGTCTCATCCCCGTGGAGGTGAGGTGCGGGCCTGTTGGATCCTGGGCTTGGCTCTCCAGGCCCTAACGCAAATGCAGCCGGCCTAGCCTGGGCCTGAAGGGTGCCATTCCCTCAAGCTTGGGGGCTCCCCCAAGGAGGGGGTGGCCTGGAACTGCAAAGGCTGTGGAAATGACAGAGTGTCCTCCAAAATCAGAGACACAGTGTTAACTCCTTGGGCTCCATGGGGCTGGCTGTGGCACGGAGCACAGAGACAGGGGGTGCGGGGTGGGAGGCTCCTGGCTCTCCCTCCCTGAGCAGCCTTGGACTGCATGCCAGAGGGAAAGTGAGTTCCAATTCAGGTGCTTTCATATAATTCTATGGCTAAGCTCGGGGTAACAGTCACCAGGCTGGCGTGTGTGTCTGTGGGTGCATCCACCCCAGCAGCCCTGAGGCTCTGAGAGGAGATGTAGTGCTCCTCAGGGAGGTATTCCTGGCAGCCAAGGCTGCGAGAAGAGCAGCAACCCCCACCCCCCCAGAGCTGGGCCGGGACAGATCACATCTGATCCCCCAGGCCAGTGGCAGGCAGGGAGGGGTGATGCTGAGAGGCAGGTGCTCTTGGGGTGGGGAGCAGACCCCTGTGTCTGAGAGGAGCCCCTGCCCCTGTTGTCCTTTCCCTGCGAGGCCCCACCTGACGCTGGCTGAATTCCAAAGCTTGGGATGAGCCCAGACCCTCACTGGCAGCCTCAGATCCAGTCAGTCCCCCAGGCCGCTGCTGCCAGGCCTCCCCGCGCTCCACGCCTTCCACCCTCACTGCCCTGCAGGGCCTCATGGCGCCCCGTAACTCTCCAGCCTAGGCACCACCACCTGATTTTCCTCCCCACAGCACAACTCTGCTCACGCCTGTGAAGACTCCCTAGTTCCAGCTCAGCAGATCGCAGGCTGCTTGGGCAGGGTCTTTGAGGCCCTCCGGGTTGCCTCCCCTCACTCCAGGCGCTCCCCGTGGTCTACTCTCCACTTCCTGGACCGGGCTGGAGCGCTCCTGCCCCAGTGCTGGGCTTCACTTGCTCTCCCAGCTTAGAACGTCCCTTCCTGTTCCTCACAGTCCACATTCACCTGTTCTGTCAGGCTCAGGTAAAGTCCTTCTTCTGCTAGGAAGTCCCTCCTCTGACCTCCTTTCCCTAGAGATGACTAAACTTGTTTTTCTTCCTCTTAAGACCCTTGGCCATGGCACCTGTTGTGAGCACCAGAGGACAGACTGAACTGTGCGATGCTTTGCACGTAGATTTCGACCGAGGCTGGGTTTTTTTTTTTTTTAAAGATGACCAGTAAGGGGATCTCAACCCTTGGCTTGGTGTCAGCACCACGCTCAGCCAGTGAGCGAACCGGCCATACCTATATAGGGATCCGAACCCGTGGCCTTGGTGTTATCAGCACCACACTCTCCCGAGTGAGCCACGGGCTGGCCCGAGGCTGTTGTTTTTGAAGTCGTTGGATGGGGCTGGGAAATGCTTTTTGTCCTCCCTAGCTCAATTGCAGCCAAAGCCACTGCATGTGCTGCAAGGACCAGCTCCTCCTCTGCCGTGACTGACTGCAGCCCCTGATGAAATGAAAACCCTGTTGGTCAGTACAGAGTTTGGATTATTTGTGTTGCAAGTAACTGAAAGCTCAAGTTCAATTGATTTAAACAATATAAAAGAAATGTATTGGCTCACGTAACTGAAAAATCGAGTAGGAAAAGGACTTCAAGTGAGGTTTGATCCAGCAGTTCAAATAATGTCCCCACAGGCCTGGATTTCCTCTGCCTTTTTCAATGCCTCCTTCATCTTTGTGCTGCACAGGGCGGCTCCTGCCAGGCTGACCTCCCTGCCCCCAGCACCTCTGGCCACTCCTCTCAATGCTATTTATACAGTTGCACCAATAGGCTCACTTCTTTATACCACATGGTTCAGAGAAAAGAGGACGTGTCTCCCAAGAGCTGGAACAGAAGTCTGGGGGGCCTGACTCTCACAGGCTTGAGTTGGGCCAGATGTCCATTCCTGAACCATTACCTGTGACAAGGGGGATGAAATACTCTAATTGGCTCAAGCCAATCAGGACATATCCTGGAAAGAAGGGGTGGGGGGTCTATCAACCCCAAACCTCATGGCGCAGAGTGAGAGTGGGAAGAGGGGAGTGCTCTGCAAAGGAAATTCCACGACTAGATCACCAAAAGGGTAGATGGGTGCCAGTGGGAAAAACCCAGATGTCTACTAGGGGCGGTGCACACCTGTGAGGTGTGGCGAGGGCAGGAGCAGTGCAGGCCAACCAGGGCTGCACCCTAGCAGTGCTGCACCTACAGGGGCACAGGCCTGCCTCCTCACTGGAGACAAGACATCCAGGCAGGCCCATGTCTCCCATGGGAGTGCTCAGTGACACTTCATCCTCAGCCTCTGAAGCGCCCATCTCCATGATTCCCTTGTCCTGGCTTCCATCCCCTCTCAGGTGAGGCTTGGCCTCCCCTGGGGCCTGTTCCCAGACCTGGCCTCCACCCCCATCCCAATGGAGCTGCTTTCCTTCTGAAGCAGCCCCATCTTGGGGGGGGGGCTGCCTCCTCACTGGAGACAAGACATCCAGGCAGGCCCATGTCTCCCATGGGAGTGCTCAGTGACACTTCATCCTCAGCCTCTGAAGCGCCCATCTCCATGATTCCCTTGTCCTGGCTTCCATCCCCTCTCAGGTGAGGCTTGGCCTCCCCTGGGGCCTGTTCCCAGACCTGGCCTCCACCCCCATCCCAATGGAGCTGCTTTCCTTCTGAAGCAGCCCCATCTGGGGGGGGGGGGGTCTGTCTCTTCCAGAGAGGATGCAGGGAGAGTCGGGGGTCACGGGGATGGTATGGGGAAGAGACACACCCTCTCCTTAATTCCTCTACCTCATTTCAAAACAGATCCAGGGATCTACACTTTATTCCCGAGACAGGGGACACACAGTCACTGGAGAACCAGAGCCAGTGGGAGAAAGGTAGTCCTTTTTCCAGAAGTTTATTTATTAGCAGACTGTGTCTTTTGTTTTTTGACACTTCTAAGATTACAAAAAGACAAACAATAGAAGCATTGCGTATTAACTGCATTGGCTAATTGTATATAACCTGATACACTCTTGAATTAGGCCCCTGTTTACCTGAATAAACTCAGTGGTTATCTGCCCTAAGAAGGCAATTCTGCTCCACTCCACGGGGAAAATAAACAGTAAAATGCTTTCCTTGTCTTCAAGGCAATCTGTCCCAGGTGTAGCTCTGGCAGAGTGAAGGAGTGTAACGAGAAAGTGGAAAGGTGCAGGCAGAAGTGTCAGGTTGTGGCTCAGGTGGTGGACCCGCCCTGGACAGTGGACTCCAGTACAAGACATTCTGGGTGTTGTGGAGAGGCAGCTCCTTTCGGAGGTCCAGAAGAACCACAGGAAAGGGGAGGTCAGGGGCGGCGGGGCCAGGGCCTCTCTTGGGGCTGGTGGTGAGGGCGGAGATAGGAAGGGTGGAGCAGGAGGCATTTTACTTCTCCTCATAGGCTCTGACCTGCTGGACGTGCAGCCCCATGACACCACATGAGAACTCGATTCCTCAAGGCCTATGACCCTGTGGGAGGAACCAGAGCCCCATATGCCCACGCGATCACTGCATAATGACAAGGGTTCAAAAGAGAACCGAGAGGGCTGGCCCATGGCTCACTTGGAAGAGTGCAGTGCTGATAACATAACACCAAGGCCACGGATTCAGATCCCATATAGGGATGGCCGGTTTGCTCACCTGGGAGAGCGTGGTGCTGACATCACCAAGTCAAGGGTTAAGATCCCCTTACAGGTCATCTTTAAAAATAAATAAATAAAAATAAGTAAATAAATAAAGAGAACCGAGTCCAGCCCTGGAGACACGAAAGCCAACTAAATGGATGACCTTCCCCGGAGAAGAGAGAGCCAGCCCCCAGGCCATCCAAGTGTGCGGTGAGTTTGGAGTCTCAAGAGACAAGAATTGATACAGGCCGCTGAGTTGGAGCATGGGGCTGGGACACGTTGGACATCTGCATGTCACCATGGAGCTGGGGAGCTTTGGCAAGTCTTAGTGCAGTGATGCTTTGCAGATAGTTTTGGGAGGCCCTCATTAGCAGGTGTACAACTCGGAAGTTGACTTTGGGAGGAAGACAACTGTCATTTTCCCCCTAAACTCAAGACTATAGATTTAGTGCTGTGCGATACCGTGTGCTGGGAAGACAGGGCTTCAAGGTTCTTAGATTTTCTTCTGTGGAATCACGGAGAGCATTAAGATAGTGTCATAGTTCTAGAGTTTAGGGGCTTCTGCCTTCCTCCCTTACATAAACACCCTGGGGAGGGGTTACTGTGAAAACTGGGTTGCATGGGAAGGGCAGCAGTCAGGTGAGCAGATCCTCAAGGGTGCCCCCTGCCCTGCTGCATGGAGCAGGGGTGGGTATGAAGATAACTGGTGTTTTGAACACAGACTCAAGAAACTTTGTGTTGGTTTTGAGAAGATACAAGTCCTCACTTGGTCACTATCCCTAATGTTTTCTAGTGTTTTCCTTCTCAGTGAAATTTTCACGATTAATGACATGTTGTGAGAGGAAATTAAGAAAAGTGGACACGATTTCCTTTTCTTTTGTCTCCCAAAACATCACCAGGTCCCAGCAGGGAAAGGATTCATCTGCCAGAAGTCTCTCCCAGCTGAGGCTGTGGGAGTAGGGAGATCACGGTGCCCTGAGAAGTTTCCTTCCTTGGAGAAACCAGAAACTTTAGCCTGCTGCCCACTAAAAAAGTTTCCCCATATGCGTCTATACGGATGAAACTTGGCCATATCTACATATGTACACATCGACAAGTTTTAAAAATACATACTCGTGACATATTCGTGTGTATGTATTTATGTTTGTATATGGCAACTAAGCTTAGTTAAAGCAGCAAGACAATTTGGAATGGGAAATCAGCTCTCCTCGGCATCTCTAATAAGCCTTTGGACAAGTGAACTCCCTTCTGTCTTGCTGTGCCCTTTGGTGGCCTCTACTGTGCTCACCAGCGTGGGTGGTCCTCACACATGCACCAAACCACCTGCTCGTATTACAGCACTGGAGTCACGTTTCTTTTCTGTGTGTCTTATTAATTTAAAAGTGCTCATGAAGACTAAAAACCACATTATGGATTTACTTCTCTTAAAACTAAATTATTTGGAAAGTAAGCTAGGGAGTGTGAGGTTTGGCATCTGGATAAATGTTTCCCCCAAATCAGTATTCTCTCTTAAATCTGCAGTTCTAACCCTGATGTCATTAGAGGCATGTGACAGAAAAAACCAAACAAACAAAAAACAACTGTTTTTTGGAAGGCTCAGTGGGACTGTTCTCATTTTATTCACTTCTGGTTCTGGCAGGGCCCACGTGTCTCTCTCTTTTACAGCATGAGCAATGGTGAAGGGCACCTGCCTCCCCCACCAGTGCCCACAGAGGAGGGAGGTGGCGGTGAGGATTCACCACTCCACCCGACACAGCCACTTCAGCAAGCAGTCCAGAGAGGTTTCCACGGGGCACTTGGGGAAAGAACACTCAGGAGCCAGTGGAAAGGTAAGTGCCCAAATCCTGCCTCGTGAGGGGCATTCATGATACCAGCCACACCACCTTTGAAGAAAAGGCTTTATATGAAAGATTCCACTTTGTTTCTGTATAAAGGCTTTTATCTTGTAAGAAACAAACAAACAAACAGGGTATAATAAAAATGCTTATTTCCTACAAAAACAGTGTCTAACTCCAGCGGACTAATCTCTTCTACCCGACAGTCCAGGACAAGGCTGGGACCTCTGGGTCCACAGGGCCGAGGACACCACATGTACCAACATGTGTTTTTGCTGAATTTAAAACCTGCCACCAACCAAGAAGTCTAGGGAACACTGAATGGCTGGACAATTGAGGAGAGTCAATAGTAGTAGTTTACGTATGATAGACAGACTTTGCTATAACTTATTAGACAAATCAGTAAGAAAAGCTGATCTTCAGACTTCCACATGACCTGAAATGCAAAAGAAGCCTTTCCAGGGGTCAATAAAGGTTGTGAGTGCCAGACTCCTGACCAAATACAGGGAGGCCTGGGAGGGCAGGTCAGGGGGTGCTGGGACAGATGCTTTGCTGGCACCTGCAGAAGGGACAGGGGCCACAGACATGGCACATCCTCCTTTCAGACCTGAGGGCATCAATTTTCTCTTTGGCAGACTGTCTGGAGAGAGCAGAAACCCTCTGCTCTATTTTTTCCCACTCCAATTGCAGAAGGGACAGGGGCCACAGACATGGCACATCCTCCTTTCAGACCTGAGGGCATCAATCTTCTCTTTGGCAGACTGTCTGGAGAGAGCAGAAACCCTCTGCTCTATTTTTTCCCACTCCAAATATAACAAGAAACAAAATAAAAAATTGCTGCCTCCTGGTGCCCTCTGAGGGACAGACAGGTGCTACAGAGGCCATTCACAGTGACAAACAGCCCAGGGAGCCTCAAAGATTCGAATACTCCCAGTAAGCCCCCAGCCACTCATGGTTCCTGGGATTCCACTATGCCATCTCCACATGCGTCTTTCTCCAGGCTCCGGGGTACTCTTTGGACAACTGCCCTTTCTTCTCAACCTTTTGATCTCCTTATCCACCCTGTCCCCAGCCCCCAATATTTTAATAGAAACTCAGGGAATTTTAGAGGTGAAAGGACCTCATCTAGTGTCCAGTGTCTGCCCTCCCCATTCCACAGAATGGGAAACTGAGGCATGGAGAGGACAGTGCCTCGCCCAAGGTCGTTCAGTGAGTCAGTGGCAGAGCAGGCCTCAGGCCCAGGCCCCCCAATCCCACCCTGCACTGCTGCCTTGTCCTGTGGCACACCCCTCAGTCGGCATTCGGCAGGGACTTCCTGTGAGAGGGGGGCACGAGGTGGGGGGGCAGGCTGTTGGGCAGCTCATAGCCGTCGAGCTTGATCTTGATGAGGTGCTTGGCCAGCGCGAACTCCTCCTCGTCCAGCATGCCGTCGCAGTCACAGTCAGCCAGCTTCCAGATCTTGCCAAGGACGCTATTGGGCAGCTTGGAGGTCACCATCTCCTTCTTGGCATTGACCCCCGATATCTTGCCATTAACAGGGGACAGGGTGTAGAAGAGCTCGTCGTACACGGGCTTGTCCTTGGCCACGACCCACTCCTCCTCGTCAGCGCCCTCCTTGGCCCCCTCCCCGTAGCCCTGGTTGAAGGGACCCTCGGTGGTGCCATCGAAGGCGCCACCCTGCACGAGCTGCGAGGGCACGCTCATCTCCTCCTGGCTGATGAGGCTCATCAGGGACGAGATCTTGCTGCTCAGCATGTTGTCCACGGCCTCGATCAGCTTGGGCTTCAGTGAGTGGAATTTGGTGAAGTCGTAGTTCTCAAGCTGTTCCTGCAGAAGGAGAAACCACAGACTTGGTTACATGCTCTCTCTTCAGGAGGAAACGGGTGATGGGGGAGAAGCTCGAGGGAGAGACTAATTCTCCCTTCAAGCAGACATGCCAGCGCACCCCGTGCTATTCCTGAGCTCTCTCTTTAGAGGGGTCCCCACATCCAAGCTCACCAAATATAGGAGTGGCTTTGGAAGAAGAAACGAGTCGCATGGGATGCAGTGTGGTTTTTTCTATAGTAGCTTATTGTTGCTGGTGCCCGCATGAGTGACAGCAAACCACTAGGACTTTGAGAAAACCCTCTTTCATGCTGCCTTTTGCTTTCTAGTGCTGTAGAAATTTAGCATTTTCTCTCTCAAAGTGATTTTACTACATACTTCAGTTGATCTTCACAGCAATCCTGGGAGTAAGGAAGGGCAGGTATTAATAACCCCATTTTACAGAGCACCGCCTGGGGTGTCCAGGAGGAGTCAAGACTAGAGCCCAGGTATCATGACTCTTCACTAATGCGCTCTGTGCTGGAACATGAAGCTGCAACAGAGAGACTATATTTAGGTAAAACAATTATTTGAGGATTTTGTTTTGGGATCAGTTAAAAAAATGTAGTTTAGGGTAACTTCTCCCTGGCTCTAACCTCCTATGAATGAGCCCAGGAGGCCACTTGAGTAGGAACCCTGCAGGAATAGCCCCACCAAGGCATGGCCTGACCAGGAGCATTGAAGCTACTCCAGGTAGGTATTTAGGCAGGGCTTGGAGATCTTGTAGATATAAAATAACCATTACTAATCAGCTGTCATTTCAAAAACATGGACAAATAAGTGAAAGTTGAAACTGGTAAGGAGAGGAGTAGGGCTGGGAGGGTGAGTGTATAAGTCTAGCCAGTATGGCTGAGTATCACAGGCCAGGTCAGGACAGGTCTCAACTCCACCTCTCTGGAGAAGTGGTCTGTTAGTAGATAGAGCAGCAAGAGCACAGCCTCTGGAGAGGGCCAGGGACACATGGCAACTGTCCGGCCGGGATGGAGCAGACTACAGGATGCCACAGAGGCGCTGTGGATGGCACAGTGGAAACAGCCTTTCCTACCTCGGTTCTTGGCTACTCCTCTATCCATCCAACCATCCATCCACCCAACCAGCCATCCGTCCATCCAACCAGCCGTCCATCCAACCATCCATCCATCCACCCAACCAGCCGTCCATCCAAACATCCATCCATCCACCCAACCAGCTGTCCGCCCAACCAGCCGTCCGCCCAACCATCCGTCCACCCAACCATCCGTCCATCCAACCAGCCAGCCATCCAACCAGCTGTCTATCCAACGTTTATTGGTCATTTGCTGTGCATCAGACCCTGTTCTGGGGCCTGGGGATATAAATATGAAAAGCCATACTTTCTGTTTTAAAGGAGCTTATGTTGTAATACAGGAAGGACACTCCAGTTATTTAGTTCATGCCTACTTTCAAAAAGGACTTAACATAGTGAAAAAAGGATGACATGAAATATAAGAAAGTCATTAGAAAGGGAAAAGCCAAGTAATTAAAAGAGGGAGGGAGAGAATCATTACAACAGATGGCTACAGTTATGGAAAACTATTCCCTGTAAGCACAAAGCTCTGAGGAGTCTGAGCTCCTCAGCCAACCACAGGCGTCCCCAGGGATGCTACTGTCTCATTACTGACAGAAGCACCTGGTCATTGCAAGAGACAAACTTTCTTGCCCCTGAACCTAGGAGTTACCTAGGACTTTATATGAGGGGCCTCAAAGACCTAATGGAAAATGTCTTCAACCTCAGTTTTACCAATTAAATACACAAATATTCCAATAATCACAATTTTTATATGGAGTCTGGTGAAGAATGTCTGTAAGGATAATTCTAGAAGTCACCAGAGACAGGCTATTCAGGTGTGCAATTTTCTAGAGATGAGGAGGGAGATTCTTGAGGAAAAGTCAGACTTGACTGTTTTGGACAGAAGCAATATGATAGGCTGCTAGGGGGAAAAAAACCCCAACTTGGTGTAATCATAAATATCACACATTTATTATAAAAAATTAAGAAAAAATTGATAAGCAAAAATAAAAATGTAAAATAATTTATAATCCCGTGACCTGGCAATAACCTCTGCTAACATATCTGGGCATACATCCCTAGCCATTTTAACAAACACACACGCGTGTGCGCACACACACTCTAACTGAAATAATATCACACTGTTAAACAACCCGCACTTTTAGGAACTAAGGTCATGTATTTCCATGATATTGATTTTTATGCAACCTTATTCTTAATAGCTATACAACATTGACCTGTTTAGCTAGGCTATTCTTCATTTACCCTTCCCCCTGTAGTTGGACGAGCAGGTTGTTTCCAATAGATAATTAAAACTGTGGTCTCTAGGATGTGTGGCAGGGCAGGAATTCTGTGCTGATATTAGAAGTGGAGCCCTGAGCTTCAGATGGTGGAGGGAATAGAGCAGAAGGCTCCACATGTCACAGATCTCTAGGGAAGGGCCTCCTAGCTCTCAGGCAGCAAACTCTGCGGCCATCAAACCACCCTGTGCTGAGCTGAAACCCAGCGTGCAGTCTCCACTCAGCTCAGAGCGGTGGGGCAGGGCAGGTCAGTTCTCTAGAGCCAGTTCTGGTTTCTGTGTCCTTCATCCTCAGTGGCAGATCACAGTCACCAGCAGGTCACTCCATCTCCACTCAGCTCAGAGCGGTGGGGCAGGGCAGGTCAGTTCTCTAGAGCAAGTTCTGGTTTCTGTGTCCTTCATCCTCAGTGGCAGATCACAGTCACCAGCAGGTCACTCCAGCATCAACCGCAAAGAATGCTGCCAGCACTTTGGGCTCCTGCTGCCAGTGCCTCAGTCAGCTAAGGGGACTGACTGGAGAAAGGCGAGGAGAGGAGGAGCAGTCATCCTACACAAAAATCCCAGTGCTGCTGTGGTAAACAAGTTTGGATTCCCCTGGGTGCATGAACACCTACCTGATTTCCTCACAAATGAGCCTGAGCTCTGAGCACACACAGAGCCCTGTGTCTGGCCAAGCAGATGGATGACGGCGGTGCCCGCCCAAGCTTTCCACCAGCCTGCAGGGGCCGTGGATTCCGATGGTAAACCTCTGGAAAACTGGTGAGGGGAAATGGCCACAGATTTGCAGGGGTGGACAGGAAGTAGCAGCTATTCCGGCCCCAGAAGGCACACAGGAAATAACCCCACACTCTTGTCCCTGTGATCCCCCACAAGCCTGACGAAGGAGTGTGGGGTACATGCTAAACCACCATCATCCCTGCCTTCTGCCACGGTGAGTCCAAAACAGAAGTCTCTCTATTGGGATGAATACACACTGGGGAATTTAAGGATTTACCCATCAACATCTGTATCCACCAAGCCTGAGATCCTGGAATTGCTCCCTCCCAAGGGACAAAGCTCAGCTCCCAGCCCAGTCTCTGGCTGGGCTATCCTTTGCCTGCTCATTCCCAACAGTCACCAGAAGCAGCTTCCAAATCCCGGTGAGGGCCTGAGCAGATGGGGATGCTCTGCTGCCCTCTGCTGTTGAAATGCTGCCAACTCATCAGCTGTGGGGTACAAATTCTCTTTCCAGTAGGAAGACAACTGAGTCAGCAACAAAGGTGGCATTTCTAGTGTTCCTTTCATTCTGCAGCATCAACACATCTGTGCCATATGTCAGATTCTCTCTGGAAGGGTGCAGGGAAGATGCAGGCAGCCTATCAAGCAGGTCACAGGCCTGTCCTAGCACCTGGGAAAAGCCTTCAACATACATATTCAGCTCACTGCTATGGCCAAGAGTCACCCTGACCAGCTTGGTCCATGAGATAACACAGCACGACCCCGATATGTGTGAAGATGATCAGATAGTCATCTGTAAGCTTATGTTCCCTCCTCTGTCCCAGACGCAGTTGATGTGAGGTTGAACGTCTAGGTTGTAGAGGATGTTAGACTCTCAACAGACTCAGGGATGAGGCCCTACCCCACAGTCACAAACCCCTCGAAGCTTCCTGGGTGTCAGCAAATTAGCCTGAAGTATCAGGTAACGGTGAGCACTCCTCGACAGGTTCCAGGCCTGCCTCGTATCCTGTGGATTCTCTGAAGGGACTGGGGTGGTGTGACCAGGGCCCAGCTAGCTTCCCAAGAAGGAATCTTCTTCCAGCTTCTAGGGATTTGCTCTGGAACTCCCTGGTCTTTAAGCCCTATGGGAATCAGGGCTGGGTCAGGGTCTGAGAAATTCATTACCCTAGAGCCTACTATGATATAAACATACACTAACTTATCAACTCCCTCAACATGCATTAATTGAGCACCTACCACATCCTAGATGCTGGGAATATGGCAGTGAACAGGATGTGTGTCACTGCCCTCATGGAGTTACAGCCTTATGAGGGACAGAGACGCTAAACAACAGACATTATATAATTTAATTAATTACACTGAAGCACAACAGTGCTCATGTTGTAACGAGGAGCACGTGCACCAACAATGAGCTTTGCTGCCAAAAGCTTCATTGCCAGCTACAGTCATAATGTCAAAGACTAACCCCCCGTAACCCCCCGTATACTCATTTTTGTTTGCTCATTTATTCCAGGGGCCTAAAACAGTGCCTGGCCATAGTAGGCTTCGTTACTATTTCTTGGATCAATGAATAAATGAACACTAGTGGATGGGGCACCTGTCAGGCGGGACTCCTTGGTCCCAGTCTCAGGGTACTCAGGAGTCCACTGAAGGTGCTGAGGTACCTGGGGTGGGGCCTGACCCACAGGTGTTCTCAGCAAAGGTTCGCACACTTCCTGTAGCCTCCGGCTAAATGGGCTGTGGCCATGGTCTCCTTGTTTTCTTTCTCACGGACGGTCCTTTACCCCAGTTCTGAGAGGCCTGGTGTCCTCTGACTCAGCCAGGCCTAGGCTAACTTTGTCATGAGTAGCTCTGGTTCCAGAGTCTGCTCGCTATGTTACTGGCAATCACCTGGGGACCAGCAGGAGAGTCCCTGTAAGGGAGGCCTCAGTGGAGGTTCAGGGCCTCAGGAGCAGCGTCTTCTTGTGGGCAGGGCCTTGTGGTGACTCATGAGGCTAATGGGTCACAGAGGCCCTCGCTAGGCCATAGTACATGCTATGTATTTCTTCACAACTCTCATGTAGGTCAGGAAACCAAGTTCCCTTCTGAAATATAGAAGGGTACAAGGAAACACCTGTCCTACAGTTCAGTCAAGGGTGTGAAAGGGGAACCCATCAGGGAGACTGCTCAGGTCCCCATAGCCCTTCAATTAGCCATCTTGTGACCAGAAAAACACAGTTAATCCTCTGAGCACAGGAATACCTATTTCATTGCTGGAAGATAAAAGGCATTTCTGTATTTATTTGAAAATAAATACAGCTAAATCATATTTGACCAGATCACAGGTTGCAGATGCAAACCTGGTCGTAAAGAGCTGCCATCAAAACAGTAAGTATAACCCACCCCTGTGTTAGTGTGTAATTTATATAAAGTATATATTAAGAAAAAAAAGCCCATCAGAATCAAAGCTTCCCTCTGGCTGCCTGTTGACCCTCACTTCCACTGCCTGGTTTTCCCTTCTCCTGGCATCCTCCTTCTATGCCCCTCCTGAGGCCAGCAGGACCTCAGGGGCCCAACCTTCCAGCTTCACCTGTCTGCAGTTTTTAAACTGCACCTTACTGCAGTGCTGTCACTCTCTGTGGCTCAGGGCAGAAGTTGGTACCTGTTGGTCTCGGGGTGCAGTCAGTATACAGGTGGGCTTTGTTTGGCCTGTGTAGTAATTTTTGAAAGTTTAAGGCAAAATTTGAAAACCAGGTGATTTTTCATACACATCCAGGTTTCTGTCTTCTCTAGAACCACCCAGGCTGGTATTCCCACAGGGAGTGACCCTGGGCTACACAGGGCTTCTGCACTGAGGTGGGGCATGCATTCTCCACTGCGCCCCACCATGGGCCCCTGACAAGTTCCCATTACACTTGCAGAATTGTTTTCCTCCCTGTAGAGACATAATTCTGGGAACCCACATCTCTATCAAATGTGGGAAAACAAAAGGTAGTCAGAGAGGGCGACATGGTGTGTCTTTCGCCTGGCCTGCTTCACCTGTTCATGTTATTGGCTGGTAGCTGCAGGCCTCTGAGTTTATGTCATCTGCTTTATGGGGAGGACTGTGGCCCTCAGTGCAGATGGGTCTTTGCACTGGACAAGAAGATGGCCAGTCTGGGTCTGTGAGGACAGTCTATACAAAAGCCAGATGGGGTGGCCTTGCTCAGGAGGACATGCTTGTCTAACACCATTGCAGGGCGGTGGACAAACTGGTTAGGCCAGGGCAGCTGAATGCAGGACCCATTTAGGCTGTGTCCAGCAAAGTCCAGCCGTGTCCACAGAGCCCCACGGCCCCTGACAGAGCCCTTGAGCCTGCAGCAGCAAGGCTGCCTGAGCACATAATCCCACAGTGCGGGGCAGGGCTGGGCGGGGCTTGAGGAGGCCACTCAAGGTGACCTTCAAGGCCACTACCAGCTCTGATTCCCTTAAGGTTCTAGGATTCTGAAAAACAGGTGTCACTTCAACATCAAAATAACCTCTTTGAACACAGTCTAAGAGGGCTGCTCATTGGATTTTTTTGTGTGAGCTTCATTTACCTTTTGCTGTGTCCCCTTTTGTTTAAACATTTCAAAAGGGAGGCAATTTCTGCTTTAACCACAGGAGCCTGCTATCATAGATCACCATTAGGAAGACGAATCCATTGCATCATCTTTGATCTGAAGCCACGACATCCTCAGGTGTCCCCAGCAAAGGCCAGACAACATGGCACTGCATCTCCACCCCTGACCATGACATTGGAATGGTCTCCCAGTACCTGCATTGCCTTGACCTCAGGGAAGTCCCCTGCAGAAATCTGGTATTCTCGCTGCAGCTGAATGTAGATTTCTGGTAACCTGCTGATAAGTTCTCTCTTCTTGTTTTCCTTTCCAAACACACTTGGCATCTCCTTCTTCAGGTAGCTGATGATGTAGGCATGCACCTGAAGAAGCATATAGCAGGTGAGGACGTGCCATTTTGAATTGCAGCAGAGAAGGAACAAACAAGATTGTATCTCATACACATCATAACACAAAACCCTGGCCCTCAAGGACAGGAGGAGGGCAAGGATTGGGGGGGGTGGGATGTGGAACTGTCCAAGGTTGGCTGGAATGTGGGGTCCAGAGCTCTGGAGAGAGCTGGCCTGGATGATGGGTTTGAGAGCTGGAGTAGAGGTGGGGGTGAGAGCCACTGGAGTAGATGAGGCCACCCAGGAAGACTGAGCAGAGAAAATCCCACCATTAAGGGCTACGCAGAGGAAGAGGAGCCAGAAAAAAGACATAGGGGGCTGGCTATTAGCTCAGTTGGTAGGAGCGTGGTGCTGACAACACCAAGGTCCAGGGTTCAATCTATGTACTGGCCAGCCACAAAAAAAAAAAAAAAAAAAAAAAATTTTTGGGGGG